GGGGCCAGTGGGCGAGATAAGTGCTCGTTTCATAACCGTAAGGTCGGTGATTCGAATTCGGCTGTCCGCCTTATTTCCAACCAGAGTTCATTAAAACCTTGAAAATTTTAATTTCATATATTTGTCGCACATAGATGAAATGACATAGTTAAATTGCCGATAAATCAATTTTGTCAATTTTGTCAAGTCCCACCGCGGTGGTCTAGTGGCTAAAGTACTCGTCTGCTGACCCGCAGGTCGCGGAATCGAATTTCGGCTGTGGCGGCTGAATTTCAGATGAAGGTGGAAATGTTGTAGGCCAGTGTGCTCTGATTTGGGTTCACGTTATAAAGAACCTCAGGTGGTCGAAATTTCCGGATCCCTCCGCTATATGGCGTCTCTCATAATCATATTGTGGTTTTGGGACGTTAAACCTCATATAGCAATGATTAAATTTTGTCAACATCCTGAGAAATTCCAAAAAAAAAAAACTCGCAAGACTGAATATTTCATCAGCTATGTATTTAGCCCTTATTTTAGGAGAAGGCCAGAAAACTTTGTGTCCACTAAGGGCTCGGACCCAAAAATCATGCATTTATATTATTGGACAATGGACTACGTAACTTACAGACCAACATTTAAACCGACCTACCAAGCGGTGGCAGTAGCCTAGTCGGTAAGCTGTTCGGCTGTTAATAGAAAGGGCGCTGGTTCGAATCACCGTGGCGGTAAAGTGTTTAAAAAAAAAAAAAGGCCTTCCTTGATTATACGGTGAGGCAGCTGAAGTCCGTTCTTTATTTTTAATCACGATCTACAGTAGTTGGCAGACCAAGTTTTAAACATTGCATTCTGTGCAGGGCCGGTGGCCGAGTGTGTACGGTGTTCAAAATATGACCAGAAAGTTGATGGTTCGAATAACAGCTGCGAGTGCAGGAACAGCAGGATGCCATCCATATACATTACTTTAAAAACTCAAAATGTATTTGTTGTCACATAATAAAAATAATGCTGAAAACAACATTTTGGGCACGCCTATAAGCCTAAATGTGCGCCCTTAACGATAATACTTTTATTTTCTGGCAATTTTCCCCTTTTTTACAAAAAAATAATACCTATAAGCCACCATGTAGCTCAAGTGTCCCCACACCTTGCCCCTCCCCACACCTTGCCGTGGGAAGTTTCTATGCGTTTGTTCCGAACTCAGGGGCCCTGATGCATTGGCTTCCCCGCAATGCATGGTTGGAACTAGCAAAAAAGTTTACGCCCTTATCAGCCCTGATAAGGCTCGACTTTTGTCTGACGTCACAGCTTGCAACGATGTGCCCAGTTTGCGTATTTCCCGAGCTAAAGCTTTCCTGAAAGGTCGTCTTCCCCGCAATATATGGTCGAAACTAGCGAAAAAAGTTGGGGCTCTTATCACCCCTGATAAGGCTCAACTTTTGTCTGACGTCACACCTTGTCCTGGAAGGCGTACTATGCGTTTGTTTCAAGCTCAAGGTCCCCTGTTGCGTTGGCTTCCCTACAATGCATGGTCGAAACTAGCGAAAAAAGTTTAGGCTCTTATCAGCCCTGATAAGGCTCAATTTTTGTCTGACGTCACAGCTTGCAACGATGTGCCCAGTTTGCGTATTTCCCGAGCTAAAGCTTTCGTGAAACGTTGGCTTCCCCGCAACAGATGGTCGAAACCAGCGAAAAAAGTTGGGGCTCTTATCACCCCTGATAAGGTTAAACTTTTGTCTGACGTCACACCTTGCCGTGGAGGGCATACTATGCGTCTGTTTCTAGCTGAAGTGCTCCTGTTGCGTTGGCTTACCCGCAATGCATAGTCAAAACTGGCGAAAAAAATTTAGGCTCTTATCAGCCCTGATAAGGCTCAACTTTTTTCGCTAGTTTCGACCATGCATTGCGGGGAAGCCAACGCAACAGGGGCCCTTTAGCTAGAAACAAACGCATAGTATGCCCTTTACGGCAAGGTGTGACGTCAGACAAAAGTTGAGCCTTATCATGGCTGATAAGAACCTAAACTTTTCTAGCTAGTTTCGACCATGCATTGCGGGGAAGCCGACGCCACATAGGATCTTGTGCTAGAAACAAGCCCATATTATGCTTTCCACAACAAGATGTGACATCAGACATAAATTGGGCCTTATCAGGGGTGATAAGAGCCTAAACTTTTTTCACTAGTTTCGACTATGCATTGCGGGGAAGCCAACTTTTCAGGAAAGCTTTAGCTCGGGAAATACGCAAACTGGGCACATCGTTGCAAGGTGTGACGTCAGACAAAAGTTGAGCCTTATCAGCGGTGATAAGAACCTCAACTTTTTTCGCTAGTTTTGACCATTCACTACGGGGAAGCGAACTTTTTAGAGAAGCTTTAACTCGGGAAATACGCAAACTAGGCACATCGTTCCAAGGTGTGACATCAGACAAAAGTTGAGCCTTATCAGGGCTGATAAAGGCCTAAACTTTTTTCGCCAGTTTCGACCATGCATTGCGGGAAAGCCAACGCATCAGGGCCCCTGATTTCGGGACAAACGCAAAGAGGCTACCTACGGCAAGGTGTGGGGACACTTGAGTTACATGGCGGCTTATGAGTAACCCCGGACTTAACGGTCCCAAGCCGCCGTAGATCGTGTCCCTTTTTTTTTTTTTGTAAAAAATGGAAAAAATTGCCACAAAATAAAAGGATTATCGTTAATGGCCCTCATTTAGGCCTATAGGCACGCCCAAAATGTTGTTCTCAGCTTTAGTTTTACGTACATTACGTACAGGTACATTCGAGTTTTAGAGTAATGTACATAGATGGCACCCTTGTGTTCCTGCACTCACAGCTGTCATTCGAACCAGCAACTGTATGGTCATGAATTGAACACCGTAGAGACTCGGCCACTGGCGCTGCACAGGATGCAATGTTTAAAACTTCGTCTGCTCCCTACTGTCGATCTTGATTAAAATAAACAACAAACTTCAGCTGCCTCACCGTAATCACCTAGGATCTTCTTCTTATTTTTCAACGCTATACCGGCACGGCGATTCGAACCAGCGCCCTTTCGGTTAACAGCTGAACAGCTTATCGACTCGGCTACTGCCACCGCTTGGTAGGTAGGTTTAAATGTTGGTCTGTAAATTAAGCAGTCCATTGTTAAACAATATATGTGCATGATTTTCGGGTCCTAAGCCTTAGTGGACACAAAGTTTTCTGGCCTTCTCGAAAAACAAGCGGTAAATACACAGCTGTTAGAGTATTTCGTTTCGCGAGTCTTTTGGAATTTTTCATAATGTTGACAAAATTTACTAATTGGAAATTTCGCATTGACGTCAGAATGTTCAAAATAGTTTCTTCTCTCTATGAAGCACCAAGAAGCGCCCGGGCTTTCGTAACTGGCCATTTCTGTGTTTTTAAAGAAATAATTTTGCCTACGAGTTGTACGGCTTTTGCCAAATCTCGACTGTCGTTCCCAGATCGAAGCAGCGACATTGACAGTTATAGAAACAATACAACCGCAATAATCTGGTTTAATTTTGTTTTGCTCTTGGAAAAGAATTGCGTTTTATGGTTCTTCACCACGCAAAAAATTGTCTACCTGAGGTAGTTATTCCGTACACAAAGTGACAGAACTCTTTTTTTTTTTTCTTCTTTTTTTCACTATTCGGCGTTCATATCACACATCGTGCACGATCCATCATTTGAAAGGTGGCGATGTACGTCAGCCACCTTTCGCTGGCTGACGTCGCAGTAAGAGAGGAGAAAAATCAGCAATTCGACCTAAAACATGCCAAAGTTGTTCGAAAACGCCACTCGTACAAGTATGAACCTGTACACTCCGCGCCGTCGGCACGTTCCAGAAAGGGGGAAAGCGCTGGTTGCCAATCCAGGTCGTCCTCGCCCGATGTAACGGTCTATAAACCGCAATGTTGTGCAGACGTCAGACAAAACAGCCCAGCCCATTTTTTTTTTTTAATGAAATGACCACAGAACCGATTTGCAGAGAAATCAACTTTAATGAAATGCGCTAGGAAGTTGAAAAAAAAAATAAGTGAAGATATTCGAAAGTTTATACCTAGCATTATGCCTGGAAGAGCCACACGACAATGTTTTCGAGTTTTCTTTAAAATTTTCGCCACTTCTCTTACCTTTCTGATCGGAAATGGCTTAGGAGTCGATTTCATTGAGATACATTCATATACTTGAGGAATTCGAGAATTGAAAGATTTCCAAAAGCTACAACACATTTTGGTTGCAAATGCCCTAGCGTAGGAGTCGATTCCATGCAAATACGACCACACTTTTGGAAATCGAAAATTATAATATTTCCATAGGCTTACCTTTCCGAATGAAAATGACCACATGCCATATAGATATTGGTGTACTTCGCTGTTCCAGAAGAAGCAATGGAAACGCACAGCCTAATTGAGCACAGCCCAAGTAAAAACTGCATGCACCTCATGCTAACTAGGCGGCATGGAACCCCGAGAGCCTCAACATTCCCCACGTTGCTTTATTGTGTCCCATATATTTGTTGAGCGAGTCCCCTATTGCACGCTTCAAAAACACCTGAGAGTTGGCTTTTGGCAACAGCTTTATCCACACAAAACCTGCCATTCCCAAAGTTGTTTTCTAGCTCCAAGCTATTAAAATATTAAAGAAATTCGCTTAAGCTGATCAAAACTAATGTAAAGTCACTGTATGTGCTGCTGTGTATGGCGTAGGGCGACCATATTTATTTGCAGCATCTCACTTGCCTGTCAACATTTGTCCCTTATATAAATGTTTTGTCAAACTATGTTGAGCAGACATTTTATAACATTGTCAGCAAAACTTTGTGAGAAAAACAGTTTTCTTTACAAAAAGAATATATGAAAACATCTTTGTTCCAGGAGGTGTTTTTTTTTTTTCTTCAACATCTTGAGTTACCACACCCTTGTTCTCCAAGCGAGAAGCGAGCGCTTTTGTGTGGTACGAGCCACCCTATATATAATATAGATAAGAATTCATTAACAAAACACACACAAAACCGTTGGTAAAGGTTGAACAATTTTATCGTCTAATCAAAAGCCAGATTGTCAACATACTCATCAACCGGGTGGAAAATCACTCTCACTCCAAAGAAAAGGTCTTATATCCCTTCTTAAGATTCCACATCTTTTTTTAGTTTTTAATTCCACAAGTATGTTAAGACCTATTCACAGGAATGCACACAAATCTTCACAAAATAAATGACTCAAAACCATTTGAGAAGCTTTTTTCTTTTCTTTTTTTTTTTTGAAATGGGCCAATTCCAGAACTAAAACTAGCTATAGTAAAGCTGTATCACCACATACATATTCTCAACTTTCATCTGAAACAGCAATAATAAATTACCAATTATTATTACTAATTCATCAAGACTGTTTCAGAGAAAAGTTGAGAGTATGTATGTGCCAATAGAGCCTTATTCGTGCTAATTTCGCTTATGGTATTGGTCATTCTTTAGAAAAAAAACACCCCATTTATGGCATTCCTGATGACAAACAGTTTTCAACACGTCAATGTGAAACAGCCGTACATTTTGCACAGAAATTTGACTCTCCAGTGATCAAAAGGTTATGTGCCGCAGTTTAGAATGAACAGCCTTTCATGACACCACATTTTCTAGGGTACTAGCAGGAACACGTGACCATACGCTCGTGTCCTCTTTAAATGCAATTAGAAACACACTTAATTTGCACCCTATGTCAAATAATGAAGCAGCGCATTTGGCACATTATGAGTACTCATCATATTGTGCCATTTATGGCTTTTTGTTAACAAGACAAATAAATATTAATTATAAGTAGCACATATAAAAACAGTATAGAGTAAAATGTATTTTCCTCATGACTACAAGGCATGCTGCTTCTAAGCAGCATCATTATTCATCCTTCTATGTAGACACCATAGCTGGTTCAGATGGATAACTGTGTATTGTATTTATAGTTCATCATTAAGAGTAACATCAACATCACATCAGTGCAAAGCTTGAGGATTCACCTGTAGTGACTATGTTTAATTATGAACAGAGTTTGTATGAATGGTAAACTTGATATGCAAGATGCTATATCCAAACAGAACTTTTTTAGTACATTTTAGCAGTTTGAACAGTGCACAACAGTTTGTTTCGAACCCTAGAACACATTTGCTAATGCACATATGGATTTATAAACTTTATAGCACATTCTTCCTTTCAGAAGTATCATAAATTCCGCTAAGATCTATATAACGATAGCAGGTTCTTGCTTGGAAGGCAGGATCTTTAGGGAAATGCGATGTTGTAAGCGTGTAAATGAGCTCTCTAGTTCATAGTGGTTTAGTTTACTAAACCACTGTTTACTTTTTCAACCCCTTCCGTGTTTTCGTTTCAGTGTCGTTGTGAAACTAACTTTTCTTTTTATTGGCTCAAGAATGAAACGTACATTCTAACGAAACAGTATACCATGAAAAGATATCGGAGCTGTAGGCCTCTCACACATATGAAGACAACACCACACAGAAAATGTCTTTTTTTAGGAACAAAGGCGGGCTGACACTGTTTTAAGCTTGGCAAAGTTTAAAATTGTAACAATAAAGCATGTGTTAAATGCGTAAGCAAATATTGTGTTAACGCTGATGCCTCACCAGAGAATATTGTCAATGCACATTCCAGTTTAGTCTAGCAAGTTATTACTAAATTGCTCGTATATTTGGTCCACAAAAAAAATCTTCGATTTCCTAACTAAAGATTCGATTACAACAATTCACACAACTAAGTCTCTAAATCTGGATGTGTGAGGCGCACCCATGGGCCATGCAATGGTGGAAGTTGGCGACTTGGAGAAACCAGCAGACCAAAAGCTTCATTTTGATTTCATTACACCAACATAACATAGCAGTAAAGACTTGTGTTTGCTGCAATATGTTGACAAATCTAATAATATATTTGAGAATAGTCGTGATAGAAAGCATCTCTATTGCACAGTAGAGTGGTCCACTTAACTCGCAAATGGTTGCATTTAGGTATAAAATCCCAGGGTACAATGACCTTTTCCCTCTCAAACGCAAACTAAACTCCCAAAAGGAAAACACCCCAGTCTTGGGTTTGATCATCACTTTTGGGGAGGACCCAATCTTTAAAGGTGTTCAAGTATGCTCTCAGTTTCACAAGTGTTTCTGCAAGATTGCTGAACATTTTGTATAAGGCGCAAAGCTAGAAACCTGAAGAAAAATCTTGTCAACTCGGTTGATTGATTGGATATAGGTGATTCATGATGGCTCGAAATACCAGCCCGACACAAACAAGCACTTGTTCGCGTCTTAGCTGTCTCTGTCTACGTGTAGCGCTCGTATTTCTAGCCATATTGCAAAGAAGGACCAGTCTCGTAACGTGGTGGTAAGACACACGTCTACGTCGCGCATGTAGCACACTGCTGTAGGTAGTCATAGTCGTACGATAGGACCTAAGAGAAATGGTTCGACGGATTGTACACGCATATAGAGTTCAGTCCATACACGAAAGGGGTTGCTGATTATAGCGGCTGACGTAAGAATGTATAAATAGATGGCAGTAAAGGCAGGGTACACAAAATCACACACTCATTTGGCAGGGCATGAGTTGGGCAGCACGTCGTGCAGGGAAGCCATGTCGATCCAGTCTATGCGCTTGTCGTTGATGGCCAGGTTGCGCAGACAGCCAACGAAGTTGTCTCGGCCGAACAGAGCGTCGTTGCTGCTGCCCTCTGAATAATGCGAAAGCAAGAGGAAAACCAGTCGGGCTTTGAAATTCACAGATTTTTCAAACACTTTCATAACAAAGTGTGCGATACGGTGAAGATACCAAGCTATTATGTAAGTCTCTTAACTGTATTTCTCACCCAAAATAAGCTAGAGGTGGGGATGTAATGTATTCTTGATCACACAGGTAATTTCGATCTATAGATATTAGACTATAGCTATAAAACACGCTCTTACTCTCAATATAACGAAGTAAATGAAGAACAGCCTTGCATAAGATATAGAGTTAGGAATATACCGTTATAACAAACTTTCAAATATAACAAATTTATTTCAGTGCAAGTTGCTGCTTCTTTATAACTAGGTTGTAGTGCAAACATGTTTTGTGTAATGTTTATGAATTCAAGGTGCGTTGTACTTTTTGTAGAGTGGTTGTTACCCTCTCTCTTCCACATTCCATTTTGCCATTGGCTCATTCGCATAAATTGGGTAGGTTCATTTCACACATGACTCATTTTACCGGTCACCTGCTTCGAGTCGCGTGCACACGTGCCCCAGACAACACTTTTCGACTATCCCCTTCACTTGAGCAGCCAGAAAAAGAACCTTTCACAGGCCATTACAGCTATGCCAAGCCTTCCTGTCTTTTCCAAAGCCACATTTCATTGCAAACTCTTACGGAAAATTTTCTGTTTCTTACCGCACCTTATGTAATACCGCTACGAAAGAATATTTATTGCTCCGATATGCTTTGTACGCAATAGTGTACGTCACTTGTTATTGCTATTTGTGTCGGCTAGGGGCTCAGCATGAGCAAGGTACATTGAGGTTGGGATGAACTGAACCTCTTGAGTAATAAATGCATCTTCATTTAACTTTGTTTTGTGGTTAACTGTTGCATAGGACCACTTTGCTGAAGGCGCTACTATGTTTGATTGGTCCTTTGACATTCTATTTTCTGCGAGCCACACCCAAAAAGTATAACTTTTTTTTAGCTCGAAATGTATATATGTAGCTGAAATTACATATTGATTTAGACTTGATTATACTTGTGCAGGAATCAAACATGCATTAAAACTCATATCAAATTAAAACTTAATTATTATGATTTAGTTTTCTGGAATAAGACGCACAGTGTCTTGACGTATTACATAATTTTGATGCATTTATATACAGTTCTTATTAGGTTGCATCTGACAGAGTTACAAAAACAAAGCGCAGTTGACACGAGTAGTAATGGAGAAATAGTACATTTAATGTTCAAAGTGAATTAAATGCAAATGGTCATCTGGTGGAACAATTTCTAGTCAAATAGTTCGAATACCTCATACTAAGTTTTATTAAGAAAAATGAGCATTTTTGTAATGACCCAACTTACTCGCACAATATTTTCAAGAATCAGAAGTAGACGTGTGCAAATGTTTTTTTGTTGTTGTTGTTCCAAGTTATAAGTGCCTGGCACTGCAGTGAAACCATGTTTACAGAGGATTACATACGGTCGAACGTATGTTTATTCAAACTGGTAAGCGCACGAAGACCAGTATAGGTATGTCACTGTATCAACTGCCTCAGGTGCAGCCTCTAATGCATCTATTTGCTCGTTCCAAATACTTCGAAATGTTCAATAATTTAGATTTGTATCAAAGGGAATCCGAATACTGTAATCACTAGGCTCGTGCGAATATTCAATTGCTTTAAATATTTGAATATACTGTATTCTAGTTTGCTTTGATTTGAATTTAAACTGTTGAATATTTTAAGGTATTCTAAAAGATTGAATAAACATTAGTCTGCATGTAACTCTTTGTAAAGGTGGCTTCACTGCAATAAGGGACTGCTAAGCCATGAAAGTCATGAAAGCGAATATTAGTTTGAATGTAGTCTTCAGTGAAGATGTTAGTGCTGTGAAAGAATGCTACACTGTGAAACTACCTACTCAAAGGAAACAAGCACTACAGCGAAGCCGTATTTCAAAGTTAAATGAACATATTTTCTTACACCGATCCATCATTCTTCAAGTTTAACACCTGGTCATACTGGCTTATATGCTTTAGGTATAATATATTTTAATGAAAATAATAATAATTATTGTTATTATTGGAGTTTAACATCCCAAGACCACCAATTGATTATGAGAGATGCCATACTGGATAGCTTCGGAAATTTCGACCACCTAGTGTTCTTAACGTGTGTCTAAATAGCAACAGCCGCATTTCATAGCAAACTCTTATTAGAAATTTTCTGTTTCTTACCGCAACTTATGTAACACCCCTATAAAGGCCTCAAGCATTTATTGTAAACTTTAGAACATAGCATATTATACAGGTTATCACTTGCATTCTACCGAAAGCCAAATCCTGCAACTATTCAAGGTTCCTGCTTTCTTTAAAAATAAGACATTTGCACAGGCCTTGTTTCACTTTATAAAAAATGTTGCGTAGATCGGTTGTGTCATGAGAAACATGCCCATTTTTTCTTATAATATGTGATATATATTATACAAATTCAATTCGAAATTATTCGACCAAGATCATCATGCGCTTTGAACCAGAAATTCACTATTCCCACAAGCCAACTAATCACCCATCCCTAAATGTTAGGCTTGTGCAAACATTGAATTTTAGGTTCGAAGTGAATTTCAAGCGAATATTGATTTGGTTCAAATAATTGCGAATAGAAATCAAATAGTATATATCACATATTATAAAAAAAGAGCACATTTGTCATGACTCAACTAACCTGCAAAAAAATCAATTGAAACAAGGCCTGTGCGTATGCCATTTTCCTAGCTTCAAAGGAAGTGGAAGCAAGTTTGAATAGTGGCAGGACTTGACTTTTGGTAGAATGCCAGCGATAATCTGTAAAATATGTTACGTTGTAAAATTTACTGTAGTTAGAGCATATAACCCGGTATAGCAAGCTTTTAAGCTTAAAAAATGATGAATCGATCCGAGGGCAATATGTTCATTTAACTTTGAAGTGGAGCTTCATCGCAACGCGGATTTTTCTTGCTTTCACAGCTCAGCAATCCTCTGCTGCCGTGAGACCACCATTACAGGAATTACATGCGAAGCAATATACACGTATTCGTTTATTTCGGATACTTCAAAGTTTCCAATAATTAAAACTTGAATCAAAGTGAATTCGAATACTGTACTTTTCGTTCAAATGTTTGAAGCATTCGAATGCCCATACGAGCCTACAAAACGTAAGCTCGCGTCTGCCCAAGCTTACCTGGCAGGCCACCAATGTAGAGAGGGCTCTCAGTGTGCGGTTCGGCAGGCGTGACCGGAGCCAGGCCGTACGCCACCTGGTCACGGTCAATGCGCAGCGAGATTTCGTTGCGCGAGAAGTGCGCGCGCAGCTGGTGCCACTGTCCGTCACACATGGCGAAGCGCGATCCGAACTTCTTGCGGGCGCGGAAGGGGCCCGTGCCATTCTGGCCTAAGTCCACCGACACGATCACTTCGCCGTCGAGGAGCTCCATGGCCAACGAAGGTGCCCCTGTCGAGAATCACGATCATGAGAAGGTAAGCAAGCACCACATGTCTTTGTCATCAAAGTATCACAAGAAATGACCTAAATGAAGACGAACAGCTGAAGAAGGCCAGGAATGTTTTAACAAAATCGCCCTTGCCACGAGAATACTTCGTTACATCTGAAAATTCATTATAAATATATATTTCTGGCGCTATCTATGACAGTTATTCTTCACTTACTTCGTTATAGCCAATAATTCGTTATAATCGGGTTCTTTATAACCAAGTTCGTTATATCAAGGTTTGAGTGTAGGGAGCACATTCTGTAGCCTCGACAGTACCCTCAAACCTCAATATAATGAACTCAGATATAAAGAAATTATTTTTGTGTTAGACGCAACTTTGTTAAAACGAGGTTTAAAGTATTGTAGGAATTGTGACAATACGTAAAAAAATCGAAAGGCAAAAGCAGATACAGTGCCGCTGCTCTGAACCAAAACTGCAACCTTCAGGTAACGCGTCATGATGCTCTAGCAATTGAGCTACAGCAGCAGTCATCTTTACATCCATCTTATCAAATATTTTGCTGCACGAGACGTGGGAGTGGTAGCCAGTGCCCCTTGGTGGCATGACGACGAGTGTGGAACTTTTGTTTTGCAGGTTGGCTTTTTCATTATTGTTGTGCATCACAAAAAAAAAATTTAGCCTTTGATAACTTCCCCTTCTTTTGTACTACAAAAAAACTAACATATAAAGAGATGAAATAGAACGGTGCAGCTGTTCACAAGGGTCTGAAATATCGCAAGTGTCAAAAGCATGAAGATGTACGAGACAAATGACTAAATAATCCCTACATTTGCTTATTAATTTATAGAATGCAAGTATAACTTAGAAAGCACAGTTGCAAAGAAGACAGCTTGAGAAAAAATTGGCCCTGTATCTGCATGTAATCTGCAAATGTTGTCGAAAGACAATAGTCTTGTGTGAGGAGAGAGTGAACAAGACATTTATTTGATGTTCTGCTCAAAAAAATCAGTGAATGGTATTCTGGAGGCGCTGCGTTAGAGTGCCTCGAGCGTGCAGCGGAGGCAAACGAGCGCATCAAGTCACGTCACACATGAGACGTGAGCTGCATCTGGCAGTTTTCTTGGAAAACAAAGCACGTGGCTCAGACGAGTGTGCGCGCCCGTCTCAGAGGTGACAAGGTGTAGAACGCAAGGCGACGGATAGGTGCCACCACGGTTTCGTTTTAGCAAAGCGTTGGAACACTCGCCTTTCCGTGCAAGCGTTGCATGGTCAGCGCAGCGTGATAAGCGCTACGGTCCTTAAAGTTACTTCTGTATGCCTTTTCTAGTAAGAGACGCAGATGCAGAATATATATGTGTTGTTATGGTGCCCCACACATGTGCAATAATTGCTTTTTAATTGACCATTGCACAAGCATGAACGCTCAACCTTGAGCAACATAGGTGGGCGCTGCGGATGGGGTCGGCCGTTTCAAGTACCTGATGCCATTAGAGTGGACAAACAGATCAAAGTACAGACAGACAAACCAAAATTTTTGTGTTGAAGGTCCCTAAGAGAGACTATCATCTTTAAAATATGTTAAATTGTAAGCAGCCATAAGTAGGGGTATGTGCATATTAGAGGCTTCAAATATTCCATTCAAATAGTTCAATATTCAATTAAATTTGAAAAGCTCTTTTACTAAGTCTAATATTCAAACACCACGATACCTCATAAAAAGTACCGAAATCGGCACAAAGACACCGGGTTGAATTTCACAAGATCAGCTGTACAAAAATAATTTGCCTGCACTGCACGAGATTTAGTAATTCACCCGAAAATTAGTAATCACGCGATTTTCAGGAGTGATTTGACCGAAAAGATTACTTGCCACCAGTGAGGATCGAACCCCCCACCTTTACCTGCTGCGATACACTCTTTTTCTTTAATTCATATCAGGGTAAAGAAAGCTTTTCATGCAAGATAAAAATGACTTTCCAGACAGAAACATATTTAGTGTATAAACCAGTGAATTCAACACCTGTAAACTCGTAGCGACGACCGGATATTTACTGCTATTGCCAATCGGCGAAAAGCCATACTTGAGTGAAATAGATTCGAGTGCAAAGAAAGGATATGAGGCTCCAGAACACAAGATGGCTGAACAAGTGATTGTTCAGTCATGTTGTCTTTTTGTCTCTTGTCCTTTTGCGCTGAACTCTATTTCTGGCTATGAACCAGCTCGCCCAGGAAAGCATTTGTTAAGTCATATTTGACTGGAATATAACGCTTCAGGCTAGAATTTCTTTGTGCTTTGCTTATGATAATGCGCATTCCAGAAATGTTTCATATATCAAGATCGTAAGGCTACACTAACATGCACATCCGTATTTTATTCTGATAGCAATTATGTGGCCACTCCCAGCAGATTTTCTGTCGAAAACTGCTGAGAGTGGAAAACTGCCTTAGAATTGAAGACTGCCTTAGAAAGTCGCAAGAACAAGTGGCCTCCTACTGTAGCACTCATGATTTAGAAGAGAAAAAAAAAGAATACGAGACATACTTGGTGTCAAACGCCACCATGTGGCTGGACACGCAGAGGGGTCATTCCAAATGTCGCAGTTGGAAAGAAAAAGAAATATCAAGCAGCCTTAGCTTCTGCATTGTAGACGTTTTCAGCGCGTTCCTCAAATACAAACATGTAATCCTGAGAGTTATAGTTCGCAGTTGTTGTGTGTATACCTAATAGCTCTTTTTGAGCATCTTTCTTTGTGCTGCAGTGGCGTGCTGAAAGTATCGATCTGATTGTCGTCCTTCATGTGAAATTTGTATTTCTTGCTATCGCATTCCCCGCTTTGGCCTAGTGGCGAAACTGCTATTTTTTGCCTCTTCAACAACAAAAGGAGGCGTATCAATTACAAAAGGTCTCACTACATCATCACTTACCATATGCACCCTCCGACAAGCTCATCAACACGCCGTTCAATCTCCACGTCCGGAACTCCAGCTGCACTTCCAGCTTATTGTCAACGTTGAACTGCTCGTCTGCAATAATGCAAGATGGGTAAACAAAAGTGCAACGTTGAAGTCAGCCCCTTTATGTTTTATCTTACTGTAGAAGCATTTCCTTTTAAAGGTACGGTTAAAAGACTGTAGCCTTTCACGGAGCACAAAAAAATGGCCCTAAATTGAGTTACCGCAGCAATTTGAGACATACCCCATTTTGCCACTGATTGAAATTCATTTTTTCATTTATCATTTTTTTTTATTCATTCCACCTTAAGGGCCCGAAGGCATTACATAAGAGGGGGTTGTACATCCAGGTTGTAAGTTCCTAAGCAATGTAACAATATGAGGGTACACACTGATTACAATGAATAAGCAAATAAAGAACACAAGCGGAAATAACACGCATAACAAAACATAAAAACATATGATAGGCGATAAATGAATTCTGAAAGTACAGTAAAACAACTATAAACGCAACAGTTAAAGTGCTGTGAGGACATCGCATTTAGATTTTGAAAAAGAGTTTTTCGCGAAATGTTAAGTGATCCCTGCAAGAAACAATATTGTCTGGCAGTGCATTTCAGAGTGTTACGGCATGGGGGGAAAATTAGCTGCTCATCGCCGTCGTCCGGCATTTTATGGTCATCAGAGGGTGCGTATGGGACAGGCGAGATGACGTTCTTAATGGGCGTTTTAGGAGTTCTTAATTGCCAATTAGTTCAAGCTTCAGTCTCAAGAGGAGATGTACAGCAAAGACAGTTACAGAAGTACCACTGTCGATTGCTCGGTTGTTTTTAAAGCAAACTCCACAATATTTTCCAAGTACCTCGAATTAAAATTTTACTAGATGTATGGTGAACTTGGCAAGAAAATACAATTCCCCTCTAAAAATAATGAAAAATATATCATTTCACTATTTCTATTTTTTGACGAAACATTTGTGAAAGAGATTCTGCATGTAAAGTGTGCGGAATCTCTTCTGGTTATCAAATGTGCCCAAGGTATCCCTCTGAACCAATGTAGTAATTGTAGGCATGACCATTATTTAAGTTAAAAATTTAGATGTTTGATGACTGGATTTTCAGGGATGTTTTTCTTAGAGGAAAAAAAACTGATAGATATACAGTTCTGGTGGCAACACTATTATTTTGCGTCAGTATTGGCACATGCTATTCAGAAAGAAGTCACAAAAGTTTGCCTTGATAGCTGCAGTGGTTACAGAGAAAATGTTCCTTTTCTGCAAAAAGTATTGTTTGAAAAAATGCCGTTTAAAGTTCTAGTTGCTGCGGTGCAGACAGGAGATCAAGTGCATTTGGGGTTGTTTTTAAATGCTTTTCGCTGTACAAAAAAAAAATAAGAGTCACGTTGTGGAAGCACTCGTCATTAATTCTGGGATACCGTACTGTGAAAATACTATGAAAACTGAAAAATTGCATTTTCAGTTGATTTTGCCCTCTATCCCTTAAAATAAACATCTCCAATTCATTTGGATTACAGTAGAAGCACATTGATATATGCCCGTTTTGTACAACTTCCCAATGCTAATGTTAGTGATATTGTAATCGAGCGAAATGGTGCAATGTTTAAGTGAATACAGAGTGCCCATTTTCCCAGATAGCATGTTTATTTTCGCATTCTTCTCCCCGAGGAAACTTACAAGTGAGATTCTACTATATACAGCAAAGACCGTTGTGTATAAACCACTTCTCAACATACCATAAACAGCGTAGGCATCTCCCTGGAAGAATGCTCCGAGCTCAATGTTGGTAAAGCACTGTCCGACACCTTGCGACTTTCCACTGGCCAAGTCCACACTTCTGCTGTTGACGTTGAAGTTTCGGATGCAACCCTTGAAGCTCTCTTTCACCTGCAAGCGCATTCATTTTTGTCCTGGACTCTGTCGCACAATAAGAGATTAATTGTTTTTCCCTTCAATTCAAAACAAATCTTTTTTGAAGACTCATCATCTTTGCTACTGGAAACTACCCGGAGTTAAATTTAGTAGGCCTACACTCGCTGAATTCATTGATACTCTGCAAGGCGTTCGATTCCAAACATTATTGCCTGCTCAGATAATTATGATTGAATGTCGCACGTCATGTGCTGCGAGAAATTATTTGTTTTGAAGCAGATGCCTGTTGTTCAAATTCATGATGAATACAAAAGAATAACTGCGCATTCTCAGTTTCCTCTAAGTTCGAATACAATGCAACACAGTCGAACTCGGGTGTATAGAATCTGAAGGGGATCACAAAAAGTTCTATATATAGTGTGAGACAGCATGTAATATGGCAACCTTGTGCTACATGTTGATCTAGTCATGACAATGTTTCGTAGCAGTTCCTGGGTGCGCTCGTGCACTACGACTGCATCGATGCCATAGTTTCTGTTTATTAAAGCTGTTTTCGCCATACCATCGCCTTGTCTACGCAGCCGAGTCCTCACATTTGGTGTAGTCGTTGACAAACCATGCCGAAGAAACTGGAGCCACTCGTCCATTTCGTGCGAGTTGGTGTTTTGTGCTAGCTGCCCGCCTCACTGCCTTTACCTGCCCTAAGCCTTCTTCCATCTTGCCCGCCCGTCTATCGACTGCAATGCTGCTTATAAACTGCAATGAGGCCACTATAGAAGACCTCCACGGGTTCACAGCGAACTTCGTACGCCATGAACTTTCACGCCTTAACCTGAAGACGACTGGCTCGAAGGAAGACATGATTTAAAGGTTGCTTCATGACATCGCCCGGAAACGTCAACCGCCTGGTGGGCCCGACTCGATAGCTGAGCAGTCGGTTTCAGTACGAAAGTGCTGAGTGACCTACTACAGCAGTTTTTGGCGTTGTCACAACGGCCGACATTTCTAGTACAAGTCACTACGTTGCCCGACTTTTCGGGCTTCACTGCCAACATTTAGTGGTGATTAATCGATATGTGAGGTTTCAACGTCCTAAAACCAACATATGACTATGAGAGACGCCATAGTGAAGGACTCCAGAAATTTCTGACCAGCTGGGGTTTTTAATGTGCACCCAAATCTGAGCACACAGGGCCTACAACATTTCCGCCTCCATCGGAAATGCAGCCGCCGCAACAGGGATCGATCCTGCAACCTGCGGGATCAGCAGCCGAGTATCTGAGCCACTGGACCATCCGTGGTGGGGCAACCTTTAGTGTTGACGGTAGCATCTCGGCTCACCAGTGGGTTGAAGAACTCGAGCATACTCAAGGTTTGGCATCATGGACACTGTCTACTCTCCTAGCCATCGCACTTGATAAGCTCCGTGAGCACTGCTGCAGATTGGAAAAGCGTGGCAGGAAACCAGTTGGACACAAGGGAGAATTTCAAAGCTGCATTTGAGAACCAGTTTCGAGACAAACTTACGCTTTTGCAGTGGCAGCACATTGTCACCAGATGTGTCTAGTCACCCAGTGAGAGCCTTGTTGACTACTCTTTGGCGAAACTGGCCGTAATTTTAAGATGTCCGGTCCAACCGACAGATCCTCAGCGCATTGAATATGCCCTATAGGGTGTGCGCGACGCACGCATAGCAACAACTATTGCCGCACAGCGGCCACCAACTGTGAGCGCCTTTCTTGCCATCGTCACCCAACTCGACCGAACTATGGAGCATGCCTCTGTTTTTTCAAGTCAGCCGCCCATTGCAGCCACATCGTAAATGTTACGAGTGCCTCCCTTGCCTGTGCTGCAGATTGGTTCTAGGAATGGCATAGCTTCTTCACAAGTCAATCCACCTGCCTCATCAGCACCACATCAAATCTTGTTGTTACCCCTGGATCAACAAGACGCTCGTTATCTTGCAATTAGTTCCCAAAACGGTGCACCTGCTTATCACCCTGGGGAAGATATAAGCAAGGCCATATGTTACAACTGTCGCCAACCGGGCCATCTTGCATCGAAGTGCCGCCGTTCTGGAAGCGGCGCCCCGCCACCCAGCCAGCAAACAAGTTTTCCCTGCCTGGTGTGCCTTCGACCTTCAGAACCACTCGAAGAATCTCTTGTCTGGTGCCCTGTGATTCAAGCATACATTCCACTTATCGGCTCTGTAGACACATTTTCGGACAGTGGTTCAAAGCACACCATGCTATCGCTAGACGTCATTGGATCTGCCAATTTACTACCATGGACCAAACCTCCCATATCTGTTGTAGATGGCGGTACAGTCATGCCAGCAGGTACGTCATGTACTCTTATCTCTGTGGGGCTTATTTCAGCAGTACTTGAAGTTTTCGTTCTGGCTAGAAACCCCTTGCCTTTAATCCTCGGAGAGGACTGGTTTGAGGCCGTCCATGCTGAGCTCCTTGTCAAACCACCTCATTCAACAGAAATTCGCCATGCCAGTACAGGTGTTGTTATGCGATGCATGGAGAAGCCACTGCCAAGAATATCTAATGCTGTTGTGCTGTCCAATAGCTGTATGCCTTTTTTTACCCAAGCAACGTCTTCTACAGCCTGTTCGTTGTTGTCGGACAACAGTCAAACCCCATGCTTACCCGTCGACCAGAATGAAGAGTTGCCCGAGCAGAAACCACATGAACCGAGGGACGCAGCACTTTGCATGATAAATGCTACGTTGGACGTGCCATGGCTCCGTTGTGCTCAGATGGCCCCTTAGCAACAAGCAGTTATTGCAGTAAACGACGTCTTGCATCAGCCTACTGACCTGTTCGCCCCAAATGATAATGATTTAAGGTTCTACAAAGGGGCTGAGCATTCCACCGACCTTTTGCCAGATGCATCGCCATATGCACGTCATTCATGTAGATGTGGCAAAAAGGATCGAGATTTCATGGAGCGCCAATGTCAAGTGTTTCATGCTCAAGGCTCGGTCACTAAGACGGCACAGCTAAAACAAAGACTGTACCAGACAGCAAGCCAGCTGCTGAAGGTCAAAGACTTGAAAACAAACGAACAACAGGACGCCAAGGCAAGTATCCACTCAGCGGCACAGGAACTTGTCAGTTCTCTGGGTGAGCTTCGACAGCATCTCGGCCATAAGAATGAGACTCTCCGGGGTAAAAAGACTTGCAGGAAGTAAGCGCTAAGAAGGAAAAAACAAGCCACCAAGCCAGCTGCTAAGCCAACCCAGAATAAGCGACACAAGTCGAGTCAAGAAAGCCTAGCCGCTGCAAGCAACACGAAAGTGGGAAAGGCACCACAGAGTGCAGCTGCCTTCTACCATGACCGCCACGTCGTCTATAGTAAACTTGAATTGACTGACTCGTCAACTAGTACAGATGCGCGGCCTAAAGTTGAAAAGGAGGAGGAGGTTGACCAACAACCGGAAATGAAGGCGGAAAAAGTGAAGCACCTTAAAGAATGTGAAATGTGCTGTGTGAAACGGGCTTAGGAAAAGTGAAAATGCCACAAGGAAGAACAGATCAAGGTCCGAGATGACTATATTTTGAGGAAGGCACAGCTGAAGTTGTGCGAGAAGCGACAGCAAAAGAAGTGCAAAAAGTGGGATTCAAACACTGAGAACGTCAAGCAACGTCAGACAGAGTGTCACCAGAAATGTGACAACACCAAGGCACGCCAACAGGCCAAGCTTTAGACCAAGATGAAGAGCCTCAAGAAAGAACACCACAATGTTCCAAAATTTGTGGACCATTTAGATGTTTTGGTGACTGCAAGACTATGAGTCAAAGAAAAAGGGGGGGGGGGGCGATGTAAAAAGCCAATTGAGCCTTTTACAAAAAAGAGGGGTCAGATGTGAGACTGCACGTAATCTGGCAACCTTGTGCTACATGTTAATTTAGTTGTGACAATGTTTCGTAGCAGTTCTTAGGCGCTTAGAGCGTGCACTACGAATGTATTGATGCCAGAGTCTTTGTTTATTAAAGCCGTTTTCGCCACATCATCGCCTTGCCTACGTCGCCGAGTCCTCACAATAGGCAATTCGATATGAAAATTTTTTTATATATCAATATTATTTCAAAGGGATTTCACAACTATTCAATATACACAATCATTCGTTCTATGTGGCTTCTACATATGTGGATTCAACTGATTCTTGATTGATTGATATGTGGGGTTTAACATCCCAAAACCCCATATGATTATGAGAGACGCCGCATAGTGCAGGGCTCGGGAAATTTCGACCACCTAGGGTTCACCCGGGTCAACTTTTTCTACCAAAATAAAAAATGTGCGGCAAATTCTGTACGCTATTCTGAAAAATAACTCATGAATTATGGAATTAGGAGTGCACTCTCCCATTGTACTATCACTGGAGTAGATATTGACAAGTGCAATATCTTGATGTGCTTGGTTTAAATCAACAGACACTGTCAGCAATGTTCAGCACAAATCGCGCCTCTGTGTTAAAGAGGCTTCTTTGTTGTGGGAGATCATTTTGTTAAGATTGCGCACAGTATGCGAACACCTATGCTTATTTAAGAGCTTAAGCGACCATTAGTGATAGCTATGGAATGGTCAATGCGCAATGTATAAATGACAATGTGACCTAGCGATGATCAATTTTACCGACGGCCAATGCTCTGTTCACTAATATCAGTGCACAGCCGCCATTGTTTGCTGTAGCTTGAGGTTCCGTTTTCCCGGCCACAAGTTTCAAAGGGTTTCACTATGGACGTGTCGTCTCTGCCTTCGTCAGCATCATGACCCTGTGACAATATGTACACAACTTGCGCCAGTTTCGAGCAATGTTACGGGCAAAAGGTGGCAGTTCTGTTTCGGGTTATGGCAAATGTCTCCGTCGAGACGTGAGCAACACATCTGCTGCACTCACGAGATCTTCAGGAACGGAAAGGCCTGACGCAATGCCGCCAACGTAGAGCAGGGCCACGGAAGGGCATCCGCCTATGCACCTGCAACTTCAATGCCGCCTTGTCGTCTACGGACAGAATGAGTCGGGAAGCCTTCCTTCGAAAGGCCAACCTGCGAGAACGACAATGTGCATGCAAGTTGACAGACTTGGTGAAACACTGCACTGTGATAAACATTTCTGCACATCTATTTTGGCCACTGTGTCATGGCGCTAAAATTGCTTGAACTTATCGTTAACACCATCATCCATCTACAAAGCTCTGGCACCTCTTTTTTTTTTTTTTTCAGGTTCACCTCACCATTTATGATCGGACCTGCAAATCTTACACAGCCGCTGTTACACATCATAGTTGAGGCCACACATATACACTCAAATCTCGATATAGCTAACTGAACATAACAAAATATAGGTTATAATGAAGTAAATTAAAATAGTTTTGCAATATAGTGTTAGCAACATACATTTAAAATGAATTTTCAGATATAACGAACTTATTTATGTGCAAAAATGAAACTTTTTTATAATAAGGTCCGACTTCTAAAATTTTTCAAACACCTTAGAAATAGTTTGAAAATTCATATCTTTAACAAAGATCTCGAAAACTATAGGGCCCAGATGCTATCGATGAATTAAATGTGGCGTCGAATACTGATGCGTCACTATTATAAGCAAGGAGCAAGATTCAATTTAGGTTGTTAAATAGCGAGTCATAACATGCATATGACTATTACATACGTCACTGTAACAGCGCAACAAAACAACCAGACTGAAAGGCACATTAAGCGAAAACAGATGCCATTCTCATCCCAAATACCGACTGGCATTAATACATTTTAGGCACTATGGCGAGGAATTTATGTATTGTTTTTTAGCTCGCTGTAGTAAAGGAAAGTTCTGCCTAAATTGTCTAATTATGCAGTTTCGTTGTTGCATGTAATGTGGAGCTGTAACCCCACACCTTGTGCAAAGGCCTGGCATTCTTAAGCATTACAAGATGCCACAGTTGAAGTTGAGAATGCAGTGAAATTTGGTGATAACACTTAAGATTGTTTCATATTAAAATGTTAACGAATCTGAAGACTTCTCTTGCAATAGCATGTATCAGCATTCACAGTGGTGATTAGTTGTACCTATGATAGACAGAAATTCAGAAAACAAAACATTCATGTCAATGGTAGATGAAACATTTATTGACATTATGTGCTGGCTCTATAACATGGTGGTACTGCTATGATTAAGTTGATGCAATCAAGCATGCTATAAAACATTAAGCTCATAATGCAAGTTGGCAGACTGCATTGGCTTTTCTTAAATAATTGTGGCCTTAACCTAGGTCATTTTCACCCAAAACCTAATGAAAACAAGGAGACTTCAGTTATTGCAATAGTCAACAACTGCAAAAATTGGGCATTTAACTCAAAGCGTTAATTGCAAGACATGAACAAGCGTTTAAGATGCAACTCCTTGGGTTGGCACAAAAAGAAAATTGTTTTCGAGCTAAAATTGGGAAATGGTGTACTCTAGTTATTACAATTGGAACATCCAAACTAAACAATCAACTATAATTGATACGAAGTACATGCTAGAACATTATTTAAATTCCAAAAATTGTACACATATTTCATGTGAAGTCTTCCATATATTTACCAGCACAAACTGATTAGTGTTGCCTTACTGCTAATACTAGCTAATCTTGGCTAATGTGTGCGATCCGTTATTACAGCAGCATAATGAATTTGTTCATATGCACTGCAATACCTTTGCCTCACTTGACCAAATGCTTCACACCTCCCAACAGTTCTTCGTAGAGTCAAAATATTTAAAGCAAACTTTTCACGACAAAAGCTCGGTACAGTAGACTCATTTAATGGAGTTTGAAGGAACCAGAAAAATGTATGTTCAATTTAACTAATATATATTAACCGAAAGATGAACAGGCTGCACAATTCTAGCACAAAGCCGATCATATCGCAGGCAATTGTTTCAATGCGACAGCGATTGAGTTTCTGAGATTTCCGTTTTCTGCAGTTGGCAGGTACCCGTGAAGACTAAGTCAACGCACGAGGACATGGTCGTACGGTGCTGGACTCACGTGATGCCAGTGGCCGTCGTTGAGTCCACCGTGACTGTGGAGTTTCTTCGGCATCCCCCTGTCGGTGACCTGAAGCAGCACCCGGCCTCCGGAGAGGACGAGAGAAAACTGTCGGCTATAGGAGCCGGCCTGAGCCAGCAACAGCACTCCGTTGGGGTAGTACGTCCGCAGCTCGAGGCTCACATTAAAACTGCATTGCGACAGTGGATCACGAAATTCTTTTAAAAACAGACAAACCTAGCATGCTGAAAGTTTTGTTTCCTAAGATAACAGATATAGGGTCAGTCCACAAAGTAATGAGCATGGGTCTTGTAAAATTTAATACATTGGTCCCGTCGACACAAACTATTAAAGTTCTTCAGAACAGATTCCTTGGGTTTCAATATTGCCTTCAATGCAATCCCCATCCTGCAGAGCCCCCCTGAAAATCGGCTGCTGTGACATCTATCAGAGACTCTGCGACAGCGTGATGGACAGCGGGAGAACTATTGAAATGGTGATGTTTCAGGCTTTTCTCGACATTTGGGGAACGGAAGAAAGTCTGCCAGGCTCACGTCAGGGCTGTATCAGAGCAATTAGACCAGACACAACTATTGAGACTCTGTGATAAAGGTCGCAGTAGCTAACCTCTGGGAGCCTTTTCAGTGTGGGAGTCGCAATCATGGCAGAACAGTGAGCGTCTCTGCCAGCATAGCTGCCGTAATACTTTCTTCAATAGCATATTGCCAAAAATTTTTAAGGTGTTTTTTTCCAAAGTTGTGTTTTCATTACTCTCTACAGGACTGATCACATCTACATTGTCAGTGCACGTCCTCTTGCATTTATGGTGATTGCAAAGTAGGTGTTTCGTGCTATCGTACGAAGACGTATTGTAACTCATTGTTTTCCTCATACGCCACAGCAATGTAATCGAACACCCATTTATGTTGTTAGCAAAAACGATAACCACAAGTTTTCTGGTGTCTTAGGAAACATTACTCTATCAGGAGCTTTACCTGTTCGAATCACCTTAACCGACTGCTTCTTGTCCAATTATTGCAGACAAAAAACTAGCCCTATTTGGCATTCAGGATAAAGTAAATAAATACCGTTCAAAGCAAGGCAACAGCTTCTCACTCATTTCTAAACTCGATGACATTCTGCATCTCCACATGACTGTTCAGAGTGTCCCCAAACTTGAAGGCCTTGTCGTCCAGGTCGTGCGGTGGCTTTTCCGAACACTGGTCAAGCTGCTGTTCGGTGAGGACGGCCATTCGGTCGTGCTCAGGTGGCATGGGACGCGGGCGCTTCAACAGCCGCCCAATGCCGGCTCCCTCGTGAGACACCGGGAAGTTGAATCCCAGCAGTCTACGGGAAGAGAATCAGCGCATTTATAAAACTGTACAACATTGTCAGGCAGCCTTGAAGGCTCAAACCACAATGATTCACAGAGGTCACACAAGAAAGTTTGTCACAAAGCAACTAGTTTCCCCAGCAAAATTGCTAATATAGTAACTAACAGCCTGCTAGGTTATGGCCACTGATAGCTTTTATCGGTGTATTAATGTAATAGGCTATCGGCAAAGGTTGTCAGGTTTAGGTTATTCATTCATTCATTCATGCAATACAATGCGTCGCCATGATAAACTTTAACCACGATATAACAAACCCGTATATAAGGAAATATCGGTTATAACAAAGTAAACGAAAAATAGTCTTGAAATAGATACAGTGTTAGGAGTAGACCTTTGTAAAAAATTTCATATATAAGGAACTTATATACATGTAAGATGCAACTTAGTTAAAATGAGGTTTGAGTGTACTATACAAATAAAAAGAAAATATACAGTACACTTTCAGTAAACATACATCTATTAAATGAAATGTCTGCTTAAATGGAATTGCTTAAAACATGACTGGTTTTATTATTAAATTCTGTGGCTTTGTTCATCTCTCAGAAAATAGAGCTTCTGTTCAACTGGACTGGTCTCTTCAGGTTCCATTTAAGAGAATCCACTGTAATATACAAAGATGTCCCAAAGTAACACTGTTTGGAAACCCCCTGTTTACACATGTATAGCAAATAGAATACAAAGATAGGCAAATAAAAAAAAGACCAGGTGAATTAAAAGAATGAATTTAATGAAAGAGATTACTGAAGCTCTTGGTAATTTAAGATTATACATGCTAGTAAAAAATACCTGCACTAGAACAGGAGTATAAGTAATTAAATCAAATCACCATACACTATCACAACACATCTATATCAATATCTAACACTGTCACATCTAGCATGAAGTCTAATAGACCTATAGGGGCCGGTGTATTAGTCTAATAGAACATTGCTCTAGTAGATTGTATTAGTTTAGTATGTCTATAAGTGTATTAGTCAAATAGATCTGCAACTGTGTCATGCAAATCTTGTCAGAAATGGTCGAATAGTGGCAATTTTTAGTCTGTTGCTAACTGCTCAACTTCAGCCACACGGCTAGAAAATTGAGCAGTGAGTGACAAAAACACCTATGTGAGGTCGACTACTACCACTAAGGTTATAATGCACCTTTTGATCCATCCAACAAAGCCCAAAGTTCCCAGTATTTTTACTTACATGTGTGTTTTGTGATCAACTTTTATTCTCATTCCTCTCATTAGTTTGTTTTTTGTTTTTTAAGCCTGTGTCGTCTTACACAGTTTCCTGTTCTCGTCTCATGTTCCATATTCTTTAATATTTTTTGTAAATTACAAATGCACAATTGCAGGCCTATGGCTATTTGAAAGAAATTAATTAATGCGACAGAAGGTTGCAAACTGGTTCTGTGGCAACCTGCAAAGTAGAGGAAGGGTCAACAAAAAAGTCAGCAGCCGTTACTTTAGACGAAGCCACAAAAGAGTCCATACAAGTTTTCCAGAAAATAAAGCTTCCGTGTTGAAAAACCTGTTCTCGTCTGAGATCGAATCCAAGACCTTAGGCATGAATTGTTGAAATGCAGATAGGTAGGTCAGAAGACAGGGCAGGGTGCTCCATTCTACTGAGAACACTCTCGCTACTCACACATCGTTGAAGACAGCGTCTTTGATGGTGCCGATAAAGTTGTCTCGGGTGGCCGCCTGGTCCCCGATGGCAATGCCCCCCCGTACGCCACCAAAGAAGAGGCCTCCCATGCCGGGACCTTCAATGTCGGTGGTGCCCTTCGGCAACCGCAGACTGTCTATTTCAGCATCGTCCACGTTCACTTGAATCCTGCATGAGCACAGAACATTAGGCCTTTTGTGCATCCCTGTTCTGAAGCTTCGACAACCATGTTAACTAATAAATACTCATGTCCCATGACCTTAAACTCAAAAAGCTGATAGATATTTATATCGTTGCGGAAAAGAATAGATGCCGTATCAACGAGGCTGTGGGTTAGATGTATTTTAAACCAGTGGTAATGGCGTGACCAGTTGACCAGCGATCGAGCGGAGACAACCCATCGTCTTCTTCGTCAGGCACACACGCGCGTAGCCCCCTAGAATATCAATATGCATGCATGTAGCAATATCGCATGATGTTAAACTCATTGTAAGCCCACTCATGTAATGTCTTCGGGCTTTAGGAATACTAAAGTGGAATAATAAATTTGTTTAGCCTAATGATACTTTTAACACTATGGTGTTGTTAATTCAAGGGAAAAATTAATGTCAAAAGCTTCACTTTTAAAACCTCCTACCGAAATTTCTTATAATGAAGTCACGAATTTCAAAGTAGATTTCCTATTCTGACCACACTGGGTCAGCGAAATCCTCAAACTTAATTGGTATGGCGAGCCTCTGCCTGCCTCAGAAAGACAATGTACTCTATTTTTACCGATTAAGAATTCTGTAAGCCCTAGCAAAGGATTCAACAAAATCAATGACATCATGGCAAGTCATGAGGAAACTTCATGGCGGCATCGCCCTCCCCAATTTGTTCTGGCCCATTTTGTCACTTACCAAGCATTTTTTCGCAGCAAGCATAGTGTATCTGGTATCACAAATGAGTATTTAATCACAAAAAACTTTGTTTTTACACTTTGTTTCATTTAAGATTCAATAGACGAAATGAAGACAACAGCTTGTTTATACGAAGGGCTGCTGTCACAGGTGTCGGAACAATTTTGCAAGCCGTAATCAGTTACAGAGAACTGAAGACTCAGTACGCTCGCGCTGTTCCATTCAGTTCTGAAAACCATCATAATGCATAAATGCAGTGACGAAAAAGAAGACATTTCGAACTGGTGATGGCATCTGGTGGATGTAAGCTTGGAAAACGCAATGTAGCTGCTAAGAGAGGAAATCATGGAGAGCATATCAGAGTATTAAAAAGCTTCGAAAGTACCAAACAGTGCAATTACAACATTAATACCTACCTAAAACAAGCAATAAGGAAGAGCAAAATTTTGGTATCAATACACATTATTTCTAAGGTGAACGAGTTGGATATGTCTCAACAATTCTTTTTTATATAAAAGATGACTTTAGTATTGCCAGCTTACTTTCGATGCCTCTTGATGATGGTAATGGTGTGGAACTTGTTGTCATTGTAGCGCTGTTCTGAACGGGAGGCCACTTCCCCAGCACCACCATTCAGACGAAGCTCAATGTGACCGTCCTTCAGGGCCACTGAATAGTAGTGCTGGAAATAGTAATCAGGTTGAGTTTCCTGGCTTACTCTCTGAAGGCATCAGCTCTTTCAAGGCATCAAGCTCATCACAAATGTCTATCAACACACCTTAGGAGGTAGGGTGTTAAATACAATTCCTTACTTCGACTACGTCGTCTTGCTAATTGACACAATCTATCAAAATGAAAGAAAAAAATCTGACAGGCTAGTTTCATTGTTGACACAGCCCTATGAAAATGAACAGGTAATGAAGCCAAGAAGAGTATATTGGATGCTAATTAAGACTCTTAGTAAACGGAACCTGAAGGGACCGGGAAAATATGTTCCATTCAACAGGAGCTCCGTTTACCGAGAGGTGAACACGGGTGCAGAATACAAGCCCAAAGCCAAGCATTGCAAAGGAAATAGTTCCGTTTATGCAGCAGTTCTGTTTAACATATTTCCATTTATTGAGAGTCTACTGTATAGCCTTTTACCTGTATTGCAGTAATTTCAATATAAATGTAAAGAGAAGTAAAGAAAGAACTGTTTGAATTCTCTTTTGGCTGAAGTTTGGGGCATATGGAGCATTAGTGAGTGTGGCATGTTGATCTTTCACGAAGGAAATCTGAAGGTATGTTAGCCTTTACAGAAACGACATTTGGCAATAAATCTACAAGACACAGCTGATTTAAACTCACGTCTCTTTTGCTGTCGGCACCTCGAACTCCCGAGAACGTTGAGATCATGATGAGGCCATCTGTCTGCATCGACTGGAAAGTGAACCCAAAGTTTCCCTCCGCGGCCAGAGTCTTCCCCTTCAGTTCCAGGTAGCCCGTGCCTTTGAAGCTCACTAACTTCACCTTCTGCAGGGTAACGAACAATGAACGCTAGCACCATCGAGAAAAACAGTACGGATAACAAGTGCACGCACAAAAAATGGCATGTTAAACAATGCATGTAGAATAAGCTCTACCAATCTTCCGTTTTTAGGAATGATCAATGTGAAAACAGCTCATATGATCAAACTTAACACAGTAACATCTGATCCAAATATGCCACTGTGATAAACAGCATTATGCTGTAAGCTGCTGCTGAGCAAAAGGGTGTAGCAGCTTTGTCAAGCTGTCTCTGACAGCTTTTTCTGCGCCTCCACTGTCTGTACCCTACAAGGCAGAAATAAAGAATTTGAATATCAGGTATCTGACCACAAGGATTGGAGCTATATAAAGATCATTTTATATAGAATTTCTATCCTGTGTGTGAGCTATTCATAAAGACAACAGGAGCAGCAGCAATAGTTAAGCAAAGCCTTGACAAGGAAAGCTTTGCCTGAAAGTTTATAGAACCGAGGGATGGACGGAGAGACATACAGACCAACAGACAGACCAACTGAACGACTCACCAAAAGACAGACTGACAGAGACTGACAGACTGATCGACCGACAGACAGATTGATTGTCAAAATTTACAACCAGAATGAGTACACATGGACAGAATCGTGCCTTTTCACTGCAGCCAGGGTCTACGCCATATGCTTCATATTTCAGCAAGTCCAGAGTTGTTGTCTCAACCTGAGGGTTCTTCATGCAGCCTATGTAGTTCTGGAATCCCACTGTGCTGAACCTGCACACAAACAAAAAACACATTATATGTATTGGTGCATAGCTAGGCTGCTTCTCTTATTGTCTGCATATGCATAGCATCTGTTTATACAAACATTGTCACTATGAGGCCACATATAAAGAGAACAATACAGATTAACACGTTGTGAACTTCAGCGAGTTGGCAACATGCTTTCATTCGGGCTCATCGTTAATGCACTTTTGTAAGTTCACTATAAGAAAGAAAGAAGCTTACCTATGTTCTATACTAACTGTAAGAATGTGGTTGTTGCGTTTTATACTGTTCTGAAAATTTCTAGATTCACTACGTTATGTTGGATATAGTTCCTTGCATCCAGATCCTGCATATCACCGACTTTCAACTTTTTACTGTGAACTTGAACTATAACTTCATAATAGGATATAAATGTGTGCATTAATACACGTTTAAAAGCTTTCACGCAGCGAGTAAGTGTGGAGACAGCATGTCTGCACTGTCTGCTCAGACAAATAGATTGTACTTTCCTTAGTTCTTGTATTAATCCCACAACTTTTTGTCTTGTAAATTTTATACAACTATAAAACTTTTTATTACAGTGCCCAGCTCCAAGTGAACGCGTTCTTAGATGCCTTAAGGTTGTAACAACGTTCTCAGCATGATTACTCGCTTCTTCAAAGCGTATGCATGGCTTGTCCCACTCTCAGCTCAGATTATCAAAGATTTCGAGTCACAAATAGAACATAATCCAATGACAGAAACCGACTAGTCTCAAGGTTTGCTCATCCAGCACTTAAGGGATAAGAAATATTAGTTATATGGAAAACTGCTAATTGAAAGTGATATACGGACATTACGCATAAAAAGTAGTGATGACTAAACACACATAGACAGAAACGTACTTGGATGTGTCAAAGTCTGGAGGGACAGCGCCGAAGTAGAGATTGCTTCGCTGCAATTGAAGTTCATTCGAACTGCGTCTCGGTAGCTGACCCTGGAGCAGCTCATCTTCCACGGAGAGGACGCCTGCGCACAGGTACAACCATATTGTTTGACACATGTGGCACTGTTTCAATCGTTTAAAGCATTGGCGACATTCTTTTTCACAGGAGCGCCGACACGACATACAATACTGTAGCAGGTCACGATACATGTCTTTTCTGTCTTATTTTTTGCAAATGCATAAAGACGTGTAAAATGTTTCCATCCAGTTGTTTTCTGCTTGTGCCTACTGCTGACATGTACAGATAAAAAACGTTTTGCTGACAAGAAGTGTAAAGAAGGCGCTCCCCGTCAACACCTTCATTTAATATAAAGATTGTACAAAATTTTACATATTTCTTCGTCAGTCAAAACTGAAAAATAGAGCATCTGCACTGGTTTACTATCGACACATTGCTAACACATACTGATAGAGCATGAATACATTGACATAGCATGTATTGGGTATCTGTTATGCCATAAATGGCATAACAGATACCCAATTCTTTCTTTGCATTACATGTTTCTGCATAAGCGGGGGTGCCTGTAGAGTAAAGGTCGGCAAACTCACTTCCAAGTCGAGTCACTCGAAATCACTCAGACTAAGATCGAGCCATGATCTGAGTGTGTTCGAGTGAGTCCGCCTGAAAAAATGTTTCGAGAATGTGGCTCCGACTCGGTTCGAATGAGGAAAATTTCGGTAAGCCTGATTCCTGATTGAATCTAAAGGGCAAGATGCATTTCTTGAGTGGGTTCCACTTTTGTTTGCCAACATATGGTGTATAAAGCACAAAAACAGCACACAGGATTCGCAAAGGTTGCGAAGGGCATGGATGCCTGACTGAGTTATTGCGAGAATCTCGGAAGTCAAAAAGAAAGGAATGTCATCCAAAAGATGCTGCACAGTGACCAAATTCAGTATCACAATTGAAGACTAAACCGTGTTCTTCAACCTTAACACTTCACAAGTGTTCCAATTTTTCATTCTGAAAGAACACGTTATGAGAGTTCTTACTTTTTTTGTGAATGTAAGTGAATACATACTCTCTAAACACAAGGCACTGAACAGAAGGGCACAAGAGAGGATTCTTGCAATTGTGCAAGACAGCACAATAAACAGGGATACAAGGAAAGCAAAAGGGAGAACAAAAACACCAGAAGCCCCGACAAGGACAGCACAAAAAGCGTCGTACGGGACACGAACTCGAGAAAGGTGGAAAGGACAAGAGTGATGCTGTCCTTTCAAAATGCCTCGAGTGTACGTTTGGTACCAACGCTCTTAATTTCGTGAGTCCTTACCATCGCCCTCAAACTCCTGATGTACCAATAGGGTATAGTTTGTATTACCATCTGCAGAAATAGATAAAAAGCAACAAACAAATGTGACTGTCTCGAAACAAGAATAAAGAAGCAAATGCAGCTCAAAATTAGGGGGGAGGGGGATTAAGTATAGGGGTGGCAATCGTTTGGGGACCAAGAGCAGTTTCCATGTGCTGGCTTTGAGGCAGACAGGAAATGCCTGTTTTAAAATAGGGCATTTATACTTTTTATCTGTGTCTTGTGTGCACTGCACAAGTCAATAGGAAGGTAACCTACAGTAAATAACATAATCACGTTCCCAAGGTAAGCAGAATATTTTTTCTCGTGTTTTATTGTGTATTTACAATGCCCTTTTCCAAGAACAACATGGTACTGGGTTGGGAATTCATTCAGAGTGGTTGATGCAATAAAAAAAATATTTGTATTGTTCTTTTTTTCTACTACTAAGACATTGCTGTCCACATTATGTGAGCACACTAACAGTATCTGTAATTCTTGTACCGTTTGGCTAGTCATGCCCGACAACATATGGTGTACTGATGAGCATGATTATATATGTTACCTTCTACTGAAATGCATGGAAGGGCACCGGGAGTATTTCATAAATGATTCAAACGATTGATTAATCAATAGACTAACCTTCCTGCTTGTCACGCTCGGCGATTACGCGAGTCCAGTTTCCACTGTTGTACCTTCGCTTGGTGCGCAACTCCATCGGTGCACTGTTGCTCATCTTGAATTGGAACACTACGTGGCCACCCCGGAGACCCAGGGAGACAAATTCACCCTGTGCAAAAGTTTTCGCAAAAGGTAGGAAAGTAAAAAAAAATGTTCAAGAAAACCACGCAGCATTTTTTTTTTCTAAGATTGCACAAGAGTCTTCATGAATTGCATTCGAATAAATAAGACATTGCTATTATTTTTTTTTATTTATTTACAGGTACCTTACAGGCCCTTGGTTAGGGCATTGAGTAAGGGGGGCTAACAAAGACATGTACAACAAGTAAAAGGGCGAAAGGTGCCAAAACGTAAGCTCGAGACATGAGTAACAAATAAACAAGAAATAAGTAAGTATAAATTGACATCATACATCGTTACCAAAAAACTAGAAAGATGCAGTTCGTGGCACGCAGCAGTTAGGAAGTGTACAATACGTGTAAGGTAAATTGGCACAGATTGTGGTATAATACACTGGGAAAATCATGAAAGCACTTGCAGGAAGTGTGAACAGTTCGTCCTAAGCAAACAAAAATAAAGCACAAAAAATAAGGGGGCCATAAGCGCATTAGAAAGAAACTTTTTTGCACAGCATTATGAATGTCATATACATACAAGAACGAAGCTGTGAACATGAAATTATCAACCAAAATATAAGACCAATTTGTTGCGGAAAGAAACAGGGTTAGTGTCAGATACCAAGTTATCGGGAAGATCATTCCACAACGTGATGGCACGAGGCAAAGCGGATGCGTTAAAAGAGTTCGTTTTGCCGTACATACGCGAGAAACTAAGCCGGTTGTGTAGTCTAGTTGATAAATAGGAGGGTCGTTCTATTGGAAGTCTGGTCATTTTAGTGCTATTGACGTATTTATGAAAGAGGCATAAAAGAGAAATGTTGCGGCGAGTGGATAATAATTGAAGTGAATAATCCATTTTAAGTTGTGTTACGCTGCAGCAGAAATTATAATTACGAGAAATGAATCGGACTGCCCTATTTTGAACTGCCTCGATCATGTTGGTTAAGTAATTTTGGTGGGGGGACCAGATTGGTGAGGCAAATTCAAGTTGAGGTCGAACAAAAGTTTCGTAAGCTAGTTTTCGGACGTTAGCGGGGGAGGAATGTAAGTTACGGCGTAGGTATCCCAGTGATCTCGAGGCATTTGCGCCTGAGATCATTTGCGCCCGACATTAAATAGTTAATGTTACCCAAAATTACCTAAAATACCAGTGTTATGCCAAGGTATGCTCTTGCACACAGGAGAGGAATGCAAACACTTTCACAGAATGCACCATTGTGTTCTTTAGTACTTGGCAGTGACTATGTTGATGGGGCCCGTCAGCACATGACTGTGATACACACTACAGTGCTCATCACCGTAGTGTGTATCTGAGGTAAATCGTAATAGTGAGGGTATCGTCCCGTGGTCGTAGTGGCACAACTTTATTGAGAGGCCCCACCCCTGCAAACCGGTCACTACAGTGACGGGGCCCATCAGCTTGTAACGCAAGAGTGAGCGAACCCATCAGCACACCAAAATCGTTAAAATTTAGGGGGGGCTGTTATTGTGAACTTGTAGTAATTTCAGACAGTCGAATTGTTTATGTGAGTCAACATTAACTGACACACTTGTCTTATGCCAAGCTGCGCTCTTGCACATAAGAAAAGGATGTTAATATTTTTACAGGGTTGCAAGATTTTGTTCCTTCATACTTTACTCTAGTGGTACTCTGGAACCATGAAGAGAGTGGTCTTATGCCAAGCTGCGCTTTTGCACATAAGAAAAGGATGTTAATATTTTTACAGGGTTGCAAGATTTTGTTCCTTCATACTTTACTCTAGTGGTACTCTGGAACCATGAAGAGAGTGGCAGTGGAAATATTAAAGAGCAGAAAGTAGCAATCCAAATCAACGCTGTCAGCAACACTCACCGTTTCAGTGTTTGGAGCAATGAACAGCAGAGCATCTTCGTCGAATGTCTTGATGAGCAACGAGATGTAGTAGCTGTTGCTCTGGTAGCGACGTATCTGGGGCAGGATGGAATAGCCCTCGCCTTTGAAGTGGAACGCGCTCGGGTCCACATCCTCGGTGGGCCTGAAATACGCATCGAAACGCGGGTGTTTTCGGTTAGCACAACACAACACTGCTACGTGAGTTTCCCTTATTCTTGCGATTCATAGTCACGCGAGAATGTGCACAACATCAAACAACTCATTCTTCATAAACATACTATTTGTACATTAACAAGTTACACTTGCGAACAAATTAATTGCAAATTATCTACTGAACAATGTTTGCGACTGTTTTATGGTCTTGGCTTCCCTATAAGATTATGGCTTCTCTACTAGTTCTGGAACTTGCACCATTGCTACTACAAATACTACTGATGCTACTGTGATCTTGATTTTCTCCACTTTGGCAAATGGGCCTTGTATGTAAGTCTGCAATATTTTCCATATTTGCTGCTTTGTTACAACATGATGCAGTAGTAATTTAAATATTACTTATTCTCACCCTGATTTGCAACCATCACAGCCTTCGTTTGTGAGGAAGTTCCACAGGCCGACTTGCTTGCCGTCCAGGATTACTTCGTGCAGACAGCCGACAAACGTCCTTGCAGTAAGCTCTTGCGCAGCCTGGGAGCCAAAGCAAAATTACAGCCACACCATACTGACCTCTGTAAGGGTCTTACGTACGGAAAGGCCCCCACCTTTCTGGGGGCTGGAAAAAGAATTTCCAACTGAGAACGGCAATACAGGAAAATGAAGTTTCAACCAATGTATCTCAACTAATGACATATTCGAAGTGCTACGTTCTATGCGAGAGTTAAGCGATTCGACGTAATAAAGACTTACAACACCACAGATGGCATGGAAGATGACTTAACCCACAAACGTGATTGGCACGCATAATTAACAAATATGTTATGAAAAGGATAGCCATCATTTTTGTGTGACCCATTACGAAGACTTTCAGCGGACCATAATTGATTTTGTAGGCATAGTAAAAAAATTTGAAACTAAGAGCCCAGTCTTGCGTAAGGTCTTTACCTTGAAAAAGTCAAGTGTGCCCTTTTCACAAATTTATACACAACTTTTTTTTTTTCTTTTACGATAAAATCCGCTAATATGTTCATAAGGGGGGTCACCATATTGTAAGGTAATACTATGGTTTGAGAAGAAGGAGCAAAAGTAAGAATTGTAGTTATTATGTACTCAACCAAATCAAGCGTACGTGAGAAAATACAACAGGTGAAAAAGCAGAAGATCACAAACAGTACTTCGCTCATTTTACAGGCATTACATACCTAGTTGCCATGAATAAGAGCCCTAACTGAGCTACTCATATGACGAAAGCCTGCTGGCAATTCGGGTGGTCAGAATAATGACGCACTTATGGCTTCTGATTTCTCACTCAATTTATGTGACTGATTGTACGACTTTTTATTTAGATAATATTAAATCCGTGTGTGTTAGCACCTGCTATTCCCTTTGACTGGAAGCTCTATAAACAAACTAAATGATACATTGACATTTAACCAAAATGGGTCAAGAATCAAAGGAAATGGGCACCACATAGAAAAATAATCAGTATTATTTATTTAATATTTTAATTAGTTGATTATTCTATCAAACTTATCATTATCATAAAACCATTACCAGCAGAAATGGTATGATAATAATGACTCACTTTTATAAAAACCAGTTATAATGTGCTAACTACTTTGTTAATTATTAAGGTGCTTTTTATACATATATTTATGAAAAAAATTGCTCGCTTAATTGATCGATATAAGCATCTCAAAGGACATTCAAGAAACTGAAAGTTCCTGTGCATATGATTACAACATAAAGAATCACTATCATAAGAATTCAAGCACTGAATTTCAACTGATTGCTGCACGGCTTTTCAGCCGTGCAGCAATAAGTTGAAATGCAGGCTACTGTACAAACATAATGATGCATTTGGTTTCTCACAGAAATGTTGTCAGGCACTGAGCCAACATAGAAGTAGGAGCTGGAGTCCAGGTCCATCTTGCCAAATCCAGCCGGGGCAGCCCCCGTGATCTCTTCGGGATCGTCACGAGCGCCATCGGGTTTACGCTTCACACTCAGCGTCGCTACATTGCCAACTCTGAACAAGAAGAAATGTTGACATACATTGACACATTTGTTGACTCATAAACACATATTTAAAGAAAAACACTGAAATAAACATAGCCTAATGTCTTAAAAACACAATCACACAAAGGTTTACTGTTTCCTCAGTTATACACTCAAATGCCAATGTAATGAAACCAAATATTACAAAATATCGGTTATAACTAAGCAAATTAAAAATAGTCTCGCAATAGATAGAGTGTTAGGAATAAACCTTTACACCAAATTTATGGATATGGCAAGCTAAATTTTGTGTAAGATGAAACTTTATTCTGATGAGGTTTGAGTGTAATATTGTCGTCATATTGAAGCTAATTTCGCTTTAGCAATACATCTACATATATTTCGAATCTTATGACAAAGTCAGCTTCTAATATATATATATATATATATATATATATATATATTGAATTTACATTGGATATATGATCACCAGTTTACATGAATTGTGTTGCTTGTACAACAGATGAAAAATTCGTGAACCCAAGGTGTCGCGAGACGACATTTTGGCCAGCGGACTTGTCTTCAATGCTGTAACTACTTCCTTCAGTGCATGCGTGTGCATGTTTTGTATGCTCTCCTCCAACACAAACAAGATAAAAGGGTAACAACACAACTGCCCTTTCTTCATCTTTTGTTTGGTTTGGAAGAGAGGGTATGAAGCCTACACATACATGTACTAAGGAAAACAGTTGCAACATTGAACAAGACAAGTTCGCTTGCTGGAACGTCGGCTCGAGTGACTCCCTGTGTTAACAAATTTTTGAAATATTTAAAATGGCCATGCCTCACTTTTTAATCAAGGTCAGAAAACACCGCCGATCGGTAGTAGAGGCTCCCGAGAAGGCGAGAGCAAAATATTATAGCACAGCGTGTGGCCTGCAATTCACAATAAATTATCGAAGTCAGCTAAAACCTGCTTTCTCTTCCCTCGAGAAATGACGGAGGAAGCCCGAAAATCACTCGTAGAATTCCATCTATCAGCAATTGGCTAAAGTCAACGTGGCGCGCTTGGTCGTTACAGGGATCCCCACGGGAGGCTGAGACATGTCCACGCGTGCGCGCGTGATCATACAGAAGAAGCCACATATTCTAAGAAAAAACAAGGAAAAAGTATGCGAGGTCACGAGATGTGCGTGAAGTATTTTCTTTGCCAGTGCCGACCCTCCCTGCTTCCAGTGCTTTCGTTGGGACGAGAAATGAGCAAAGGTGACTGCAGCGTGCGGCAAATATTTGTATCTCCGCTCGTACTGGACAGATTCATAAAGTTTTTGCGGAGTTGAATTCGTGAGGCAATAATCTCTTTTCGTGAATTCATTCCACAGTTACTTGAAAAAGTGTTTCAGGGCCCCTTTAAGCTTCTATCTTTCTCCTTGTTGCTTGCATAAGTCAGAACTGGCTAACGTCCCAGTGCTTTCTCCTTCTTTAATCCTTGCAACAAGATAAGCAATCTCTTGACAAAAGATGACACAAGAGTCAAAGAATGCTGTCAATGTAAGAGTGAAAAAGCAAACATGCAAATATTCAGTATCTAAATCACAAAAGCTCATTAAAAGCTCGTAACTGCCACTTGCCTGAACACCTCCACCTTGTACCAGTTTGAATCACGTCCGAGCTGTGGGTCATTTGTCTCGATATGCATGCTGTGAGTGATGCTGTGTGTTCCTCCCCCGGCGTTCCACGAGAACTTTATCTTTCGGTTTACCATTTCGATGGCCATGAAGTCATCCTATGTCAACGTTCACGAGAGAAACAAGGGTGGCGAAACAGACATCGATGCCTTAAATCAAGGTACGAAGCAGGAATGCGAAGCCTAACGCTTAAGTCCAATTTATGACAATCACTATTTCCCATTATCAAGAAAGCTAATCATACGATGATTTGCAGGTTATGTCCTGCAGACATCGAAGGTATGATGTGGCTTTTATGAGGAAAGAATGCAAACAATAAAAAAACAAAATGACAGACCTATCATGCAGATTTAGCCGCTAAGTATTCGTGGTATCTGACATGACAGCTACGACAGTAACAATTAATAGAAATGTCTTTATTACACTTTTGTAACCAAATTAACATTCAGCAAAACCTTAATTCTGCTAGAAAATCTAATTAAAAGATGCTTGAGGAAAACTTCTTGAAATTTCAAGTAAAACACGAAGCACTTCTGGCATGGAAACTTAAAATTTAAGTTTTTATGAACTTAGATTCAGGCAGACTGCAGACCCATTACGGACTCAGCGACCTTTAGACTTTCAGGATTTCAAGTTTCTTTACAAACTGTTTATTCATTTGAATAATATTAATGGAATTATCACACCAGGCCAGGTAAATATCTCACCTTTCCTTTGGAATTGGCCAAGAAGAACAACAAACTGTTCTGGTCATCTTCCTTGATGGCATAGTTGAGTATGATGCTGTTGGTCATGGTTGACTCGATCTCAGGCTTGAATGACCGTGAACACTGGTCATTTGAGTCGGCACTCAGCGACACTCGTATCTGCAAGCCAAAGACAAAATTAATGGAGCTGAAGTTGCTTTGTCGTTAGTATACGGCCAAGTATTACGACCAACTATATTACTTTCCGTTTGTACAGGTGGAACAGAACAAGCTGTCACAAACTGGCACTTGCAATCAAATATCACCTGATCATTCTGTTAGTCTGGTTTCCAAAACATAATGAATGACAAGTACTGGGATAAACTGGAACATTTATTACATTAGGTTAAAATATATGATAGAAATGGCCCTTATATTATGTTTCAAAGTAACAGCCAAATTAAGAATCAATCAAATGACCGAGCATCAATCACGCACGAATGAGTAAATGGAACTATTCTCTTTTTTTTTCTGCATATAATGTTTTTCTCTTTGCATCATTTTCTTCTTCGTTCGTATGGCTGTATGTGCAACAATTGGCACCATATACATTCATCAACTTGCCCAGCAAGACACTCTTTCAAAGTTGAGTGAAGAGCGTACTGCACCATGTGAAACGATGCAAACATGATTTTCTGCTCCCAGGAAACATGTTCCTAGGAGCTTGTAGCACTGTTAAGAGCTGAAACACAATGTTTGAAGGCTCTGATAGTGCGAGGAATGGTGGGACGCACTGGTCTGCATTTTGGCACCTCAAAGAAGATTTTTGCCAAATCGCCCATTCTTCGCCTATTATTCCCCAGTGGTTCGCACTGCCTAATCTCCTAGTAACATGAATGCTTGCAAAAAAAGCCTATATATAAGAATCTGGATTCTGTTTTCAGTTATTCTGGAGATAAGTGTTGATATATTTCTTGAATACATGGGATATGAGATATCAGATACATGATATATGAGAAAGGCCTTCTTTTAAGTGGCAATGTTAGTTGACATTTTCTTCAACCCCCCACAATTCCAATCTTCAATGACCCAGCCTTAGCAGCAGACTTATAGACCACTGGCATAGATGTATGAGCTTAGGGCCCTTTGCATGCTGAACGAAATGTCATCGTGAGACCCACGCTTGAAGCCCGCTGTCTAGCCAGGAGGATCTTGTCCCGCAGTTCCTTCAGATTGAGCTGCAGCATGTTGTGTGCCTGTCGAGCTCGTGCCGCAGACTGCTCGGAGCGGCTGGCCAGTTGGTCAGCTTGCTTGATGCCTCGGTGGGCTTCGTCAACTGTAGAATGACATTGTAAGCACACGTCGCAGCACTGCAACATCTAACATGCAGTCAATTATCCATACAACAAAGCTGCATCTGAAACAAGAATGGCTTCATTACAAGCAAAATTAGTTATAAGCGTATATAAACAATGGCTCAATAGCAGGCCTATTCATTTCATAACAAAAAAAAGAGCAGGGAAACGGGGCAAGAGATACAGGGCTTGGCAATGGATAACATGAGTGTTTGCCTACCCTGTTTCTTGCTATGAAATAATTCTAACAAGATCAAGCTGAAACCCTCTTAAGTACATGGTGTACTTCGTTTTAAAAGATCATTTGTATTACATTCAAACCTCATAATAATAAACTTGCATCCTACAAAAAAATAAATTCGTTACATCTGGGTTCGTTATATCGAGGTATGAGTGCATACAAATTTGTTGTACTGAAGTTTTGCTGTATGTTTGAACCACCTGTGTACTTCCATTTCCCATCATTTTAACTTTCCTCTCACCCTGGCTATTTGCTTAAAGTCGTATTTCTAATTTTGTAACACTGCACCTTTCCAGCAGCTGAACAACAGTACAGGACTTTATTAAAACCTGATAATAACCTCAATGCCTAAGGATCTTTCTTTCCTATAGTTCCCTCCTTTTTCTGTTCCTAAATAGAATAATGTACACTAGACTTGGGAAACGAAACTCTCTTAAACGAAACCGTTGCTTAATGGAACAACCATGCAAAAATGATCGGTTTCACACTCGAATTCTGCCACTATGTTCATCTCCCAGTTAACAAAACACCTAACACCTAACAACCGGAAATTTTTTTCTACTGGTTCTCTTCAGGTTCAGTTCAATAAGAGTGTACTGTTCTACAGCTACTGCTATGTAGTTACATCACAGTCAGATATCAGTTGTTTTATGCCAGTACGTTTTGGCATGTAGTAATGCGATGGCCTTTCATTAGTGCAGGCATGTGCAGGACAAAGCTTGGCATCTCCATAATTGTTTGATCTAGAAAATGACAATCGGTAGTTCGCATTTTGACATGATAGCATAAATTGGCTTGTTTAGAAGGAATCCCAGCATCCGCATAATTGGTTGCGAGAAAAATCACCTTGTCTGTAACCGAAAAATCGAGAAAGATTCAAATGAAATAAATAAATATTTCCAGGTTCGAGTGAGGATCGAACCCACGCCATTTACATGGCAAACAGGGGTTTTACCAAACAACCGCACGTCTGCTTGACAATACAATGAAAATAACTTCCTCTGCTTGGAAATTCAGTGAAAATAACAGTCACGCTTTACCAACACACGCATCATGTATAGAGGCTTCAGAATACAACATGTAACGTCGCAGTAATATTGCATGGTACATTGCCATTGGTCATCAGAACAGGCGATTATCATAACTACCTCTTGGTTTAGAAGCCAACAGCCATTACAAAAGGCACACACATTATTGCGTGTACTTCCTTGAGAACATGTAGGGGTGCATAGCAAGTTTGAAAGCATTTCACGAACATTTTACTTATGATTTGAAGCATCCTACCCATTACACAAATGCAGCTGAATCTGTAAGTTTCACTGACATAAGCCACTTTCAATTTTATCGATTGAATTTAGAAATACACAATTTAGGCTTCTTGAGTAACATCATACTATAAAAAGTATGCACTAAGAGGTTCAAGTATGCACTAGGGACAGGATATTACTATCGTGTTCTACTCTTAAAAGCAAAGCTTAAGGAACACCTTATATTTTTCTTTGAATCCAGGCATAATGCCTGCATTGGTCACTTCGTTCCCCCGTATCATCGTTGTAGTTTGCACCATATGCAAATGGAGAACCTCGCTCATAGGTTTAAGAAAAAAAAGAAACGTGGAAGAAAAGTACCATACAGAAAAATGTACAATGCAAGCTTACTAAAAGATTGCACAGTTTCACTTGATGAAGACATTGCAAATGGAACCAGAAAATTGTATGAAACGGGAACATATAAACGAAGTTCTACAGCAACTACCAATTCAGCATGAAACACTCACTGAGACGCGTCAGGTTGTCGAGTCCTTCAGCAGAGCCAGTCTTCAGGGTTTCCACTTTGGCTATCAAGCCCGGCAGACGTCCAACAATTCCGTCCACAAAGTTGTTGGCTCCCTTCTGTTTCCCGTCTGCACGATTGGCTTCGCGGAGCGTGTCCTCCAGCGGACCAGATATGTCAGTCGGAAGGCGATCCAGCTCTCTGTTGATGGCCGCTACGGCTTGGTTTCCGTCTTCGAAGTCTTCACCGAGACCCTTGAGCCGGCTCTTGGTGACACGCATTGTATACTGCAGCTCTGGCCGAGCAAGATAAGAGTGACACCAGGTGCGCAGTGTGATCATCGTCGTCGTCATCATCTTACTTAGAGATACAAAAGAGAAGAATAGTTTGATCTGTGCAAGTAATGTTCTCTTCTACAATGCAAAAGCCTCCCCTTTGATCTAAAAAGATGTTTGATTATCCATGATAAAGACACAAGAAGAAAACTTGGGCGACAAAAGCGACATAAGCTCCTACACGCTCGTCAAAACCTCGGAAGTATTGATGGCATCCCCTAAGGCTTATATAGTCATTTATGGATAAAGCGGGAGTACACTACATTTCAACGAAACCGAGTACCATATATTCCGGTCTATAAGTCGCACCCTTGTATAAGTCACACCCCCCTCAAAATGGCAGTTTTTCCGGAAAAAAAAAACGTATATAAGTCGCACCGGTGTACAAGTCGCACCTGCTCACCCAGTGCCACATCATGAGAAAGCACTACGAAAATTCATGCTAGAGGTGGCCGTCCCGCTTGCAAGCTTTCAGCTGTTTGCACACACGCGTGCGAGCTCTTCCCAACATACATAAACACAATATTTTCATTCTGAAGTATCTTTATTGCGATGGCTAGCAGCGTTTAATCAAATCCATCGAAGTCTTCTTCTTCCGAGTCACTGACAAATAGTGCAGCTATTTCGGGTTGTACTCTGGGCACGTCGTCCTCCGGCACGTCAATGTCGTCCTCCGACTTGCTCGATTCAGACTCAACATCGGACTCAACATCGGTCACGCAGGGGATCAAACCAGCCTTGCGAAAGCCCGCCGCAATGATCTTGTCAGATATTGAATTCCATGCTTCGCTCACCCATTTTGCCACTTTCCCTAACTCAGCGCGTCTCATGCGCCTCGTTTTAGTGAAGCTGTGTTCACCCTCCGACATCCATGATTCCCACAAACGTCGCAGGACGGCCTTAAAGCTACGATTAACCAAAATATCGAGTGGCTGAAGCATCTTGGTCATGCCGCCGGGTATAACTACAGGCATACAATTCTTCGAACCGATCTTTTTTTTGACAATGTCGGTGATATGTGCCTGCATACTATCCATCACCAGCATTCCTGGCTTCACGTGAAAGAATTCGTCGGGTCGACATGAAAAACAGCGGTCAAGCCACACACCCACCATTTCTTCGTCCATCCAACACTTTGTGTTCGCTTGAACCACCACTGTAGGAGGGAAAATACCTTTCGGCAAGGTTTTTCTCTTAAAAATAAGCATGTGAGGCAGCTTGGTGCCGTCTGCGCAGCAGGCGAGCACAACGGTGAAGTGAGACTTCTTGTGGCTTGTTGTCCTCACCGTGACAGTCTTTTGGCTTTTCTCGGCGACACTTCTGCCAAGCGGGATGTCGAAGGTCAACGGCACTTCATCCATGTTGACGATGTGGCTCGCGCTGATGTTGTTCTTCGCTACTTCCTCCCGCACGAATGAGCTGAAGCGTTCCAGCTGCGCGCGGAAGTCGTCAGGAAGCTTCTGACACACTGTAGTGCGGGCTCTCATCACAAGCTGATTCCGCCGCATAAAGCGGAAGCACCACAACGGACCACCAATGAACCCCACAGCGTTTGTCTCCGCTGCCAGAGCCTTCGCGTGCAGGCGCAGCTGCACTGTTGATAGGCCTCTTCCTTCGGCTCTCTGTTGCAGCACCCACGTTCTCAGGCTACGCTCTAGGTCCGGCCAGCGTGCCTTCTTGCCGTCGTTGGCCTTCTTTGTAGACTTCATTGTCCGGAGGACGCTGTGGGCTTTGCGCCAGTCCCGGATTATTTTTTCGGCAACATCAAATTCCCTCCCTGCAGCACGATTTCCATGTTCTTCAGCAAATTCAACTGCTTGAACTTGGCATTGAAACTTCGCCGACTTTGCATCCATGTGGAGCCATGGTGCCGTTGTCAGATTAGCGAGGCCGCTGAGCCTACGCCACCTGCTACGACTGGCACAACACACCCGACGCGCGCACCAAAGCAGCAGCCGCGAGTGCGGACGGAAGTGATGGCAAAGGAAGCGGCTCAGAAATCCAAACTCGCCTTTCATCATTTAAAAATTTTAAAATCTCTGCACATTTTCACCCCTCTTTGATTATTTATTTTCTGTGCTAAGCTAGATCAGCTGTGTTATTTCTAGAGAGTTATTTACCACTATTTTTATTTTATTGTAAAATGCGGTTTCTGTGCACGGCAAAAGGGGGCGCACGGCGATATCCAGGCTGCCGAAGAGCCGAAGCGGTCGAAGCCGAAGCGGTCGAAGCCGCGGCCACCGCAGCATCAAACCCGATTTCGACTGTATATAAGTCGCACCGACGAAAACTTCAGAAAAAAAATGCGACTTATACATAGAAAAATATGGTACTCAGAATGGCAAAAAGTTCAAGAACCTTTATGCTGAGTCAACACGACGAAAACGCAAAAAATTATTGCAAATTGAAAAAACAGCACAAAAGGAGACGAAGCATAAGCAATAAAACACAGAAGACAAATGCTGTTTTTGATCACACTATAGCCTAACGAGCCACACTTCTATGAAAAATTACTTCGAAATCTGTATCACACTGATGTGCAAAATCTATATCACACTGATTGGGTTCTTCGTTTTGGTGAGGCAGAACTATGCTTCATTATTATAACTCATGTATTCATGCTTTTTAATTTTCCTTTAGGTGACACAAAACCCCTGCCCGAGTTCAGCCTACCTGGTATGTCTTCGTCCCTGAGCTGTTTTGCTTGTCTCAGCAGATCCTCGCTTCGCTCCCTTGCACTCTCAGCTTGGTGCATGAGGCTGTCGCCGGCCCGTGGATACGCCTGCGTGTGACGACACTAGCATGTTAGTTAACAAAGCTAGAGCTTAAGTAGACAATAAGTAAAGCAGCAACAAGAAATTCAAGAACAATCTATGAATACTAGAGAGTCATGTTACAACATGAAAACAAGCATCACACCTTCATGATAGAGACGCAAACTTTGTTTATACTAAAAAGCATTAAGATCACTTTGTCATTTCTGAAGGCTTCATTCTCCACAAAACTGATGCTTTGGGAGTATTTGAACATTAATTCACTACCTCAGCCAGGCTTACTAGTGTTTGTGAGAATCATTTCATTAACATTAATTAAGACGAGAACGACAAAAGTGGCACCTCGTCGAAAGCTCTGTCAGCGGCATCAGCTGCCTTGCCAGCAGCTTCCTCGGCGTCATGGAGAGCGTCGACGATGTTCTGGTACACGCGGGCGGCCCGAAGCGGGTACTCGGACACCTCTTGTGTCGTCCTGAACTGGCTGTTGTCCAGAGAAAAGAACAATGTCACAAATCGTAACAGCAACGGTTTTGGAGCGTCGGTAAAGAGTGCGTAAGCATAAGCGGTGCAAATCTTTCAAATCTTTGTTTGACATTTCAGGTACACGTGTTAGCCACACAGGGAGTTAGACAAATATGGCGTGGCTGGCCCTATGCCTCATTATACAGAAGCACATATTGGTTGCACATAAATAATATTCAGTACTGTGCACGCTGTGAACAGAATGAAGCTAGACATCACATTTTCTAAGTGTAATGAGTAGTATGTACCACTGTTCAAGATAAGCTCATCATGTCGCTACTATTTGGCTCCTGAAGATTATGTTGGCTATGATGTATGTGTCCGAGTCTAAATTATGCCAGTATGAGACAAACTGAAGACTTTACACAAGGGTATGTACATTACTTAGCCATAAATTGTTGCATTTCAATAGTTAAATGCTGTAGATAGTGTCCGTGATAGAGCTGCATATGTAGGAGCGTGATGTTCTCTATACAAAGTGTGGTATTTTACAAATACTCACGGATTCAAAGAGGACAATTTAGGGCTAGGTAACGCACATATTTTCATTTCCACGTGATTAGTTCAGGTCACATAGGCATCATTTCTACTTTAACATGTATACCAGAGCCAACATCATCATTCGAGACCATATTTGTTGTGATATGATGTGGTTATCCCGGAAAAGTGCACACACCAGTTTCTAAACAAAATATTTGATGCTGTGTTTGAATTCATGAGTACGATATGCAAAGTCATGAGTACAATGTACACAGTAGAAGAACATGCTACTAACAATGAGTAACAAGGATGAATGAAATGATTGAAAAGAAATAAATGGACTTTATCCTCATTAGAAGCTTTCACACAAGGCCAGGAGACCATCAAGTCAAGAAAGGTGAAGTTTAATGCACTAACATCAATACCGAATAGACAACATTTTGAGGTTAATTCAAACTCTTGTAAATCTTTAACCATTCAGGTTTGAACAACAACGAGTTAAGAACGGTTTGCTATCGGCACTCTCAGTTTTAGTGCTGGGTGGCACGTTAATGAAGATGCAAGAAATAATAATTAAAGTGAACACAAGAAAACACCACTTACTCTGCAAGAGCACCAACACGGATGCCCATGTCGTCGGCGTGTCGTTTGCACCCTGCAACGTATTTGTCCCGGTATTCAGGGTTCAGACGGTCGAGAGTGCCGCGCCGTTCTTCAAGTGCATCAGTGGCGTTTGAAATTTCCATAAGCAGTCGAGGTAGCTCCTGCACATAGAACAGCCAACAATCATGATCCAATAACGTTTTGAGACATTGAAACAAATGTTATTAAACCATTAAAGCAAACAGAAAAAATAACCAGCTCACAATGAATGAGTAAAAAAAATTAAGTGTTCGTTTCTTTGTTTGATACAACAACTTTAATCAAAACCAACAAATAATGTAACCAAGGAACGTACACGGGACATTAATTGTGCTATTTTAACTGTATCGTGACAATTGTGAAATGTATGCAAGTAAAAAAAATAGACATCTTGCCGCCAGCTGAGACCGAACCTGCAACCTTGGAATAACATGCGACATCTGCTTGCAGATGTCGCATGTTTCATCAACTTACAACAATGCTACATATTATGAAAAAATTGCTTTCAATGACCATGCAGTTTGATATTATCGATTCTCACACAGTGTGTGAAAACCATAAAAACACATATTCAAAAAAAATCTGCACTGCTGCGAAGCCCCACTTCAAGGTTAAAAGATGATACAACACTTACATCAATTCATTTTTTAAGTTTAAAGCTGGTTATACCAACTTATATGCTCCAAGTATAGCAGATTCTAAAACTAACACATTTTACAGGCTATCACTTGCCGATAGTTACAGCTTAAGAACAGGATGACGACAAAGGGACAAGAAGTAGATGAGCACTCGTCTCCTTGTCCCTTTGTTGTCATTCTGTTCTCGCGCTATAACCATCTTCACGTCATACCAACTGGCCCAAACCGCCACACTATCACTTGCATTTGCCGAAAGTCAATTTCTGTTGCTATTCCGAATCGCTTCCATTTTCTTTGATGCAAATAAGTAGCATTTCCACAGGATTTGTTTCAATTTTTTAAAAATATTGTGCAGTTTAGCTAGGTTATGACAAATACACACATTTTTTGATAACATATAGCATATATACTATTCAAATTTGATTTGAAATTATTCTACCAAAATCACTATTTGCTTCGAATTCACTTCAAACCTAAAATTCACTATTTGCACAAGCCTAATGAACACCTACTGTAAGCACGCAGTAAATAGGATTGGGGAGGTCGTATCCCCTTGTTTTATACTAGCCGTTATTGGTACTCTGTTGCTTTCTTTATGGAGCACTATGGTGGCAGTCGATCCGCTGCAGATTTCTTCCAGGATGTTTATGTATGCTTTGTCGACGCCCTAGTTCTGCAGTGTCTGTAGGACTGCTGATATCTCTACTGAATCAAATGTTTTCCCGTAATCTATGAAGGCTATGTATAGTGGTTGGGTATATTTTGAGCATTTCTCTATCACCCAATCGATGGCATACATTTGGTCGATTTTTGAGTAGCCTGTACCAAATCCCACTCGATCCTTCGTAACCGACTATACTGCCACCTAAATTCTCTGAGCAGGAACAGCATAACTTGCAGCACAAGTGTGTGACAGATTGGCACATGCCAAGTGGCAAACTACTTTTTATGATATTCTGTGAAAACATCTGGATGACACTCACTATTCATTCAATGCTTTGTAAGCAGTTACTCTTGGCAATATCTGACAGAACAAACAAGTCTACTTAAAAAGGCAGAAATATATACTAATTTGTGTAGTGTTTCCTTCAAACAAATCTTAAATATCCTATAGCACATCAACAAGAAACAGCTGTTTATAAAAGAAACTGAAGTATACTTCTGCATTCTTCAGCTGTAATGAAGAATTCAATCCCACTGACACAGTATTCAGTGATTACAGTCTTTTTAGAGTTTAGAAAGTATGCATCAAGTCTTTTGCATCTGGAACAGCAATAAAAGTTGAATAACTAACGTCAAACTTGAAAGCAGCATCGATAATCGCATCCCGGGCTTTCCTCAGCCATTCCCTGGCTTCAACCAGCGAGGCATTGGCTCGACCGGCGCCATCTTGACTTCCACCGATGAAATTCTGAAAAACATCAAGACAAACGTGCTTAGCTTGTAGGCAATAAAGTGTTAATAGAGAATGTGTGAAGCAAATATGTGAACCAAATATGTGAAGCAAATTTGAATATTGAAGCTTGAGTGCAAATTGAATCAAATATTTTTCGAATATTTCTAGAATATTTTACAAATACTTTAAAGTGAAACTGCAGGAAAAAAAGCTGGAGAGAGCTGAAGCCAAATCTTATGAGACAGCAACATAGTTTTTTTTGTTGTTGTTGTTAAGATGATGGAGCGCTGAAGGGGTAGGAGGAGGAGGAAGCGAAGAAATGAAAGGCAGGGAGGTCAACCAGACGCACGTCCGGTTTGCTACCCTGCACTGGGGGAAGGGGTGAGGGGATTAAAGTAGAAAAGAGAGAGAAGTGAAGGGCAACGTGTGTGTAGATGTGACCTTGTCCATTGCACGCTTATAAGCGGTCGCGTAGTCCGGTCGTCTTTAGAAAAATTAGCAGTGCTCACGTCACTTTGCCAGCCTGCGACGCGTACAGCCATGAACCAAGAATCTTCTCTTCGGAGAAAGGTCTACTGTCAAGGGTCTACGTTTCGCGAACCAAGTTGCGTTCGCTCGAAAAACGTTCACATGAACACAGTAGATGTTCTATTGTCTCGTCAGTGTCACACGATTCACATTGGGAGTTATCCGCCATTCCTGAAGGGGTAGTGTTTCATAGTAGTGTTTGAGGCAATCGAGAGGCCAAATTGCATTTATATACATGATTTGTTGCAACCAAAGCATTGCCAACAACCTTTTACACATGAAAGGCAAAGATGCTATTTCCTTGCCCTCTGCTCCTTTTTTTTTTTTTTTAACCTCTGTGGAAGTCCAGCTGTCGTAGCGAACAAGAGCGTGCTTCCTTGAAGTCCGAAGTCCAAAATCTGCCTCGTCAAGAACGTCCGATATTTTGAATGCTAAAAATCTGTGGCTCATAATTACTCTGACTTCCTGGCCAAACTTCAGGTTTAAAAGAGCATTATATGAGCGCCCACCTATTCCCCATTTATCATCAATATATCTGCAGAGCCTCGCAAACAGCTTTGCCGCATTACAGAAATGCAATGGGATGAAGCATACTAAAATTTTGAAGGGGCCATTGTCAATTTTACATCAACTGCCTTTTTGTCCGCGAGAAGTTCAAATAGTGAAATCCCAACACGAATTGCGTAAAATAGCAAATCCTGCTGAAAATTTTTGAAATTACAAATATTCGCAAAGCCCTAGTAGTCGATGTAGTAGTTTGCGACCTTCTTAACAAACACTGGCAGCTTTAAGATCAAACCAGAGAGTCGGGAGGTCTCACTGTCAGTCATGTGAGACCTGCTGCCTCCAACTAAAATGCTTACAAATCAAAATAAATGTTTTTGTAGAGATCTACTCAGTGCAAGTACACGTGTCACTTCGATGTACGACCGCACTTCCATCTGTAAGTGCTGTGCAACAATTTTGACAGCACTCTGAAGATATAGTTTTAAGAGTGACAAATTTAAGCTGGCTGGCACACGGTAAACTTGAATACTGTCGCATAGCAGCAAACAATTTTAATGTAAAAATATTTTTATCTGAAGTAAACTGGATTTCAGATTCAGTTTCCAAGTCACCACAAGAAAGGTCCCTTTCCGGGGTTAGTAATGCATATTCGGGTATACAAGCTATCATATAAGGCTATAATCAAGATAAAATGTGCAATACAACACTAATTTTTTCGTTCCTTTTTTTTTTTTCGAAGTGCAGAGCTTCAATGGGGCCTGTAGTATCTGCTTACATAACACAGGTGCTGGCTAATATTGGCAATAAATATTAGTTAGTATGGCGATAGTTGACTAATGTTCATTAAATGATGGCTATCATTCTTACAATAATACAATAAAAGAACACAAGTGTACTATATTACCTTGACCATTGTTCAGCTGAATGCATTGTAAGTTATGACAGTTTCGGCTTAAGAAAATTCTTTCAAGTATACAAACACGACACTCGCGTCACTGAAGCTAGCCGGCTGCATAAGTATTGGGAATGCAAAACAGCACAGTCCTAATCTTATCTTCAATGCAGCAAAACTCCGCTGCTGCAGTAAATAAGGCTCACAGCTAAAGGGACAAGTTAAGTTCACTAACAAGTGGCTTGACCGTGTAAAGGGTCAACCACATCTAAGGAGAACAAATCGTTAGTATTCAAGCCAGTAAAGCTGGAGCATTTATGAGGAAAATGTTCGTTGTATGACATGTTGCGTAACATCTAATCATGGCATCAATAAACAACAATTATTTCATGAACTCTATGTATTAAACATCACCTTTTATAAGGTCCTGATACTAATGAGGTGTTCACCTTAGACGTGGACAATCCTGTATCTTGCGAGTAGAATTAAGGTGCAAGTGGCTGAATTTAGATGTATTTAGAATCAAACGGCTGTTGAAATCGCTCACAGTAGTGCTACAGAATCTTATACTGCCACAAAACATGAAATGTAAAGCCTTATTTGAACAAACCTGTATGGACTGAAGGGTCTGCAGCTCCCTTTCTAAGAGGTCTAACGCTCGGGCTGTTGGGTTCTGCACCTCGTTCTGGATTCGCCGCACCATTTCGCTCAGCAGCTGCTCGATCCGGTCCAGTCGCTCGGCCATGTCGCCCACCTCTTGCAGGTTGAAAAGCAGGTTTCTCACTCTCTCGAGCAGCTGGTGAGCTTTCCTGCAAGTGATAAAGAGGAGCACTAACACTGCATTTTATTAAAATCACCAGGTTTTCAGAGCTTTCATTCGACTAATTTTGTTAAACCTAGTTTTGTAAAGTCCATCAAGTGCCTTCATGTATTGCTTAAGAGGTAACATGTTCAATGCCAAAACATGCCCAAACATGCGTGAACTTCTTTTTTGTTAACTATTTTCAGTGGAATCACCGGCAATGGCAAGTGGCCTTCAAAAGTGCACCGGTCACAAACGTACTTGTACGTGCCATTTTTCAATAAGTGATGCTCTTTCAATTGTGGGCTTATCGGTGAGCAGCTATTTTTTATTTGACAATCTGACCTTCATTCGAGGTCACTTGTCATTTCACGTAGTCACATTTATCAATGTTGCCTAGATATAAATTATGCCTGCAGCAACTTAAGTGTTGAGCTGCTAAGAATGTGAATGAAGGCCCTGTTCGTGGCATGGAGGAAGAAAAATTGGAGTGGCATAGCGCAATGTGATAGAAAGAAAGAAATAAAGAAATGAAGAAACGCGAGCCTGCCACGGTGGTCTAGCGGCTAAGGTACTCGGCTGCTGGCCCCCAGGTCGCGGGATTGAATCCCGACCGCGGCGGCCTCATTTTCGATGGAGAAAAAAATGGTCGAGGCCCGTGTGCTTAAATTTAGGTGCATGTTAACCCCAGGTGGCCAAAATTTTCAAAGTCCTTCACTACGACGTCTCCACTGTGGCATATATGGTAGTTTTCGGATGTTAAACCCCAACAATTACTATTACTAATAAAGAAGTACACTCAAACTTCATTATAACAAAATGGAATTGGCCATGAAAATACTTTCTTCATCACAAAATTCATTATTGACATATGTTCCTAACACTATTTTCGAAGTATTTTTAACTTACTTCATTATAACTGATAATTCATTATATTCAGGTTCGTGATATCATGGTTGGAGTGTACTACATCAGGCAAATGCATGCCAAGCTTCACTTGCTCTAATTTTCCAAGTCAGGCAGGGGCTCCTGTATTTTTTTTTTTTTTTTTGAGTTCACACGCGCTTTTCACTTTTGAATAAATGCTTCTACAAAAGTTGTGTAACTCGGTAAGACACGTCACAAGCACACTCGAGAATGCGCGTTAAGTGCTGACAAGGAATGTAGAGCGTTCGTACCTGTTCTCCCTGTTGGACTCGTCCATGGGACGATCGAAGTTGCGTCTTTGCAACTCCGACAGGATTCGCTGCGCTTCCTCGACAAGACGATCGATGCCAGTGGCCGTTCCATTGTGCCAGAAGCCTTGCAGCTTCAAGTAGTCCACGGCAGCTAGAAGATATTTTGTTTTCAACTCACATTCATTTGATACTGTCAAACTCAAGTATATCAAACCTACACATACCAAATTATTATGTATATGAAATAATTGCAAAATTTCCTTAAATATATTTTCTAAGCATAAAATGCTTTACATATCGAATAACATATTACTATACAGAACATTTCTGTGACGATTCTCAGATTTGATATATCTGGGGGAGCTAAGTATGTTATTGTCTTTATTTCCACCAAGAACACCAGCATTATTACCGTATTTACTTGCATAATTCTCGTACTCCCCGAGTTTCCCAACATATGTGCAATTTTTTCTTTAGTTGAATAATTATCGCACACCAAAAAATGCAGCACTAATTTCGTCTGCTTCTTCCAACCACTGGCAATAAAACACGACAGTCTGTCGTCATCTCTTAAGCATCATGCAAACTATAGAAACATGGAGCCCCAATCCAATCCGAGCAAAGCCAAAATTGCAAGTACATGTTGCGGCGTGTTAGTGCTAGTCCGTGCAGCGTACGTTGAGTCTATTCTGTGGTTACACGATGGGTCCGTATGGAAGCTAGACGGCTGCCTTCAAGTCAAAAGTTACTGATCATGCGCAAAGCAACGGCAACGAGGCCACTGGAAGGAACTGCAGAGTTGACGAGTTTTGTGTTCGCTACTGGTGATGGCAGCACAAGCAGCTGCAAGCCAACAACAAGATGCATGGGGCCACCTGTGGGCCTATTTAAGACTGCGAAACACCCACAGGCTGAGGTGGAACTTCTTGATTACGTCAAGGGTCTCCGTGCGGACACCCTAGGGACACTGTTTGTTAGTGGCTTTCGTGTTTGCAAATAAACATGGCTTTGTGTTGAATTTGTGGTTTTACTGTGAAGGTAAGTCCTAATTACTACTTTGTAAAACTTGTTAGTTGCTGGCATGAGAACCTCAATTTGCAATCGCTTCGTTTTCTTTTTTTTTCTTTTTTTTAGTGCTCTATACATTTTTGCAGAACATTTTCCCCCCGTGTAGTGATTCTCGCACCCCCCTAACATCTGATTGGTTCTCCGTGAGAAGAAGTGCAAGGATTATGCGAGCAAAGTTTTTTTTAATAGTGAATTGAAAGTGTGCTATTCAATGCAGTTTTCAATTGAATAGCTGCTCTTCATAAACACAAAAAGTTTTAATATATTATAATTATGTTCAATGTCAATTGCACTGAAATAAACATAAGATTCAGCCAATGTATGATAAATTTTATGTTTTTGGGGATATTTCAGGTATACAATTAGATCGCTTACGTATCGCACAGGCTACGTATGTCTCTGGGATCCAGGCGGTAACTCGCACAGTCTAACAAATTCTAGTCATGAAAAAAATTTTCTCTATCGTTCCTAATGCTCAATATGTGCTTTTATTGCTAAAACTATCAATACTGAGATGTTTACATGATCCAACAATATTTGCAATAGTGACTGATATGCTAAAATATTCTAAAGGTATTTTATATTCAGATCGATTTGCTCACCACGCTATCCAGTTCATGATCGTTTCAGTTTTTAACACCCTAATCACATGCCTCTACTTTATTTTTCATAAAACACATCACTTTAAACTTGAGCCCTTCAGATCACCTTAGACTTTTTTTGGTCTTTACACATGCAACGTTCTACACCAGGCACGCCCAAAAAACACCCATAGTTAAAAGGACTTGCTTGAGATGTGTGAAAAGTCCACTCAAAGCCGGACTTACCTCTAATTTCATCATAGTACTTTTTCACAAGCTCCAGTAGTTCTCTGGCCCTCTGCAGTAGGTGGCTGACATCATGAGCGACTCCAGGTAGAGTACGGACCATGTCTTTGGACTGCAATGTTTTAAAGAGTGTTCTGTGAAATACAGTTCCATAAATCATATACAGACAAGTTTTCAGTGTCAGAAAGCTGTTTCGCTGCACGACTTAGAAAGACTAAAGCCCTTGCACTGGCTACAATACTACAAAAAAAAAGTGCGATTCAAGTCAAGCCCTGAACATCACACTGCAGAAAATTAAAATCAAATTCCTGGGCTTTACACGGAAAAAACATGGATTGTTTGTGAGGCACATGATGGTGGTGGAACTGAGAAATAATCTAAACATTTCTTATTAACGCTTGCCTTAGTTTAAGAATTCAGGTACTTTTGCGCCTTGCCCCCATTGAAATGCAATCACCGCCACTGAGCATTGAACTCACGATAAATAAAGAATTCATTCCAAGCCAATCAACAGAAGTGGCTCAAGAAGCCTGTTGAAATGCTTTATTATCGGGCTAAGCTTTGCTGCTGTGCAGAGGCCACATTTCGCCCCTGCACCCACTGTAACTGCACTCGCTCATTAATTAGAATTTGCACTGCAATTTGTTAATAACCACTGCTGGTGATCAAAGTGTTTTGTAACCATGCAGTCGAATACATTCAGCATGTATCAGCTGAACTAGCTGGCCCCATACTGCTCAGTGAAATCAAACCAATTACTGACCCCCTCTCCCATCCGCCCCTTTCGCACAGTTAGGTTATTGTGGATTTGGGATAATACGCTGGTTCGTTGTAACGAGAGTAGACTGTGCATAGCTGCCGAGTCTTCATGGTGAGACTGTGGTCAAGTTAAAGCAAATGTTTATTTTATTTTACACATTTCTAAAGCACATTACATAAAGATCATCAAGACTTTACATGTCAATCTGTACCACTACTACGCTGAAAAAATTTACCCCAGCACAGCAAAACACTCTTCACAGGAAAAAAAAGAAAAGCTACAAATATCAGACCTACTTGCTTTCTGAGGAATATTTTTGTTTTGCTTTTTGCTTTTGAATTTAGCAGGAAATAGAACGCCCACTTTATCTTGTCCCACATGTTCATCACTTCGTGTACCTTCATGTGACGATTAGAAAGAGTGCTAAATAAAGTGTTACCTGACAAATAAAGCTATAGGACAAGTGCATCCCTGTAGCACAAATGCACCAGTCCCGTGTCTTGTCCCACGTTACTACGTGCTATTCATAATCATCTGAACTAATATTCCCCCCTTCTAGTGCATGTGAGTAGACTGTAGACTTCAGTGCTGCCACATGACTAGACTAATGCTGTCACATGGCTGGGCTCTCTTGTTTCTACATTCTTTCTCCTTCTATGAGACTACAGGAATGAGCACAGTCTTCTCAAACCATCCTTGATTCCAAGCTCTTCCCTCACTTTAATGAGTTGCGTGCAGCAGCGGACATCGACTGGAAAACATGCTACACTTCTCAATCATTTCCGCGAACAGCCCATAAGTGCAATGATCCCCTTTTGGCGAATGCTGGCACATACATTGACTTTACCAAATTAAGCCAAGCGCTGAGTAGAGGACTGTAACAGAATACAGGAGCGTATGACTTATTCACACACATTAACTTTGATTTTTAGTGCAACTTCATGCAACTTCTTCCTGTCTGTGACCTTCATTATTTTTATTTTTCCTTTAAAAAAAGCAGCCAGGACCAGAAACGTAGCCAAAATTTTTTTCAGAGGGTTTCGGGAGAGGCAACAATTTAAAATGGCCATTTTTCACTCTCTATGACATGAGTAAAAAATTTCGAGGGGGTAGGGGGGGGCACATGCTCAGTGTGCCACCCCCTGGCTATGTCCCCTAGGCCAGAGCTCAGACCTCGATATAACGAACCCAGGTATAACGAATTATCAGTTATAACGAAGAAAACAAAGAATAGCTTTGTCATAGTTAGTGCTGCAAATATATGATTATAACACATTTTCGGATATAACGAAGTATCTTTGTGACAAGTGTGACTTCGTAGTGAATGATGTTCGAGTGTATACGGTGCCTACATCTCCGAAACATCTCAAATTTAAAAATGAAAAACATGTGACACCTGATCCATACCCTTTCAAGCAGAATCTCTGCTTGAGTCTCCAAGTTGAAATGGAATGAAAAGTTGGACAGAACTTGGTTGCCACTGTCGACGAGATGGAGGTAGTTGTCAAGGTCAGTCTGGAAGGAAGAGTGACGTTAACGACAGCGAGAAGATGTGGGGTCACGATTGCACGGTAGGCCTATATAATTAAGCTACAATGATAAGCCGAGTAACAATACCATACTTCCTCTCACCCTCATCACACGAGTGGTCTCCTGAATGGCGAGCAAGTGAATCCATGGCGCCGAAATGATATCGGTGGCAGTTCAACCTGTTGAGCAATGCCAACATGTGCTCCACTTCATCGAGAAGACGTCCCGTGCAGTCATCATCAGCAGGCTGCAATGATGGCAACGCTTACTTTGAGGCTCGGAACACTGAAAATCTTGCATGCCTAACCCCCGTATTCACAAGCGCTCCTTGACTCAACCTTCACCCTTCACTTGACAGAGTTGAGCACTGCACCGCCGCTCGGCTGAAAATGACGCTGCGCTACTCAAGAATCGCAGCAGATTATCGCTGATAGGCAGTGACTTGCCGTGCCTAGAGATGGCACTCCCATCGGCTTTCTCAAGTGAAGGTGAAGCGTTGAGTGAAGGAACGTTCTAGAATATGGGGGTAAGCCTGAATCCACTGAACATCAGTCACTCGTCAATCCTCAAGAGTGATGCACATTTGTGTCATGCATCATCGGTCAAACACGACATACATTCAGAACAATCGCGCCTCGCAGAAGAAACTGTCCAAGTGAAATAGAACCTTCAGGGCATGAAATGAGCATTCTTTCCAGTAAAAGTAGAGTAAGAAGTTCTGAAAGAAAAGTGGCAACTCAATCTAGACTACATGATACTTCTTGTTCAAACATTTAACACTGTTGTAAGACCATGAACAAAACAAATGGGGCACAAAACTCCGTCATAAAGATGTATGAAGTCTGCCTTATCTAATGCCTCTAAACACAGTTGCTCCCCAATAGTTCTGAATTTAGTTTTCATGGGTTTCAATCGCATTGTCGGGCATGAGCCAACCAAATACATGAGGTACCTGGAAAGAAAAAAAAATGTTACACAATGATACCTTTTAATGGTTGGCTCGTATGGTTGAGCGATCTCATTTTTGAAGTGTTGGTTGTGTTTCGCACTTGGATGAACTTTCACACTTGGATAAACTTTTCTTCAGCTATTGCACTTTCCTTTGAGTTTTATTTGTAGATTCATGTGACGTTTCAACAGTCTTCCATTTCACTAAACTTCCCAAACATTGTGGATTTTCACCAAACTGATTTACCAGAGAGTTATCATTGTCTTTTATTTGGCTAGGACAAATGTCATACCACTGCCTTTAATTTAAGTCTCATCTGTTTTTGCTACTTTTTTTTTGCAAAGTGCATGCAGCGAAAGTAATTGCCCCATAGACTTCACTTTGGCAGACGTAAACTTACATTTGCAGCCATACTCAGTGAGGATATGTCGGCCCGGGCAGATGGAGCAGTCACGACCGGTGATTCCGGGCAAGCAGTGGCATGCCCCGGTCATGGGGTCACAGCGATGACCTTGTGAACCGTAAGGGTTGCACTCGCACCTCTCACACCGGCCTCCGTCCACCAACGGGTTCCCGAAGAAACCATCCGCACACCTGCAAATTAGGAGAAGTTTCGGTAAAAGTCACTCCTGTGTCGGTGCAGTATTTTGCTTGGGCTGGAAATCTTCCCTATACATAAGGTATTAGCTCCGATAGGCTGAATGTTGAGATATTAATTATATGAACAAATTTTATGGTTGTGCAAGCATTATTGTTGGTGACCAAATCGAATACCAATCAAATGATGCAAGAAGCATAATAAGTTAACCAGGACAATAGAATACACTTGTAATAGCTTTTAAAAAAGATAAAAATGCTTTTTACATCATTATCAAGCAAAGTTTACATCTCAGCATTACCTCGCTTATTTATTTATATTGCAATGCAATTTATTTAAGAGTGCTCTTCTTCATTACAACATACAAAAAAATAGTATTCACAATGCTATAAATGTTCTGGTCATTGCATTGCACAATGTGAACCACTCATCAGTGAAAAGCCAAGAGGAGCTTTCAGATATAATTAAGCAGTTAATTTACATAATGTGAACTCATTTTTGTACTCATATACAACCACAGCAACATAGCTAGAAAAAAGCCCTATTGAAGGCGTGGCATAGCAGGTTTAACACAGGAACTTCTCGTGCTGTACGTTCTTAGAACAACAGAACATACAACACAAGAAGGCACTGCTGATCTGTGCTTTTTTTTTTTAAGATGTTCTAGTGCTTTAAATTACTACCAGCAAGACGAAATTTACTGCACTCTTGCCTCTACATTATGCTTAATTATGAAAAGTCAGTTACATTAAATATTTGCATAATATTTCTTTCAGGAAGAGTAACTTCTCTGTATGATACTTGCCAATACTTGTATACCCACACACAAAAAAAAGATTTTTTACGCAATAAGTTTTTTTTTTTTGGATGTTCCATTTTCCTGCAATATATAGCATTTGAAAGACTGAATATTCACTTTATTTTGTTGCTTTCACGTTGCTTTTTAACGTTACATTTCACGTCGTGCAGAGAAAAGCTTTGAAGTAGATGCCTGCACAAACTTAACACACTGCATACAGCCCGTATACACAAAGCTTTAAAACCTAGGAAGCCGTAAGACGCCAAGCACAACTATTCGTGTCTTGTGCCGCTACTCATCCCACATGCAACTACTCATGTGCAACTACTCTACCTTTCTGTAGAGTGGGAAAGCGTGTGTCCAACAACGATAATCGTTGGATGCGCGTAACGATGCATCACCTTTCGCAACGTCTTCCGGTGTAGCCCTCCTGGCAGTCTGTGCAGATGTAGTCCGGTCCGTGCGTCTGGCACGTGCTGCTGAAGCTGAATGTAATGAACACAAAATGCAAGTAAGCTCGAGTAATTCACTAATTGTCACAAATGACAGAAAATATTATCGCTCTGTTAGATTTCGTAAGAGTGAGTATCAATTTCTTTATTTGTACAGGGTTCTTTCATAACACAGCTTACACGACTGAAGGGGTCAATTATCACATGCATAGAAGTGTAACAACGAAAACATGATACATGTGAATGCAAACTATCAAGCATTGAGTAGGGATAAAAAGAGAATTGAAGTCTTTGTGAAAAAGAGAAACGATCGTTGGAAAACATGCTTATGTCGATAAAAATGTATGCGCTGTTGGACACTTCTACGATAAATGAAATTCTTAGCTACTCACTGATTTAGCATGAGAATCTTTTGTTTTTTTATGACATATTGGTGCAATATCCGAGATAGCAGATGATGATGATGATGTTTGATGTTTTGTGGTGCAAGGGCCATTTGATGGCCAAAGAGCGCCAGTTCGTGGGACAAGAGATGTGAACAATGATTGTGATTAGCGGCTGTATAAGGGCCTTAAAATTCCTCGCCCTAAGGCGGGTAAAAACATAGAAGTAATAAAATCATGGTCATGCCATGAAAAGTGTGTGGTGCTATTGGAATGCGAAAGTTTGTGATAATAAAAAACACTGATGAACATGTATGGCATAAGCACTAGTGCCTTGATCGTTCACACCCCTGCGTTCAAGGACCGTGAGGCAAGTGCTTTGTTGTGTATAGCCACTGCAGCAGAGACCTCTCTGGAGAGGTCGTGCTACGGAATGCCCGGGTATATGATATGAAAAGTACGAACGTCTTTCATGAAAGCTAACAATGATTTCTGTGTGAAAAGTGGTTCCCTAACAACAAACATTGCAGGATGAAGTGGTATCTGTTGTTGGTAGGGTAGTCGAAAGTGTTGTCTTCTTAGCGTGTCTAATTCTTTGCATTGGATCAGAATGTGGAGTATGGTGAGCGCTTCTCCACATCTATCACACAAAGGTCCGAGATAGCAGTGCTAGTGGATTGAAAGGCTGAAAAGACTACAGATTGTGGCTACAAGGTAAGCTGGAGCCTTGAGGCTAAAGACTAGGCATGACACTGCAGACTGACACTACAAACTAGACTGGAGTCGCGACGCTACAGGACAAGGACTAAAGGCTAGGACTCTTGCTGGACTGTAGACATGAGATTACACACTAGGCATGACACTAACTACTAGAGGTGTGTTATAGACACCTGTTTGTGGGGAGTGGGCAGGCACAGGGCAGGCATGGTCCTCGCGAAGGCGTTCCAAAGAATCCCTCGGCGCAGCGTTCGCAGTGGTCGCCGACAGTGTTGCCACCACAGTTCTGGACAAAACGGGTAACTTGCCCTCATTTCGACGGGCACTGAGAACACAACACGGCCAGCCTACTGACATGAACATTACTCTTACGAAGATAAACAACAGGCTCGACTGAAACTACATTTCTGAGAAGCTAACAGTAAAGTTTAAATCCAATTTAAAAACAGGGGACTCATTCAAGCACTAAAATATGCTTCGTTCAATCTTTGGGTTTTGTTTTCGTCTTTTTCCCCATGGTAATGCATAGCTGCGAGTTGTGGAGCTTGGGTAAGCATGAAAAAAAAAAGCTAGGGTTATCGAAGTATGACGTTAAGTGAAGTCAAGCATAAGAACTGCATGAACAGCCAAATGAATCAAAATCGTGATGGTTCTTTCAAAGAAAAAGTTTGAAACTAAAACCTTGGCACTGTGTGGGATGTATGTAGTATAGTAACATGTTGCATTATACATCATACAAATAATGTAGTATAATGCAACATGCTATTCATTTCTTTATAGTACCTTCATTTTCACTTTGTTATGGATTTGTATTTATGTATTTACATACCCAGAATCACCAAGAAATCAGAGAGGGGAATGTGTACATATTATAAATAAAGGCCACTATATTAAGCCATATTTTCAATTTTTATAAAGAAATTTGCATCTTGTCATGAATAAACCACGACAAATAAATCAGTCAATGAATATATAAATATGAAACAATTTTCAAGCTGTATCATTATGCATTTACCCCCAATTATGGAGTCTTCAAAAATGATTAACAGAAGCAGACCAGTCGGAGACAGGCAATTAAGAGCCAGAAGGTTCCCTGTTATTAAGCTAGAGCACCACCAACAGTTAACATCAAAATGCACCTAAAAATGTGTCAAAAACTCACGATGCAAACTCCAGTTTCCTTGTGGCACGTGCGGGTGCGGTTGTTGCAGTCGCAGGGTTCGGCCCATCCAACCAAGTCAAGAATGTCTCGACTGTTGAGGTAGTTATGCTTGAACTTGCGCCAGTAACCTTCGTTGGGGTCCTGATCAAAGAAACCCAAGTTTTTCACATACATCTGTCATTCTTTTACTCTCAAATATAATGTAATAGTCCCACTATTAGCGCATGACTTTTGACGAACCACATGCCGCAAAATTTTTAGAATCTATCATATACACACTGACTTGCAGGGATTCGTCACACTTTCTCTTGTCTACCAGCAAGCGCACTGAAAGCTATGAAGAGAGTGGTACAACGAGAAAGCAAGACGAAGCGTTCCTTTGTCAGTGCACGGCACAAATTTGAGCTTTCATTTTTCTTCAAATGCATGGCTTACTTTCAACATGATTGAGATCGCACGTGGGCACGTGGCGGCATCCTTTGGTGGCCGCGGTAACTATGGAGCTCGCAATGCTCAAATCAGCCAACCACCTTAAAAGCAGGTACATGGCACAATGATTTGGATATATAGCATTTGTTAAGAGAAGAGGGAGCTGTCTCCAGCCAACTTTGAGAATTAGTTGGGTAGTCCAGCCTGCGTGCCATCGTATAATATTTGGCTAGCGTGTTCTAGGAGCCTTTACTGCCGATTGGCAGAATTTTCTGGCCATTCTCAGAAAAGTGTTGCAAAATCATAATTAGCAAAAGGTTGTGCGTGGAACGTCCTAACCTTCCAGGTGTCGGTATAGGCATGGAGAGGAACTTAGTTATAGGTTAGTGAAACTGTACATAACCGCGTGAGTGAGCAGTTTGTGAGCATATCTCAATGTTTTTTTTTTTACATGGCCTTCTCTGATGTCATTTTAAATGTTGCAGTTAAAGGTGTTCTTGAAAAAAAAAAAGTGAAACAATTTACCTGACAAGAACTTCCGGTGTACTGGATCGGACATCTTCCCTGCTCAACACCATACGCCATGTAGGGAGTCACTTCACCGTGTTCTGGTGGCCGAGCAATCTCGAGCGAGACATCTTTCAAGCTTGAGATAAGATACAGGAAAGGCGATGTTCAAAGGCGATTTGAACATTGAATGAGACAAAGTACGTTTGGCCATATTGCCATAAGTTGCAAATAGACTGACATCAGTCAATCGTAGAACTTTTTCATCAGTGACAGCTTGCGTAAAGTGTGAAAAAAAAAGTCCATGTTTGCGAAGAGTCATTGATGATCATTTTGTGGGTACAACAATAATATTTCTAATAACCCATGGCCAACAACAGTTGGTACAAGCCACAATAACTTCAACGTTACCAGTACGACACTGGCACAGCAGCCATTTGCCTCTCAAACAATAAAACGAAACAAAATACTAGAGATGCTTATAATTGAAAAGCTGACTTTCAAAATGCTGTAGCCTCACTCTTAACATTAATTTATGTAGTTTATGCAGTTAAAGCATTAAAAAGCAGCTAGTTAAATGCAAATTGCATTGTACATACTACAAAGCAACTTCTCGCAACACAAGGCATAGGCATGCTACTGCACAAAACTTCCTTAATTTTGCCTAAAATTACTTTGATCTCTCTTTGTCAGCATGCCAAGTGTTTTAAGGTGAAGTTAAAACATTTTCTAATACAAATATTGTGCAAAAGGACACTTTCCACATTAACAGGCATTCTCTTCACCAAACTTAGCGGAACTGGATTTACCTGGCAAACCTGACATCTGGCCCATCGTTGGCTCTGATGAGGATTCTCTGGACATTCTGGAGTGCGACCATGAGCATCGCCCGAGTCACGGGAACCTGAGGATTGTCTACCTGATACCATGCGTCCTGTGAAACACAAAGGGCATAATTTGAACACCGCGCAAATTGAATTCATGCATTGAACCTTTTTCAAAACACACTGGGGAGTCTGGCATTCGCCAAAGCGAGAACAGTGGCGCAGGTGGAGATCGATGATGTCTCCACCTACGTGCTCATCGTACATGAATGAAACAGCTAATCCTATGCAATTACCTGCGCCAGTTGGGGAAGGCTGCTCCGATCAATAGCGAACAGAACAGTACTGCATCGCGTTATAAATGATACGTTGGCCTGACAAAATGTGCTGACAGGCTATACTGTTGGTGTGCATACCTAAGAAATTTTCTGCATAAGGAACACGAACACAGTGTACTGTCATCTTTCATTTCGTGCTTTTTACACTTGGAACTCCTCGTGGACACATTGGCCCCGCAGCTCATCAGCCATGAAAGACGAGCTCTTCAACAATGGAAGGCAAGACTGGAGTACCCCTACTCTAGCCACTTGCACCACACTTTCAATTCATTTGTTACTGACAATTTTTTTTCCTTCTCTATTCCCTTCAACACCTGTGGGATAGCAGACTAGATAACATCTAGTTAACCTCCCTGACTTGCCTGCACTTTCACTTTGCCTCTCCTCAAGATTGGTTTTCTTCTGGACAAATCACTGAATTACTTGTTCTGACTGAGGTGTAGTGCATGTTACATCATAGTTATGATGCCTGTGGTGTACATTCGCTTGCTTTAAGGAAGCCCCAAATGTGCTGTAAACAGTGTAAAAGTGGGGTTTGTGGTGATGCACATTATAGATTGTACGTGTGCCAACTGTGGTCCTTTGGAAGTTCCAAACCATTATATCAAAGCACTGAAATGTGTACTCATCCCCATTAGCTCTAGTTTATGGGCAGTACTAAAAATTACCTGTGGCACTGACTTCTGGGCAAACATAGCACATTTGTTAGCCTCTAAATAAAACCCATATTAGTGCTTTAACATATAGGACTTGACATGCCAAAACCAATATATGATTACAATTAGTTCATGATACGATTATGATAAATATTTATCCCGGATTATTTTGAATGCCTGGGTTTCTATATAACATTCGCCAAAAACTAAGTCCACGGGTTTTTCATGTTTCGCCCCAACAAAGTCTGTCTGCTGAGCCAAGGAATCGAACTGGCAACCTGCTACCTAAATTACATACCCAAACCTCATAGCCCGGCTTAAACCAGTGTGACACACTCAATGAACCAATGCTATGGAGGAGGAGGGCTCCGTTAAGTTCTAAACATCTTGCGTTCTTTAACGTGCAACTAGATCTATGCAACCGTGCATTTTGAGAATCCTGTCTCCATTGAAATGCACCTACAGCAGTCGGGAATAAAACTTGCGATCTGCAAACAGCTCAGCATTAGGAAAGAGAAATAAAGAGAAAATGCGAGAAGGATAAACAAGCTTGTCTCGGTTATACAGTGAACAAGCCACGGAGATAGACACATATCTCACCTCGTGAATGGGCACAACGTAGGCACCATTGGGCGACAGCATGTGTGGGTGGAAACCCAGCAGGATGCGGTGGTTCCCTTGGAGGAACACCAGGGGGTACTGGCGAAGCATGGCGTCGGGAAAGACGTCCTGGGCGTCGCTCTCGACCGTGAACTTCAGCTTTCCATTGTAGGCGAGGACCTAGTAAAAACAAAGCCACAACCCTACTGACACAAGGCGTAGATACAACAGATAAGCTACGAATTAGGCAAGCAAGTACAAAAGGCCATTTAAAATGGAACCGCACTCAAGAGCTATAAAACTGAGCTCGTGCCAGTTTGTAGGCAAACTCCTGCCAGAATAAACAGTGCAAGGCAGAGGCAAGGACACATAAAACAGAGACTAGCAGTGACTCCCATATTATTTACTACTTTTTTTCACGTTTACATGCTATGCCATGTATAGTAGCCTAAAAAATGAAGGGCAAGCAACATGAAATGAGAAACTGGGTACAAGAAGTTGTAAGTAATCAAGCAAAAATTAAAAAATCAAAACACTGCCATCGAAGCGATATGGCTCCTACATGGACTGTAAGTCACCATAATTACTTACTTCATAAGCAAACAGAAGATAAGCAAACGGGCAAGAAAGAAAGCTTTCACAAAGGTTTCACAATAAAATAATTTTCCTAAGTTGCACTCAAAACTGTTGCTTCCACTAAAACCACATAAGTCACTCATTTGCCACTCTTTTTTTTGCAAACCCTCTAAGTCTGCTAAGAGCATTTCTGAAACGTTGATAAATCATGTTCATATTACTTTATAGCCATAACTACTTCATTCTACACTTGTGACTGTCGTGACATTGATAAGTGTAACACGAATCAGCTATCACCAAGCGGTCATAGATCTGCAATACAGTGCAGTCCACTTATAACGATACCACATATAATGATATATTGGTTGTACCGATGGGTTGATTAACAGTCTCATTTTTTGCATTGGGGCTATGGGGAAAAAAACATATATAATAATATGATATCCACCGCATATCAGATACGATGGAAATTTTGCCTTGGATGGCAAGTTTGAGAATAATTGTAACATTCACATCGATAAGTTCCACTGAAACGAACGCGACAAGACGAAAAGTTAGCGTAGACGAGTTCGTATTTACCGCTATTGCAGCGCCGGCGGCCCGTGCCGCCCGTTTCGAAAGGCGGAGAGAACATCACGAGATGCCGCGGCGCGCTGAGTGCGGCGCAGAGCGCGGAAAGAGACGAAAAAAAATTCGAAAACCAAAGCCTCAATGCGGGTCCCCGCGACCAACACCATGTCCGTAACAAAGAAGACAGAGAGAGGAAAAAAAATGTGAAAAGCAAGGATACGCACAGAGTCCCACCCGCACCGACTGGAGCCTCTCCTTTTCCTTCTCAGCGATCGGTGTCAGTTGCCCAGTAGCACATCGCTACTGGTGACACCGATAGCGGGTGTGCGTTGTCGGTTGAGCACTTCCTCACAGCAGACAGTGCTGCCTCATGCTGCGAGGAACTCACCGACGAGGCAATCGTCGCGGATGTGATGTCGCGACAGACGCCGGCGTTGTGGGACGGCAGCAGTCATAGTAGTGAACGAAGGTCAACAGTCACAGCGCTTCTCCGGCCCTATCGATGAGCACACAAAGTGCACTGGTGTCGATCGACGGGGTTAGTTGACTTTATGCGTTCCCAAAGAATGACGCCAAGAGTATTCCCAATTGCTTGAAGCTATGTGAACCACGCTTGTCAAGCTGAAACTTCCGCAAAAGCAACTGCAGATATCAGACTACTTCATTCCGCTGAAGCCATAAACGCTCTTTGAAGTATAAAATAAAGCTTTTTTTTTTTTTTCAAGCCTTTAATCTACATCATCTGTCACTGGTGGAAAAAGCGTACTCGAGGCTGGAACTACGAAAGGTACATCCGGTGAGAATTTTTTACGACAGTCCAGTTATAACGATCATCGGTTATAACTATCATATTTTCAGGTTTCCTCGATATCGTAAGTGAACTGCACTGTAGGTGAACAAATGATGAATAAATAGATGCAAAAAAAGATGCATTCTCAGCCACCTTGAAGCCAGCACCCTCATAGTTTGGAAATTGTGGCACTAATGCACCATTACATGACATAATGTGACTGCATTAGGAAAAAAATAAAAAGGTGTATGGTACTGTTCAATGTTCAAGAGTGCGCCTCACCGAAAATTATGCTTATTGAGGAATGAAGTGATACAAAACATTTGTTTGCATTTAGTTGAAAAGATAGACAGTTAAGAAGAGTTTGAACCTGTTTACAAGGTGGAGAACTCTAGGTGTATTCACATAACCAAAGATAGCCGTCTTATTCACCTTATCTCCAAGGAATGGTTCGGGCAAGGACCAGTACAGGGGTTGGTCGAGGACATATGGCCCCGGCAAGAGAGTCGAACCGGGGTGAGTACCAGGGATAACCTTGTACCGGTGCACTCGGTCGAACTCCGGTTCGCCAGGTGTGATAGTTATGTCCCTTGGTGGAGTACGCATCTGAAATTTCTCTGACGTTAAGAAACTGCAGCCCAAAAAGCAAGCTTACTAGGCAGAATAAACGCAAGTTCCGAGCACTAAAGCTTATTCACTAATGGCACTCTGTTATCATTGCTATGATTCACTGTTAGTCATAATTAAAAAAGAGAGAGAGCTAGTGCAAAACAAATTAAACTAGCTGAGCCTTACAGTTTTTTTTGTGACATCATACACATTGTAGTTCATTGTATTTTACAACAATACTTTGAGCAGCTAGCCTTTTACAGCCTCCAGTATTACTATTGAAGTAGTTTCCATTCATTCAGCGGTGATAGCTCTACGTTGAAAATGTCAGTAGATCCACCGATGCCTTGATTTGTGAACGAAACAGCTAACAAAAGATGTCAATCACGGTGAATGTCCGCTAAGACACAGGGAGTTATTTGGCAAGTGTCACACCTGTTTCGTACTGTTTTGATTTGGGCTAGTGAGTCGGGTCATATTAAATTCGGACCTCGAAGTGCCAACCTTGTTGTACTGTGTTCGATGACGAGATTTTCGATGGTATAGGCAGTTTAAACTGCCTAAAGGCTCTCCAACCAAAACTTTGGCAGCCGCAGTGATTCTCTCCATTCTCCGCTCACCAACATACGTTAAAGTAGAGGCCAGCTCAAATAAGCTTCAGTTACACAGCAACCAAAGTGTAAAATAGGCTCAAATATCATGATGACTTCTAAGAACATATTGGTTTGGGCTCCTTACCACTCCCCAGACTAGGTTGGCCTGCGTGCACTGGTCGGTCCGTCCAAACATGAAGCACTCTGTGCATCCTCGAGGGTTGCTTTCCAGCAGCGAAAAGGTCCGGTCTCGACATCGATCGCAACGGCGCCCTTCTACATTCGCCTGCAAACATTCGAAAGTGGCATAAAAAAAGCATACTAACAATAAAGGCACCTCTCTCTTTCAACACCCCCGATAGTAAAACTAAATTGTTTTTTAAAACCAAAGATATCAATTTGTGGTGTTACCTCAAAATGGCATCATTTACTTTCATATTTTTACACTTAAACCTGATTTTAACAAAGTGGCATGTTACATCAAAATAAGTTTGTTATATTTGAAAATTCATTATAAAGATATGTTCCTAACACTATACCTATTGAAATACCATTTTTCATTTACTTCATTGTAATTCATATTTTGTTATATCCATGTTGATTATATTGAGGTTCGAGAGTAATTATGTTTTGCAATGCTGAACCCAATTAGAGAAACATGTTATGAAGAGAAGCATTACAGAAATGGTTTACACAGACATTTTATGAAGAAGCTTTGTGGAGATGGTTTAACGGAGGTAATTTACGGCATGTTATGAAGAGAAGTATTAGAAAGATGTTTTACAAAGAGACATTTCATGGAGAACTTTTATGGAGATGGTTTAACGGAGACGGCTTACAGGACCTGGGAGACGGTTCTCACCTTGCACGGACACTGGCCCCTCTCGTCACACTGGCAGATCCCATGGTGACAGGCGCCGGGGTCCGTGCCAGCTGGGTGACAGTCACAACGCTGGCAGTTGGGGAAGTTGTAATAGCCCGGCCTGCAGTGGTCGCAGTGCTGCCCTTCAAAGCCCTCCAGGCACTGGCACTGGCCGGTGTTCTCATCGCAGTTGGGGCTCAATGAGCCCAACTTGTTGCAGTTACAAAGCTGCAAGCAATACACAAGCGTAAGCATCAAAAGGAAAGCATGCCTAGATACGACTCCCTCCGCTGTCACGAAACGCCACCACGGAATAAGACAAGAACACAGAAAACACGGGCTGCAACTCTTAACTGAAGGTTTATTCACATGCACGCGACATGTACACATGTGGATACCCAAAACAAGAGTCAGAAAAAATCACCGTTTTTAAATACGTATAGAATTCTTTTCTGCTGTGATCGACTAGTTCTCATTAATAATGAGTCTAACAAAGAAAATGAGCCCTTAAATTTACTTTTGTCTTTCTGTTGTGGTGCAACAGATAGGAAGCTGAAGCTTAATTGGGAAGGTGATGGACAAACCTTTTTATTAATATATACTGTCAAAGCAGGATATATCAAACCTTAAAAGGATCACAAGTTGTTCTGTATAACAAACAGCAATTTAATAAAGGCGTATCTCTTTCTGACCCCACGACCAGTGTACTGGACATGACAAAGAAAGCGGTGCAGAAAAGCAAGCAAAGCTACAATCCAAATCAAAGCCATTTTGGCGGATTCTGTAAGAGTTGAGCAGTACGTTTTTAAATGTAGTTTGTCCTTCAGCCCCATTTTTTAGTAGATGACATCATCCGCGTGGAAATGCACATGCAGGCACAACGTGATCAAGCATACAAAATTAACTTGAAAGCTACATTTGCGTAATTTAAGTAATTTATATCATGCCAGCTGTCTTGTGTCTTCTTGAAACATTGTTGCAGAAAGGTAGTTTTTGTAGTCAGCAGTTGACTGGTAATGTGAAAAAGTTTTTGAGTCCAGTACACTGGACACCAGGATGTAATTGGTGCACATTGTGCTAAACACATAAGACAAAAAACAAGGAGCAGCAGCACATGGCAATCTCGAAGCTAAGCTATAAAAATGAAACTGCAGCATGCTGGGAATCTAATAAGAGCACCAAGCTCGAGAAGGGAGTGGCATGTGATGAGGTTGACTTGTGGACACTAGGTGCACTCCACCTTAGCTTTTTTTTTCCCTTCATGGTACTGAACACCAGTGTGTGACAGCTAACCACGGGAAACTTTTTCTTTGGTCGAAATGAGTTGTTTTTGCATTTTAAAAGATGAGTTCCCTTCTGACAGGACCAAAAGGAACACATTTTCAAGGAAGACAGCAAAATGTGTGTACCCAACAAATGAATCCCAGTGTCTCTTGTGAAGACCCTTGTGCTTACAGTCCCCATTATATTTCTGCGTGCTTTTCAATGGCCTGTTGGCTCGAAAAGAAATTTAAAAATTTTTGTTCAACCCTAAAAAAATGCAGGTTGGAAAGAAATTATTGGACTAAGGAGTCACACGCTTCTATCAACAATTTTTTCAATTTTAAACAGCTAGCCTAATCACCTCATGATTGTATTGCAGTAAAATATTCCTAAAGCGAATGTTCCCAAAGTGAAAGGAAAAAAGGGGAATGACTACTTTTCCCTGAAATGAAACTTCCTTGAGCTTTCACTCAACCAATTTGCCATGTTTCATTGTCAGTGTGCTTCAAGTTGTTCATGAATTCACCCTTGGGCTGCAATGTGCTAGTCGCCTGACAGTGGAACAAACACCCTGGAAAATCATCGGCCCCATTTTATAATCTTGAACTAGAATGGCTTTTTCTTGAACCGAGGAGTTTTTTTTTTTTTAAGGAGTCTGTAAGATTTTGTGGCGACTGTGCTGCAAATTAGTGAATGCGGATTTTTTTTTCCGTTTGTGAACGTCCACTTTGCATGCTCACGCAAAACGCATCAACTTGGCAAATCAAGTTCTTCTTTCTCTTGCATTGCCCCACTCACTGCCCCTCACCCTTTCCTAGCTTTTGAAGCTTCTAAACTTCTTCCATCTTTAATGTTTTTGAAGAACACATCTGCCGCATCTTTTGTTAACTGACGTCAAGTAAGCACCTTGCAGCCGTCTACTGGGTGATAACCCCAGGCACCGGTGTTGCAGCGGTTGCACCGAGGACCACCTGTGTTCTTGGGGCAGATGCACCGACCCGTTTCCTCATCACAGACATGTCCCGGTGCCTCGCACGGCTCACAAGCTGCATAAGAAAAAATTAACAGAAAGAACACATCGCACATGTGCTTTTGATTTCAAAACCGTCGCATCTCTCTTTCAGAATATCCACAGCTAGTGCTGTCATGGTTAACGTCACAATCACCAGTGCCTCTTAGCACAATGAGTCTTTTTCCACGAAAACTTATCAACAAGGTGCTAATCTTGTTGATATGACTCATTTTTGGAGCAGCAAGGAAAGATAAGATGTGAAAAAGAAAAAAGACAAAAAAGCTGACACCATCAACTGAATTTCTATTGAAAGGAGAAAACTATACACAGGACAATACAGAGTGTTAGCGGTGATTAACAAATACACAAAACAATGACAAATACAGATGCATTACAGCATATTCCATGCTATTACATTTGTAAAACCACTATTTCTCTGACATGGTAATACAGTTGAGCCACATAAATACATATTACAAGTCCATTCCTGAATGCCGTGCCAAATGACAGTGCGGCATTGTGCATCAGTGTAGACCTCACACCTCTACCAACTGTTTCTTATGCTGTCTTCACACGCCAGCAAGAAGAAGGGCTCATTGGCCTTACGTTGGCGTTGGCCATATAATAAAGTTTTGGAGAAGTGTCAAAACAATAGACAACACAATACAACATTTAAAAACAAAGAACCTATATATTGACCATAAACCTTGTCTAAAACTTCGAATTCGAAAGGTCTTTGCTAATTTACTTTGCTACATATAAGTTGAATTTTGCAGGAACCAGCCATGCCGTTCGAAGTGTTCGTAAATTCTTGTATAAAGTTCTACTGCACTTTAACTGGCTAAAGCTGGACTCAGCTTCTTTGTCTAGTTCAGCTGATACTGAAGGGAACACTTGTCAGTTAAATGTTGCCTTATAGCTGGCAATAAGGAACCTCCTACGTATTCTGGACATATTGTGCTGACCTCTGCAGCCGTGATGGGAGAACCGGAAATATCCTGGCAGGCACACGTCGCAGGCTGTTCCTCCAACGCCAGGCTTGCATGGACACTGGCCCGTCCTGTCGTCGCACTGCGTGCTCACAGAGCCGGTTGTGTTGCAGTGACAGGGTTCGCATCCACCAGGTGACGCCAGGTTCCAGTACCCAGGCTGCAGGCACAGAAAGGCGGAGAGGCAATGCATTTCAAACCTGAAAGCTCGAAGCTCTGGTGGAGATGAGACAGTTTACAGTCAAGCCTTGCCATAGCGAAGTTCTAAGGGACGTCAGAGTAGCTACGTTGTATTCAATGACAAATCTTTATGATGGGAGGTAGGCAGTTGCAGCCTTTAAGACGGTAAGGCTGCTTGGTCTAGCACGGGCTCCAGCAACATCTCGTGTTCGGAGTGTTTTTCATTGCTTTAAAATTTCATCTTCCCACAAACTTCTACCTTATTCATTATATTTGAAAATTCATTACGTATGTTCGTAACTTTATACAAATAGCAACACTATTTCTTATTTCGTTTCAGTATAGCTTATAATTTGTTATGTTTGTATTCAATATTTAAAATATGACTGTATTACAGGAAAAAAAAAAGACAGCAGTTGGCAAGGGGGTGCCAGGCCCAATTTCCATGCTTACTATGTTATAACACGCATATTTACATGCAAGAGCATATCTTGCATGTAAATATAAGAAATTACAACTGCCAATCACAGACAAGTAGAAACACATATGATATACAACTCATATACAAATACAAATCATGTATTTGTATATGCACCCCCAAATTTTATGAATGGTGGCCAGCACTGCACTAGAGATGTTTACTTGCCTGCTACAGCACTGGTTATCACCCGATAATCTTAGCTAGCAGTTTAAAAAAAGGTGATGTCAGCCAGAATTAGCCAACATTGACTAAACGATGGCTAATGGTGGTTAACAATGGCTTGGCAAATAAACGTTCAAATGCAAGAGACACACGCACCTTGCAGCGATCACAGGTGCGGCCCACAACGTTGGGTTTGCAGGGACACTGCCCAGTGTTTTCATCGCACTCGGGACTCAGGGATCCGTGAGGGTCACAGCCACACCCTGGTAGAACAACGAGGAACATAGATTTAACGCGATTCCAGGTGTCGTTTCAGCTCATTATATAGAGCAGAAAACTTAGGATTGCCGTTTCTTAAGATGGAAGAAAAACACAACTCTGAACTCTGATGACGAAACAACTCCCCAACCAGTAATGCAATGGTCTATAAGCAACAATGAACACCTCCATGCACTACTGACTAGCCTTAGAGGTCCGACTATTCAGACTTCCAGAAAAGCAAAGGTCCCGAGAGCCTGGCCTGCGTGACCCCCAGCACTGAAAGCCGTAAGAGTTCTAATACAGTACAAAAAATGTCACAGAGTGAAGTTATCAACTGCAAATACTCTTAGCACATGTGGATGTTCTAAACTCGCATTTTGTGTCTCTTTCACTCTCCGCATGTAAAGAACCAAACAGGACAGCCTAGCTAGCTTCTTTGCCAATTCTACGATTCCTTCACTCCAAGTTGTCGGCACAGTCACATGCATATATAATAAAACTATCCATGTAGTCAAGGCATCCTCACATGCCAGCTTAACATGAGCATTCAAGCATATGCGACAATTACAATAAACGTTCCAAGTACCGTATTTACTCGATTCTACCGCGCCCTCGATTGTAACGCGCACCCGATTTCCACCGCGAAAAAAAAAAAAAAAAACGATAAGACATCGATTGCAACGCGCACCCATTTTTTATCGCTGGCCCACACGATCACACCACTCGAAAAAACGACTCCTTTCGGGAGCGTCTTCCATTTAAATATGAGGTACGGACGAAGCTTGTGCCCATCTGACGTGTAACAGAGCATTGCCGTCACTGTAGTTTTACCGTGGACCGACGTCAGCACGCGAACTTGCTTCGCCCCCTTCTTCTCGACGGTTGTGTTGCCAGGCATGTCGAAGTAAAGAGGCGTCTTATCGGCATTCCCGATTTGCCCAAGCAGGTAGTCGTTGTTGCGCCGCAAGTTTAGGACGAACCTCTGAAAACTGTGAAGCTTTTCATCGTACTCCTCCGCAAAACTTTTCGCATATGCATGTTCCCCTTCGGAGGGAAAAGCCTTTTCTCTTCATAAAGTTAGTTAGCCAGCACCTGCTCGCTTAAAACTGGCTCCGCATTAGACATTTTTCTAAGACTAATTGCATAGCCCGCACTTGGAGCAGTTCTGCCGTCACGGGCCGCTGTGCTGCTCGCTGCTGAAGCACATACTCGCCGAGCAGCTCTTTAATTTGCGTAAACCGACCCTGCTGTGGTCCACTGAAGCCTTTGCGTAAAGCTTTGCTGTCGAAAATCTTCTGCTTTTGTTTCCGCCGGTCCCGCACGCACATTTCGGGAACTCCGAACGACCGCGATGCGGCCCGATTTCCGTCCGTTTCTGCACACGCGATGACTTTTCTTTTAAAAGCGGCATCGTGGTGCACTCGCGTTTTTGGAGTCGGCCATTCCACGCCGTCGATGCTAATGCACTACTAGATGACGAACTCCTCAGCACACGTACGAAGTGCCGCACATGAGAAACACATAGGCAGAAATGGACGACGCGCCATGCCGACGCACGTAGGGGGCGGCCATTTTAGATTTGCCGATGGCAATAGATTGGCCGTAATTTTTTTTGTTCGTACTCGATTCTAACGCGCATGCGATTTATGAACTCGCTTAACCGGAAAAAAGGTGCGCGTTAGATTCGAGTAATTACGGTACTTCGTTGCAAAGGTATCATAAATGTGTTACACGGGCATTAGACTGCACATAGCACAATATGCGATTCAATAGGCTCCAAACAGCTCACATTTGCAGCCATCCAAATGCAGAGAGAAGCCATAGTGTCCTTCAAGGCAGGAATCGCAGAGGGTACCAAACACCCCGGGACGACAGATACAGTTGCCCGTGATCGGGTCGCAGCGCTCAGAGACCGAGCCCTGCAGGTTGCAACGGCAGGGGGTGCAGCCACGCTCCACACCTCCAAAGCCATCCTTATTGACAAAAGATGAAAGTATGCATGAAGCAAAGAATCTAGGTCTGAAGCAGCTTTAAAAGTTGGTGCACACCGAAATTACTAGATTGTAACACAACCATGATTGTAAAGCGAGGAGTGACTTTCCACGGAGAAAAAAAATTGAACATAACAACTGTGAGCATCGTTGCAATTTTTATACAACTTGAATATCAGTATTCGACTGTAATGGGAAGGTCGATTTCAGGTAACAAAAATCTGGAAGAAAAGATTCATGTTACATTTAAGTAAATACAGTAATGTGGTGACATCAACAGAAACTTCCAAAATTTCATGTTTACTGGCCAGTTGCTTTCTCATAAGACCACGTATCATTGATACCGATGATTTAAAACCATCTTTCTTATAGCCACCATACCCATGAGTAGAGATGGTCCCCATTACAATTACTAAGTATTAGCAATGACCGTGTTTCTTTGTCTTTCTTCAGTCTTATTCTTATCTCTACTAAAAACCCTTTTGTCCACGAGTAGACAATCAGCTTAATTTTCTTACAAATATCTTTCTAGGCTCATGAAGTATACACAAGTATTTAGAAGGATGAACATAGGGATAAGCCACCGCTGCTCTATTATAGGCTGTCATGCACACCACAGAGGTTGTGGGCTTAGTTTTCAATGATGACAAGTTGCCTATCCTTTGGGTCATTTCTCTTTCCATTATTAATTCCGGTCAGTTGAACAGCGCCGAATTTCCTCCCCGTTCTTTATTTCTTTTGCTTAACTGTCTGCTCATTTTGCTATCGTTGTCGAACTAAGGAAAGAAAATTAAGCCCCCGTCCGTTCTACTGATTCGCACGGCTCACCTGACACCTGTCACATGTGCGTCCCGAGAAGCTTGGCTTGCAGGGACACTGTCCAGTTGTCTTGTTGCACACTTGGCTGATAGAGCCTGTCACGCTGCAGTCGCATGCTGGAATGATGAAAGACCGACATTGTGAAGACAATTACTACAACTGTTCATGCACGTCTAAGAACTTTGATTTTGTTCACACGTGCGGGCACTTGTCTGGCCACTTTGTGCATATGTTGCCGTGCGCACCAATGGACTATGTAGACAATGTGTTTACGTGCTACTATCTTGGGTGTATCCTCAACTCTACAAGTGTTCATTTAGTTGTTACAGATACAAAACAGCAGACTTACCGGCATGAAAACAACTGGGCTGATGTGTAGAACATTCATTTAACAACCCAAGGTGATGGCCCCCTCTGAATCACTCATTAAAATAGTTTACATAACAAACAATCACCTAGATGACTGAGAGACGTGGCATTATCTTCGAAAGCATCCAGCTAGTTTTTGTAGCGTGGCGCTCTACTATTGGGGTGTTTTTATAGTTCATGTAGCCTAACAGTCACAGTGATGCCTGTTTGACAAGCAAAGCCAGAGCGAGCAGTAATTACCTCACAGTGAAACGTTGACATAATGGCCATGATTACAGCAAATTATTGGATATAATGTGCCACTCGCCAATATAAAGAAGTGACAATTATACATGCTACAAAAAAGCTTAAATAATTCTGGAATCAAATTTTCTAATAATGGGCAACTTTGCAAAGCTCGCACGAACAAACCTGCCCCTGCTGCACACCCCCTCTTAACACAGGTCTCTGCTAATGAGGCTTCCACTAATGAGATAGGTCTCTGTTAATGAGGCAAATAGGGCTTCTAAAAGAGACGTCCGAGGGGACAGAGGACTCACGTCGACAGTCTCCAGTGGCAGGGTTTCCAAAATAGCCATCCAAACATTCGAGACAATTCCAGCCTCCCGTGTTACCACGGCAACGCAAGCAGCGGCCAGTGCGGTGGTCACAGTAGCCGGGAACAGACGTGTCTGCATTGGGACCGCAGCGACACGGCCGACACGGTTCACCAGGAATGGCAGGATTTCCAAAAAAGCCATCCGCACACCTACACACAGTGCCAGAACACAAAAGTTGCATTGGAGGCATGAGTTTCTATACATATGGAAACTTTCTGATCACCTTCTTTTTCAGTTGATTGATTGATTGATTAATATGTGGGGTTTAACGTCCCAAACCACCATATGATTATGAGAGACGCTGTAGCGGAGGGCTCCGGAAATTTAGGACTGCCTGGGGTTCTTTAACGTGAACCCAAATCTGAGCACACGGGCTTACAACATTTCCGCCTCCATCGGAAATGCAGCCACCGCAGCCGGATTCGATCACGCGACCTGCGGGTCAGCAGCCGAGTACCTTAGTCACTAGACCACCGCGGTGGGGCTTCTTTTTCAGTTGGCCACGTTCTCAATGGGAGTGTCCTGGATGCCACCATTATTGAAGCTAGACTACTAAAGGTGCATTCCTACTGGAATTAAGCGATGCCAACAATGTCACTAGACTGCATTGCGAGAACCCTTTGTTGCCATTTCAATCGAAACATGCAAGCTCTCACAAGCTCCTTGCAAAATGAAGCTACTAGAGGACCCCAAACTTCTGCCTCCCTCCTCTCCTCGTCTTACCAAGTAATTCAAGGAGTTAGAGGGTTCACAGAGGTGGTAATTTAGGAATCTCAACAGTCCATATTTATGAACGGTAAAAGTGCACTGAAGATGCCCTCACAACGAAAGAAGAAAGCCTGTTTGTGTCTGTTTCTTTGTTGTGTACTCGTCTTCAGTAAGCTTTCACCATTCACTCCCTTCTCCTTTCAAGTGTACACACTTACACGTTGTGAGGGTGGCCGAGAGAGGGCGTTACGTGACGGCGTCATCATCATCGGGACTTGGCCGAGAGAGGACACTACGTGACGGCGTCATCATCATCATTGGGACTAGAGTGGTGGGGGTTGCGTGTGTGGGGAAGGGAGGGTTCGGGCTGGTTGGAAGGAGTGGCAAGATGTAGCGGTGTGTGGTGTGCAATTTAGGGTTAGCGCGTGACAAGTGGGGGCTCGTCCGGGATGGCTTCAGGCCCGACAACAGCAGCGGACGACATGCCTAGGCTCCAAGGTCTCGTTGAAGAGCTGTTGCTGGGCACCGACGGCTCCACCATGGAGCGCGAACGAATCGCGGCGGTCGTACGCGATCGAGTGATGGCGACGCCGCTGCCCACGGCTCCGCACGTGGGAGCATGGACTGGGGCCGCTAACACTGGCGCGGCCCCTCGGGCCACCGACGACTCTGCGCCTCGGCTCGCCGCTGCGCACCTCCCCCGCTACTCCGGTGCTAGAGACTTGCAGTCGCCGGAGGAGTTTCTTGAACGTTTGGAGAACTTCTGCCTCGTGACAGGGGGTCGCCGCCGATAAGCGACTGACACACGTGGTACCGGCTGCCCTCGAGGGTGGCGCGAAGTTGTGGTGGCGGTTCGTGCGCGGGTTCGACTCGTGGGAGCAATTCACCGCCGCCTTCCGCTCTGAGTTCTCGTCGATTGACGCGAAGCGTCGCCTGAAGGCGGAGCTCGAACAGTGCACGCAGCACCCGGAAGAAAATTTGAAAGAGTTTATATATGCCATCGCTACTTTTTACGACCGCATCGGGGAAGAGGTCTCCGAAGCCGAGAAGGTGCAGCGCGTACTGAGGCAGATGCACCCTCAGTTGCAAGATTTGGCGGAGGGGCATGCCTACAACGACCTCGCTGAGTTGGTGAAGGCAGCCGACGGCCTAATGGCGCGGGCTTGGCGTCGCCTCCAGTACAGACCACCGCCCCTTCCGAGCAACCAAGTAGCCAGGGATCTGGCGTTCCGCCCTAGCCAGGCCCCCGACCATCGCTCACTGCCGCAGCCGAACACTATGGCGACGGCGTCGTTCGCTTCGTTTGCTGCTGCCCCACCGGCACCGCCAACTTATCACTGGCCACTGCATCCAGCTGCGCTAGACCCGTCGTACTGCCGGGACCGACAGTACTCGTGCGACACAGCGCCTACGTTCTCACCCTACGGGCCAGGACCGATGCCGCGGCAGGAGCCCGCGAGTGGAGCCATGTGTGTGCAGTGCCATCGCTGTGGTGGATTCGGCCACATATCTCATAACTGTGCCACGGGTCGACGAATGGGGCCACCCGTTTGCTTCCGGTGCCAGCGATCGGGTCACCTGCAAGCACAGTGCCCGGGAAACCAGTGGCGGTAGGTGCTGCCCCGGCGGGCACCTACGGCAGTGCGCACCAAGTAGCGACCACAGCCGGTGGCAAAGAGCCCCTTATAGACGTCCGTATCGGGTCGTCGACGTTCAAGGCCCTGCTAGATACAGGCTCAAGTGTAAACTTCTTCGGACCGCACGCCGCGGCGGCGGCCCAAGCTTCTGGAGCCAAACCCAAGGCAGACGTACGCGTGCTGCGTTTGGCATCAGGCTGGTCGCAGTCAACCATGTCTCTGAAGTGCCAGATCGAGTGGGCTGCCGGTTGCCGCAGACAGCAGTTTTTGTGCGTTCCTGACCTGTGCCGTGACGTTGTCCTTGGTAGGGATTTCCTGACGATGAGTGGCATCTCTCTGCACGTGTCACTTGGTGGGTGGACTGTCGGCACAGAACCACAAAGAATTGTGCCGTTTGTCAAGGCCGTTAAGGAACAGCCAGAGGCAGTGGATGATTTTGGAGACAGTCTGCGCTGCATTTTTGCTGAGAGCGATGCCACTGTGTGTGCCAGTGTGCCGGAGACGACTGCAGCCTGCAATGTGATCATTTCCGGCTACTCGTCGGACCTAGACCCACGCATGAAACACATTTTAGAAGAGTTCAGCGAAATCTTCACCACAACTCCGGGCTGCACAACCCTGGCAGAGCATCGCATAGACACGGGAGACAACCCACCTGTTCGATGCAAACTGCGACCAGTGAATTCCAAGAAGCAGGCCATCATGGACAACTGCATTCAAGACCTGCTGGCACAGAACCTCATCCGCCCTAGCCAAAGTCAGCATGCCAGTGCTCCAGTCCTGGTTGAGAAGAAGTCTGGTGGCTACCGCATGGCTGTGGATTACCGCCAGCTAAATGCACGCACTAAGGTGCCAGTCTACCTCATGCCGAGGACTGATTGGTTGCTGGCACAGCTGGGACGAGCCAGGTGGTTCTCAAGTTTTAATCTTTCACAGGGTTTTTTTCAAATCCCTGTTCAAGAGCAAGATATTCCAAAGACAGCGTTCATTTGCCATCGGGGAACCTTCGAGTTTATGAGAATGCCCTTTGGAGTTGCCGGAGGTCCTGCCACGTTTCAGACCCTGATGGACCGACTACTGGAGAGAATTAATCACCAGTTTGCCATGGCGTTTCTTGATGATGTCCTGGTGTATTCGGAGACCCTAGAGGATCATCTTGAGCATGTTCGGGAGGTATTGAAGTGGATAAGTTCGGCACAGCTGACCATTAACCCAGAGAAGATGCACGTGTGCTGTCAATACCTTAAGTTCCTTGGCCATGAAATATCGCCCGGGCAGTGTAGGCCGGACAAGGAAAAAGTGCGAGCGGTGCTGGACTATCCTCAACCAACAACACTCAGCTGCAGGCCTTCCTGGGACTGGCAGGCTATTACAGAGGGTTCATACCTCAGTTTTCTATCACTGCACAGTCCACTCACAGAACTCCTTAAGAAAAAGCAACGTTGGCGGTGGGAGCTGCAGCAAGAGGAAGCCTTTAGAGCATTTAAGCAGTCCCTGGCCGACGATGTTGTTGTAAACTTGCCAGACCTCAACAGACCATTCGTGGTGGAAACAGACGCCAGTGGAGTCGGCATTGCAGCGGTGCTTCTGCAGGCAGCCGAGAGTGATGCTCAACTGCGTCCAATAAGCTTCATTAGCAGGGTCCTCACTGAGGCAGAGCAGCGCTATACAGTGCAAGAATGGGAGTGTCTGGCTGTGGTGTGGGCAGTGGACAAGTTCCGACCATACCTTGAGTTCACCGAGTTTGAGGTACACTGTGATCACTCCTCACTATCCTGGATGTTCACCACAGACCAGGCCTCACCACGTGTAAAGCGTTGGGTTTTGCGGCTGCAAGGTTTCAACTGCAGAATCAAGCACAGGCGGGGTCTTGCAAATGTGCCAGCCGACGCCTTGAGCAGAGCTCCCCTTCAGCACCAGGAAGTTCCAAGCCCGAGTCTACACGAGACGCTGTACCCTATGGCTGTTCCAGAGCCTAGCCCACAAATCAGCTTTGAGGCAGCTGCTGTAGCATCTGAAGTGGACGACACTACTGTCTTGAATGATGCAGGGCTCCTCGCCCAGGAACAAGAGCAGGACCCCATACTGTCAGAACTACGAACTGTGATGAAGGGAGGAAAGCTTCCGCCCACTGACAGTGATCAACCTTTGATAAAAGATCTGGCGGAGACGACCGAGATGGAAGGGAGTGGGTTGCTTGTACAGCACCGAGGGAACAGGAAAGTACCTTGGCTACCAAACCATCTCTGCAACTTGGTCCTGCGACTGTCCCATGACCACCCGATTAGCGGCCACTCCGGCTTTTTTAAGACCTTCAAACGCGTTTCTCAGAATTTCGTGTGGCTTGGTATGCGCTCGGACATATCCAAGTATGTGCGATGCTGCCAGGTTTGTCAGCGCACCAAAGCCCACCGGCAGAAGCCAGAAGGGCTGATGAGCAGTCAATGGGCTACTGCCCCTATGGAACAGCTCAGCGTGGACATAATTGGGCCCTTGCCTATGACACCTCGACGCCACAAGTACCTTCTCGTGGTGATTGACAAGTTCACCAAGTTCATTGAACTTTTTCTATTGCGGGCAGCAAACAGCAAAAGTGTGGTGGCCTGCATGATCCAGGTTTTTTGCAGACATGGCACACCTGTCTCCATTTCAAGTGATAATGGAAAGCCATTTGTAAGCAGGTTGTGGAAGGGCCTCCTTGAGCATTGGGGCATACAAGACCGACACACTGTTCTGTACCGCCCTGCCGGGCCAATGGTGGAGCGCCACAACGGCATTATCAAGCAGTGCCTTAGGGCTTATTGTTCCAACCACAAAGACTGGGACCAGCACATCCCTGAAATCGCCCTGGCCATGCGCACGGCTGAAGGCGTTGTCACGGTCTACACGCCTGCCTTCCTCTGTTATGACCGGGAGCTGAGAACCCCATGGACACAGGCTGAGGCCAAAGACGACGCGGAGCCTCCTGCGACAGCATACCGTGCATTTGCTACTGAGGTCTCCAAGTGTCTGCAGGAGGTGCTTGATTTCTCCAGGACACACCAAAACCACATGTGGCGCGCTCAGAAGACTCGCTACGACCAGCACAGGCGGCCACTGACAATACAGGAGGGTGATCTTGTTCTGCTCGAAAGCCACTCCCTCAGCGATGCCACCAAGGGCTTCTCCTCGAAGCTTGCACCCCGGCGTTCCGGTCCCTTTCGGGCAGTGAGACGTGTGGGACAGAATGACTTTGTTCTAGTGGACCCCAAAACGGGTCGTCGCCACGGTGTGAGAAACGCAGATCAGCTGACACCGTACCATGACGCTGCAGGCGATGTGTAGTGGTGGCTTCACATTTTCAGGGGAGGGAGACCTGTGAGGGTGGCCGAGAGAGGGCGTTACGTGACGGCGTCATCATCATCGGGACTTGGCCGAGAGAGGGCACTACGTGACGGCGTCATCATCATCATTGGGACTGGAGTGGTGGGGGTTGCGTGTGTGGGGAAGGGAGGGTTCGGGCTGGTTGGAAGGAGTGGCAAGACGTAGCGGTGTGTGGTGTGCGATTTAGGGTTAGCGCGTGAACGTGACTAAAGTTATGTTTGAGCCATTTCCATACTTAGCGCCTATCAGCAATAGTGAAACAGTAAAAAACATCAGGCAAACACCTTTCGCATTTGTTGCCAGCATGGTTTGGCGGGCATTCCAAACAAACGTAGTCGCTTTCCCCCGCTGGGGTTACGATCGTTCGACACTCGGAGGGCAAGTCGTACAGGCTGGCCCCGGGAGGACAGCTGCACGGCTTGCAGTCATCCGTAAAACCGAGAACCGCGTTGCCATAGAAACCTGGCAGGCACTCGTTGCAGTTGGGGCCTGTAGTGTTGTGCAGACATTCCTGCAATAACAGAAAATGTATGGTTAATTGAAGTAAAGCGCTTCACTGGGTGAGTCGGTACAGGTTCATGTTGAGACGTAGGATAAAGAAAGCTAGATATAAACAAGAAGTCACAAAACGGGAGATATAAGGTTGCAACAAAAATACGCAGATTCTCCATCTAATCAATTATGCCTGGATGTGCGTATCAAAAGTAATAATATCAGCGTGCAGTGTCAATCAAAAATAGCTTTTAAAAATATACTGAAATAACTGCTTACCTGCAAATACTGCAACTCATGCTTACCAGTACATTTTATAAGCTCATGGGAGCTTAGGTTTTCAATTACCTAAAAAAATGGCAACCGAAAACTTTTATGTCAGCACCCCTTCAGAAAAAGCACCTCTTGCTCTGAACATCTCACTGCTAGAGCCATACTGTTTATTCCTCATGCTAACCGAGACCTATAGCTCAGGCCAAGCAATCGGTTTTTGTTAATTGCACGTATTCCTTGTTGTGAAGCGTACATATCAGCTCGATCAAACTGTTCGCAAAGTTGTCCAACAGCGAGTATCGATATAGAAATCGAGAGCCGCTTACGTCGCATTTGCCGGTGTACGGATCGCACGAGTCGGCGTGGTTGTTGCAGTCACATTTTTCACAGCGCCCACCAAGCAGGGTGTTGTTGACACGACGATAGCCGGGGGCACAGAGCTGAAACCGACAGGAGAAATGAGTGAACTAGTACATCACTCTAATTAGGCTGCATTTGTTTCTGAATCTACGACTTCAGTGGCATATTGATTAACTTTAGCCCATCTGATATGGCAAGGTTCAGTGACGAAAAGTTATTACTAGTCACAAATTGTATAAAATCTTCAGCCACATGACTTCGTCTGGGCTCATTATACTGTCTCCACACACGAACTGTAAAATTTGTGAATTTGGCTTAATCAGCAAAAATAATTAATTAAATTCTAGTCACTAAGCGCTATTCTCACATAGACCAAGAATTTAAATAACTCAATTGCTGGATTGCGATTGGATGACGACAATGTTGCTGTTGCAGCAGCCACCAGCCAGTAGTAATCATCCGGTCTCTAACAAGCAGCCATCAAGTAGCCGAAATTAGCCAGTGCTGGCCATGTGCACGTGAATATGATAGTGGAATTCGGTCAGAGACTATCATTGACATCATGCTTTGTTACAGAAAGTGGGTGAAATATTCTGGGTAAAACATTGCCTTTAAAGAAATGTGAAGGTTTGTGTGTAATACTGATATTACATTGTATCCCATTTGCATCACAATTTGTTGTGAATGCAGAAGATTGAAGACCATGAAACGCTTATGCCAATTACAATGCAGATGCATAAATCAGAAGCAACAGACAAAGGGTCCGAAAGCATTTTCTTTCTCACAGTTTCATATATGTTTAAGAAACTTTTTCATCCTGCCACATCAAATACAAGTCCTTACCTCACAAGAGAGCCCAGCATAGCCGACCGGGCACTGACACATCTCGACCGATGTCATCTTCGTCAACGTCCCTGACGTCTTGGATGCCACGGGAAGATCTACGTGGTGCATGCTGCACGATTTAAAGATAAGCATCAATACGATAACAATGATACTTTTTATGCAGCTTTTGCTAGAAACATTTTGGTAATGAACCTTATCTCTGCTATAAATTGTTAGCCCAAATTTCGGCAAAATAATGGCTGAACTTTAAGCACTCTGGACACACCTCTTGCCAACACATTCGAATTTTCATATCTTCCTCCCGTAGAAACTCACGCACGCTTTTGCAGCAGAGCGGGACATGTGCTTCCATCTACCAGGGCGCAGCAAAGTGCCGAGCCAAAGCCAACTAGTTTTCAAAGCAGTGCAAAAATACACAAACGAATGTCGATGAGTACAGCTTATCTAAGAATGCCCATTTTAACTAGAAATGTGCGGACAAGCCTAACTTGTCTAAGGTAGAAAAAAGAGGTAAAGGATTATAAATATCAAACGGCCAAACAGGTGATATATTGTTGCTTTGTGGCCAAAAAGGTAACATGCCGCTCAACTCAAAACAACCAGCTTCATGAAAAGGCGCACACAAACTTTTTGTGGAGCGCAGAAATTTGAGCTAGTTGGTAGTCAGTGAACTTGTACATCTCAACAAGTGCAAAGCAACAATCACCGAAAAAAAGAGACATGTTAATAGAAGGAGACATGGGCGCTAGACAAACTGAAAGTTTACAGGTGAACAATGATGGCAGTGCACACACAATCAAACAACTATAACTAAGTTGCATTTTACAAGAAAAAAATTCATTATATACAAAAACTTGTAATAAAGGTTACTTTTAACACCATATTTATTGCAAAGCTACTTTTTACTTATTTGTTATAACCGATATTTCGTTATACCTGTGCTTGTTATAGTACTGAGGTTTAAATGTACAAACACAAAACCCACAGTGCAGTTATGAGCATCGCCATCATCTTGGGTCTGTAACCTTTCAGTTGATGTTGAGAAGTGGTCCTGTTGATTTGTCTCGTCTCTCTAGGGTTAAGATGTGAAAGTTCTGCACAAGGCCTCACGAGACAGCACTTACGCTCCTTCTATTTGGTCCGAGTGGTACTTGGCCCGCAGGAGCAGTCTCTCCATGTCGTGCAAAGCAAGCGTAAACTCCTCGCGCGACGCTGGCCTCAGAGGGCGTCCCTTGTCGTCCAACAAGTGCCAGCCGTGCTCTCGAAGCGGAACAGCAATGGTCACGTTGTCGGGGCTCGGTCGCAGGCTCCAGTTGTAGCCAAACCGCTTCCCATCGCCCTGAAGAAGCGAGGACGCATTACGACAACCGCTGGCATTGCAGCAACATTGCGAGTACGACATGAACAACCCGAGTGCGGAAGTCGCACTTGAAATTTATTGTGCTTCTGTTACTTCTCTGTTGTGTGGAGGTAGTTGCAATAAAAAGATTTCTCTGGTTCCCGAGAATAATACATGTTTTATTAAATGGTAGTAGTTTTAAAATCAAAGTGCAGTGCTTTCATTGCTAATAATATGCAAAAAAAGACATAACACAAATAAATAAAGAACAAGAACACTTGTCATACTTACCGTATAAACTGGAATGTAGGTCGAGATTTTTTCAATAAAATAAGCTAAGGTCGCCCCTCGTCTTATATAGCGGTGTCTAGCCGAAAGTGCGGCGCCGTCTGGCAACATATGGCTTGCATGTGCTTGTGAAGCCAGACGCGGTCATATCCACATCCAAATCCAATCGCAGTCTGTTTTCTTTGTGTTGGTGATTTGCTTCCGATCTGTTCCGAGTTTTCGCTCTGCTTGACATTGCGCTGCATTTTTAGTGGCCTTTTTTTTTTTCGTTCACTAAATATGTATAGCGGTGCGAGGAGGCAGTACTCAGCTGCGTTTAAACTAGATGTTGTTAAGTTCGCAGAAGCGAACGGGAATATGGCTGCTCAGCGCCGCATTGGTGTATCAGAAAAAAGCGTGCGCTATTGGAGGGCGCAGAAAGGGAAGCTGCAGATGTGCAATCCTCGAAAAATGTCGTTTCGTGGACGAAGTGCCGTTCATCCGCAGCTGGAGGATAAGCTAGCAGACTTTGTGCGGGAAGTTCGTGCGCGCTCGCTGCCAGTGACCGTAGATACCATTCGCAAGAAAGCCGTGGAACTCGCTTGGGAAGCTGGCCTCACGAGAAAAGAGTTTCGTGCACGGAACTCTTGGGTGCGTTGATTCATGCGACGCAAAGGATTTTCTCTCCAGCGGCGCACATCCATCTGTCAAAAGTTGCCGGAGGAGTTCGAGGACAAGCTCATAAACTTTCAGCGCTTCGTAAACCGGCTTCGGGAGCAGAACGAATACATGGTGGGGCAGATTGGCAACGCCGATGAGACCCCCATGTGGTTTGACATGCCTTCGTCGACCACGATCACGCAGCGCGGCGCCAAGGATGTGAAGCCGCTGTCCACTGGCAACGAGCACTCGCGCTTCATCGTCATGCTGGCATGCACGGCAGATGGTAGAAAGCTTCCGCCCTTCGTCATTTTCAAACGCAAGACAATGCGATGGTGCAACAGTTGGTGCGACAATGCGACAGTTGCGATGGTGGTAGAGGGGAGCTCCGACGATCGGGATGGGGTGCGCCCAATTCGCAAATAAATGTGGTTCGGCAGTTTTGGGTTGTTTTCCTTTTTTTCTTTTTTGGTAACCTGAACTTGGGGGGTCGACCTATATTCCCACTCGACCTATACCTCCGGTTTATACGGTATGTGCTTTAGTGCACCATTGTTGACCAGCAGTGACAAATTTTCAATAACCCAAATGATTCAATCCTCAATTTCTTGCAGTTTGCAATTATTGGAATCTTCAATAATTTAAATTCCAATCAAAGCAAATTCAGATACTGTAATATTTTTTCGAATATTTAAAGCATTCACACATTTGCACAAGCCTAGCGATCAAATATTTCATGTTCGGGCACCAAAGCTCGAGTTGGCCAAAATTTAACCCCTTAAGTGCTTTGGACAAACAGAGCTCATCCCGCCCAAATTGTCACCGAACCGCTTTAGACGATCAGAACTCGTTCTAACGGAATAGGTACTCCCCTCTAGCATTCAGGCGGAGAAGCGCATTTATAGCTTAGATTGCGTGTCATTCACTAGATGGCAGCATTCGCTCAAGGATTTTGTTTTTTTTTTTTGCGGCAGGAGTGCGGTACTTGTATGGAAAGACAGCATGCAGTTGCAGCTATCCAGGCATGGCTGGCCTGTGAGCATTGAAAAGAAGCTATTCGTTCTCCTAATTTTCTTCGAGGGATGATGGTTCGAGTACAGATATTTATCTTGTGTCCGGAAGTGACGACAGCGATGACGGTTAATTGAGTAGCTCCTCCGGTGATGGTGAAGACAGCTCGGACACAAACACTGCGTGTGCCCGCCAGTGAAGTCGCTTTGCGTTATTCCGAGTTTTGAAATTTCCATTGCAGCCCCGAAACTTCCCGAGTGAAATACCCCAAGGGTGCTTAGCCTGCAGAAGTGAAGAAAGATGAGGCGTCTGTAACAGTTTTGTTTATGAGGTTTTTAATTTTATTAGCAGCAGGTAGCTGGTTTTCTATGTATTGTCCAGAAATAAACTTTATTCTACTTATTTGACTAAGTATGTGTTGAAAATATTGTTACGACCTCAGTAGGCGTCTGGGGGTTTATTGATACACGGTTCGAGGGACGAGCCGTATCGGCGCAGGCAGATGATGATGATCTTCTTCTTCCACACCCCTTGCTTCTTTTTCCTTCTTCGTCCGGCACATACGTGGCGTAACATTTCCCCCCTCGCAGACAAAGCGCGCCGCGCGTTTCATGCAGTGTCGCGTTGACTGAAAGGCTTCAGGCGAGCGACATGCGTGACCTCTGTCTTTCTGGAACGTCTCCCGCTAGCTGTAAGACGTGCGATGCGGTAGTCGACTGCGCTCAGGCGGTCAAGGATAACAAAAGGTCCGATGTAGTGCGCGAGCAGTTTTTGGCACAAGCCACGTTTGCGTAAAGGCTTCCACACCAACACGAGATCTCCCGGAATATATGTGGCCTGCCGGTGCTTGCTGTCATAACGAACTTTCGATCTGTCTTGCGAGGCTATTGTACGTAAACGAGCAAGACGACGAGCTTCTTCGGCGAGACAAAGAGTTTCTGCTAGGGAGATTTCTGATTGGTCCCGATCAGAGAAGGAAAATATTGTATCCAGAGTATAACGGGGGGGTCGAACATAGAGGAGGAAGAACGGGCTGTAGCCGGTGGTCTCATGTTGGGAAGTATTAAACGCGTATGTGACGAACGGCAAGACATCGTCCCAGTTCTTGTGGTTCGAGGCAACGTACATAGAAAGCATATTCACCAGTGTTCGAATTGTTCGCTCGACGAGACCATTCGTCTGCGGGTGATAAGGCGTCGAGTGTCTGAGCTCTGAGCCACACATACGGAGAAGTTGTTCGACAACGTCTGCCGTGAATTGACGTCCACGGTCACTTATGATGACGCGAGGGGGCCCATGACGCAGTATGATAGAATGGAGAAGGAAGGACGACACTTGACCAGCAGTCGCGGATGGCAGGGCAGCAGTCTCGCAGTACCGAGTAAGATGGTCAGCACATACCACAATCCATCTGTTGCCTTTCGATGAACGCGGAAAAGGGCCCACCAGGTCAATGCCAATTTGTTCGAACGGAGAACTGGGAGGCGTCACAGGTTGTAGATGTCCGGCCGGAGCTGCTGAGAGAGATTTGTGCGCCTGGCATTGCGCACAACTGGCCACGTACAACTCAACTGACTGGCGCATACGTGGCCAGTAGAAGCGTTCCTGGGTACGATGAAGAGTGCGCGTCGTTCCGAGGTGACCTGAAGTGGCGTCATCATGCATGGCGTACAAAACAGATGACCGTAGTGCCTCTGGAACCACCAGCAGGAAGCGGGAACCGGTGCCGGAGATGGATTTCTTGTACAGTAGACCATCACGGACGCAAAAGCGGCTTTCCGGAGTGGATGCTTGTGCGATCACGAATAACGGATTCAAACTCACGTCCTTCCGCTGCTCAGTTTCAAAGGTGGCCTTATCCGGGAACGCTGGTGCTACGGACGCAATCAGATGATCGAAATCGTCAGCGTCGCAAACTGTAGCATCAACTGGCATCCTTGAAAGGCAGTCCGCGTCCGCGTGTTTCCTGCCGCTCTTGTACGATACCGTGAAGTTGTACTCTTGCAGCCGGAGGGCCCAGCGTGCTAGACGGCCTGACGGATCCCGAAGGTTGATAAGCCAGCACAAAGAATGATGATCCGTAACTACTTGGAAAGGACGACCGTATAGGTATGAGCGGAATCGCTGCACAGCGAAGACGAGTGCAAGGCATTCTTGTTCGGTCACAGTGTAATTGCGTTCCGGCTTACTTAAAGTGCGACTGGCATATGCGATTACGTGTTCCACTTGATTACATCGCTGTATCAGGACTGCACCTATGCCAATGCCGCTTGCGTCGGTGTGAACTTCAGTCGCCGCAGAAGGATCGAAGTGCCGCAGGATAGGCTGCGACGTGAGCAAGAACTTCAGTTGGTTGAAAGAAGTTTCACAATCAGGAGTCCATTCAAAACTAGCACCTTGGCGGAGAAGACAGGTCAGTGGAAAGGCAACTTCTGCAAAGGCGGGAATAAATCGGCGAAAGTAAGAGCAGAGGCCCAAGAAGCTCCGAAGCTCCTTCACTGAGCCAGGTGGTTTAAAAGCTCTAACAGCCGCCGTCTTATTCGGGTCGGGCCTGATGCCATCCTTGTTGACGAGATGTCCCAGCACCAGTGTTTGTCGAGCTCCGAAATGACACTTCTTTGCATTAAGAACCAAGCCAGCATTTCGAATACATTTCAAAACCAGCTCTACCCTTTCGTTATGTTCACTGAATGTACGCCCGAAGATAACAACGTCGTCAAGATAACACATACAGATGTTCCACTTCAGGCCGCGCAGAATGGTGTCCATGAATCTTTCAAATGTAGCGGGCGCGTTACATAGACCAAAAGGCATCACGTTAAATTCATATAGTCCATCCGGAGTAACGAAAGCCGTCTTTTCTTTGTCCATTGAATGCACAGGTATTTGCCAATAGCCTGAGCGTAAGTCTATGGACGAAAAGTAGGATGCTGAATGGAGGCAGTCTAGAGCGTCATCAATGCGTGGGAGAGGGTAGACATCTCTCTTTGTGACGGAGTTTAGACGGCGATAGTCCACACAGAATCTCCAGGTACCATCCTTCTTTTTGACTAGAATCACGGGAGCCGCCCAAGGACTCGATGATTCTCGAATGACACCCTTCTGCAGCATATCACGCACTTGTTCATCAATTATCTTGCGCTCAGACGGCGACACTCGGTAGGGTTTCTGGCGGATGGGCTGTGCTGTCCCCGTGTTTATCCTGTGGAGAATCCGAGACGCGGGAATCGAGGGCGCATGGTCATGGGAAAAATCGAAAATCGCCACGTATTTTGACAAAACGTCCAGAAGCATGCGGCGTTTGTCAGTAGTAAGTGACTTGTCGATCATAGGTAAAAGTTTTGAATCGGCCGTAGAAGTATTGGCTGAGGCCCCACCTGGAGCATCACTGAGGGCAGCCACTGCCATCGGTGAGTATGTTTTGAACTTGGCAAGCTTCAGTCCTCCTGGTAGAACCACCGACTCAGCTGAACAGTTTACCGCCCATAGTCCTGTGCGTCCTTGAACGAGTGACACTATGCAATGCGGCACCAATGTGTTCTTCTTAATGCAACTGAGATGAAAGGGCTCCACTAATGCGTCGAACGCACTGTCACTATTTTCAATGCGTGAAGAGTATACAGGAACACAGACTGCAGAGAATGCCGGCACAATGCTATCTTCACTGACCCGGAGCGCACCGTGCTCCCTGTCTGAATTCTCTAATAGTTCTCCAGGGGCAGCATCACATATGTACACCTCTCCATTTCTACAATCAACAGTGGCGCCACACATTCGAAGGAAGTCAATCCCCAGGATTATGTCGTGTGTGCTCCTTGGAAGAATCGTAAACTCTGTGACAAACACTTGATCACCCAAGCACACTTCTGCGGTACAGACACCAATGGGACACAGCGAGTTACCACCAACGCCACAGAATGTTGTTGCCTTCTCCCACAAAAACATCACCTTTTGTCCTAAACAGTGTTTAAAAGCAGCACTCATAATCGAAACTGTAGCACCAGTGTCCACCAAAGCCATCGTACACACACCATCAACAAAAACTTCTACCTTGTTCTTGAACATCAACACAGACGGGGGTATTTCGTTTTGCAGCAAGTCACCAGCGACCTCACCCCCATCGGCCGCACTGTTTAGTTTTCCTGATGTGGTGACGATGGGCGGCGCCGTGGCGATGGAGACCGGTGGGATCGAGGCGCAGGAGGTGGCGTCACACTTCGATCAGAGGCAGGGGAGTTGTTGCGCCAGTGTCCGTGCCAGAAGCTGCTGCCGGGTCTTGAGTCGGTGGGCCAGTGTCCTTGAAAAGGTGGGACAGCAGGTTTATCGGTCAAGCTTGTCCACTGATCATAGCGTGGTATGCGCGAACGATCGCAATACCTCGATATGTGACCAGTCAGACCACAGTTGTAGCACACAGGCGCAGGACGAGGTCGTCGCCGTTCTTCGAAGTGTTCACGTCTGCGAGCGTTCGCGTAAGCCCGAGATTCAATGAAATCAGTTGTCGGTGGGTGGTATGGGCGTACGGAACGGAAACGTTGAGGGTACTGTGATCGCTCGTAAAAAACCGGACTTGACTGCTGAATACGCCGAGGCCCTGCAACCTCCGTTGCGTTGACGGATGGATGTTCATAAACTGTAAGCTGTGGGGCAGTGGTGTCCTGCGGGAAATAGGATGGAGACGTGGCAGCTGCCCGTTCACGTGTCATTTCGCCATGTCTGAGTAACTCTTCCCGAACAATTTGGCGGATGGTTGCCGAAAGGTCACCAGTTGAGGCCGCTTCTATGCTGGCTACTGAGGTGACATTTGCCAGACGACCAAACTTAGGCGCTATTCTGCGCTGCTTCAGGGTTTCAAACGTGCGGCAGTGCCGTACAACGTCAGACACTGAAGTCAGGCTTTCCCTGCTAATAAGGAAGTTGTAAACATCTTCTGCAATTCCCTTCAGCAAATGCCCCACCTTGTCCTCTTCCGACATGCTGGAATCGACTTCCCTACACAGCCTCAAAATCTCTTCAGTATACACGGTGCAGGTCTCACCGGATAGCTGGGCCCTCTGTGCAAGACTCTGCTCGGCAAGCTTCTTTTTTGCAGCTGAGTTGCCGAAACACTTCTTGATTTCTTCAACAAAGCGTTCCCATGTTGTCAGAATATCTTCATGGTTCTCATACCAAACGAGGGCAACATCAGTGAGGTAGAAAACAACGCGTGACAGTTGGGAGGCAGCATCCCATTTGTTGCAGTTGCTTACTCGCTTGAAATGTTTGAGCCATGAGTCCACGTCGTCATTGGCCCTCCCGGAGAAGGTTCGTGGCTCTCTGTGATACGGCCAAGAACTGCTGGGGACTGGTTCCCGAGCTTCTGTTTCGTCAGGCATGATGGCCAAAGAAGGAGGCAGGCCGGCGAGGCGACGACTCCGGCGAAATCCGAGGGGTAGCGGTCCCGTCGTTGTTTCCTATACCCAGCACCTCCACCACTCTGTTACGACCTCAGTAGGCGTCTGGGGGTTTATTGATACACGGTTCGAGGGACGAGCCGTATCGGCGCAGGCAGATGATGATGATCTTCTTCTTCCACACCCCTTGCTTCTTTTTCCTTCTTCGTCCGGCACATACGTGGCGTAACAATATTTTTTCAACGTTGACTAGCTACTTTTTAGTACAATCAAATGCGTAATCAGCATTAAAAACATAGGCACTTTTGGACCGGGAATCTTCAACAAAAAAAATTAGCGGTCAAGTTTAATGACCAACATGTTCTACTTACAAAATCTTCATAAAAACTGACACACCAAACATCATCCGTCGTATACCTTTGTACTAAATGATATCATAAGTCGATTTGGTTGATAAACTAGCAAAACTACCTCAGTTGAACCTTCTAAATTGATAGTCTAATATATAATTAAAAGCAGAAGCTTATGACTATGTGACTAATATTGTTATGCAAAGGCATATTGATGGGCAACTCATATTAACGATATATTTACACTATGCCCAAGCGTAGACATAATAGCCGAGTGCATACCAGTCTTCAAAATCGCATCTTCTCCACGATGCTGTTCTTTGTTCTTCAATGCAGTTGTGCATCAGTATTTAGGCAGCTACTTCATAAATGCAGGGTTCTGCTGACTTGCGCGGTTTTAAATGAGAGGCAGAAACACACTTTTCCTGGTGATACTTACTTCAATTATGACATCCGAACCTTCCACATAGGATCCCGAAGTGTCACCACGGGCCACCACGTAGCTGAGCATAAACTTCAGATCTCCTCCGTATGAGTACAGCTGTCAAGAAGAGAGACAGCAAAAGTGAAATAGAAAAATCATAAATTTATCTTGTTTTGCATCAAAAGGTATGTGCGTGTTAAAAGAGAACCCTGAAAATGACCGACGAAATTGTCACCTCGAGGGACACTACAGGCACCTGTCGGCAGCAATGGTCAACGGAACCCGAGATGCACAGCTCGGAATGCTTACATTTAAATGGCTAGCAGCTGTGTACCAGTCAACTTCCGTAAGCTAGTTTTATGCCTTGTAGCATGAATATTCAGAATCAAAATTTTAAAACAGCCATGGTAGGTAAGGTAATGTTAATATAAACAAACAGAGAAGTGGCCAAGTACAGTGGCTACACAGACCTTGTTTCCAAGGTATTGATCGGGTGCTTGCCAGTAATACATGTTCCAATTGACGTCGTCATTCGCAATGGTGAGGCGTCCATTCTCGGGTGTCGGCCGTACTGTTCGGCTGCCGTGCAGGTTGGTGATCGTCCAGGTGTTGGGCTGTTTCGCCCCAGTGTTGGGCTGTTCCGCCCCGGTGTTGGGCCGTTTTATCTGTGCAGATTCACGAACGAAAGTTATACTAGTTATATATTTTAAAGAGTTATCTGCTAGCTATGAAAAAGAAAAAAAAAATTGTAGCTCGAAAGACTTGCAAAAGCATGCTCAGGTCTCTGTTGCCTGTGAGGCTACTTATATGCATATAAAGGTTTATAAATTGCTCCTTGAATCATGCACACAGATGAACGTTTACAAGCAAAGCATATATGTAATGCAACTTTTAGGGTGTTGCATGCATTTGGTGATTGATCGTTGATGCCTTCAAGATTTGTATGCACTTTTTCACAGCGTTATTTTTTTTTTCAGCTCTCTCTTACATTTTCTCATTTCATTTTGCATCTGTGCATATACATGACTCGTGAAGGGCTTCAGCCAAGAGGTTAAACCGAAACATACAGTACAAATCACTACTGCCAGTAATAGTCAATGTTGAGTGCTCATGCTTATGCACTTTTCCAATAAAGACATGATGGACACTGACCGAGAAGGAAAGCACGGGTCGACACAATCAAGAATTAGGTCCAAAAAGTACATTTCTGGAAAATGTGACAATACCAGTTCATAGTATAAAATAGTAAGCACCTTCCAACTTCTGTTAATATTTAAAACAATTTGTCAAAAATAAGTAGCAAAAGAAGAAATGATGCTGGATTCAAGAAAGATGCACAGGAATTTCTGGTTACCAAATGAAAATGATCAAAAACATAAACATTGTGATATTCTGCTTATTTTATTAGTATGAAACACACAAACACTATGAGAGTCTCATAAGCAACACTTTTCAAAGTAGCTCTTACAGTTTCGATTCCCCAGTTGCTTGGTCGACACACGCTTGTCACTCCAAAACAGAAGCACGACGAACAGCCCTCGGGGTTGGTCTCGGACAAGTCGTAGAAGCCGTGTGCGCACTGGTCGCACCGACTGCCCTCGACGTGTTTCTGCAAGACGAGAAGATTAATAGAGCAGCATTAGATAGTCACATGTGACGCGATGATGTTGACGAAATTGAGAGTCACAACACACGGGCGTGTCGGCTTAGCGTTTTCCACCTACTGCGAAATGGAATGAGAAACGTAAGTTTGCTCAGTACTCACAAGAAGCATCTTCACACGGTCGATGTGTCATTATAAAACATATAGGTATATAAAATATACAAAAATGACGAGGTGCAGCACGAGGCAATGTGATCTTGCACATAAGAAACTAGACATACCTTGCATTGGCAAGGGCCATCGCACTGGTCTGGGTTCACGGTGCCCGCGTAATGGCATGGGCACGGCTCGCAGCGGGGGTAGTTTCGATAGCCACGCTTGCATTGGTCACACTTGGGCCCCGTGAAACCCTCACGGCAGATACAGTCTCCAGGATGCTGAAACAAACGCAACACATTGGCTAGATTTTCAGAAAAGACAAGCAGTTGATCAAACGATACATCTGGAGCGACTGAGAGTAGTAAAAAAAAGAAAATTTGAGCCTGAAGCCTCTATAAGGCTCAACTAAACTAAAAACAAGCACTTCTGGACTGGAGCTTTCCTGGTTTGCCCCCCGTTTGACCACTACAGTAAAAGCTCTCTAAATAAGTGCTCATTATTTGAAAAATCACATATTTTGAAGTCATCGCTAGTCCGGCCAGGACATACATTGATGAGTGACAACGAGCACTCGTTAGTTCGGTCATATTTGAATGCCACCTGTGTAATTCGGGTGACCCTCAACGCACGAAGTGCCGCAAAGCTGTGAAAACAGCACCTGCGAACAGAGGAAACGGCCGCCTTTCAGAAGGATGTGATCCCCATCCACAAACACATTGATACATAATAAGCATGTTTCGACTACTTAAGTAACGTCGAGATTATGAACAAAGTCTCAAAAGACCAATATGGCCAATTTTGCATGCAAAATAATTGCTTTATTTAGTATCTTTTGAGAAAATGAAAGTTAATTGATGAAACAGTCATTTCTTAATTGCTTTTCTGTTGCTTTCGACAATTCGGCATTCGGTTAATTCTGACACTTTTTCTGGTCCCGTGAAATCTGTATTATCGAGCTGTTACTGTATTATTGCGAGCTCCATTTCAAGCCAGCGTTGGAGATAGATAGACAGCTTGAAGACCAAGTAGTGAAGTGTTTCTTGAACTACTTGAAGACGTTGCTATGTCCTGATGCTAGCTTGCATCAATCAGAAAAGGCTAAAAAAAGTGCGTATACTATACCATCTGTATTTTGACACCCTGCCATGTTATGAAACACACAATATGGCTCCAACTGAGCCCACAAAAAAATGTGACGATTTTTTCCTGTGAGGATACAGCCTCCCAATTAACTCTCCAAACCTTCTTCTGATCAGCTACCATCTTACTGAACCAAAAAACAGCCTGCATCAATCTTTCCTTTTTAGTTTTCAGTTTTGTGGTACCTTCATGAAACTGTATGTTTTCTCCAGCCTCATTGAGTGTTAGAACAAGACTTAAATGACTGCTGTTCATATAGCTGCCTATTTAGCCATCTAGCTTTGAAATACCTGGCATGTTTTGTCACTTCTTTCATCAAGGAAGTTGTCATAACCTCAAATCCTTTTAAAGAGACCCTAGAACGGTTTTGATGTTGTTGTACAAACCCATTGAGATGGCAGACGAAGTCGTAAGGGTCATTTACATACTGATATAAGCTGTCTACATAAGCTGTATAATTTATTACAACATTTAAATGCTGCAAATCACTGCAGATAACCACGACTACGCTGAACACATTTGAACCGCCCATTCACAGTACGACATCCTTTGGTAGCAGGACATCACCCATGCTACTAATCTGATTGGTTGTCAAATGCATGGAAGCGAGACTGACTTGTAGAGTGGCGGCACCTGTTGGAGCAGATATCAAGTACTTCGCGAATTTCGTCTCTGTGGCCAGACAGCGTGTGTGCTGCTGGGGTCGGTGGACTATACTCTCCGAAATCGCGCACAGCTTGTCCGCATGCAATCTCTGGGACGCCGTGACTGGGCGAAGCTCGAACCGGCGAGTGTGCTCACAAAAGTGCCATCACCAGGGATGCCAGCGTGTCTCATGAGCTGAGGAGGCAAGGCATGGTTGAGAAGGAGGGTATAAATATAATAGCCATAGCAACCTTCTTACACGGCGGGCCGCCAAGTTTGTGGTGTGAATGATTTGAAGATGCTCCGATGAAACTGACAAAACTTAGAAAAACAGTTTCAGGGTTCCTTAAAGGTGAGCAACTCTTCATGGTCCCTTCAGTTGTGTTATAAAAGAAGTCTACTGAATACTGACAGGTGGCAACTCATAAAGGAGTAAAGACAATGAGGATATATGTGCAGCACGCCAAGCAGCAACGAGCCAGCATTTGATGTGAACCGACCAGTCCCTCCTGAACATGCGAGTCATCCCCGATGCAACTTCCGGTGGTGCCAGGCCCGGAGCAGGAGCACTTGCGGCACGGACTGCGGTGGTTCCTCGGCACACCACGAGGGCGGAAGTAACCGTCTTCGCAGCGTTCACAATTGATTCCAGCAGTGTTGTGCTGTTGAGAAAAAATGAAATACACTCAAACCTCGATATACCAAACACGGATATAACAAAACATCGGTTATAACGAAATACATGAAGCATAGTGTTGCAATGGGTATAGTGTTAGGAATATGCCTTTATAACGAATTTTCTGGATATATCAAACTTATCTTTGTGTAAGATACAACTTTGTTATAATGAGGTTTGGGCGTAAAACAGTAAGTTTTCGATCTCTCTCAATGAAATACCTACAGTTTTTTTTTATTCTGCTGAAATGCAGAGATCTGTGTAACTAAATTTCTAGAAGCGTAACAATTTCTAACCAAATTCAGCTCTCAATAACATTTCCTATGCCCTATTGCGTATAACCTTGAAGTAGTGAGTAATACAGAACACAGCTTGGCTTTACTTCCCCGTATGAAATACTCTCAAACCTCAATATAACGAACCCAGATATAACAAATTATCGGTTACAACATTGAACTGAAGAATAGCTCTGTCACAAATACAGAGCTACAAATATGTTTATAACGAACTTTCGGATATAACAAATTGCTTTCGTGGTAGGTGTGACTGTTATAATGAGATTTGAAAGTGCTGGGAAATAGCTCGTATCTGCTTAATCAAGAAAAATCATCTTCTAGACTAAAATATGAGTACAAAAATATATATACATAGAGCAGATAGTTAGAATGTTAATAACTGCAGCTATGCAACAAATAAAAAAGCGGCATCTATTTTGTCACCCTTTTTAAAAGCAAAGAGGGTAAAGCATGCAGGTGTAAATCATGCAAGGGTTAGTTCTCATTAATAAGGTGCATGTACCAGTACCGCTACATAACAAACCATAACACTATGACTGTAATGGTACATGATAAACACATACGACTTTCAGGCATTTTAAGCCTTGTAACTATGTCACATAGTTGCCCAGTTACTGCTTATGATTACTTGAAGTACAATAAAAAAATGATTATATTTCATTCATGCACGTCATGACAGATCTGAACAAGAGATTTTCACGACACAAAAGTGAGCTAATGTTCTACGATTACAAGCAGTAGTTCACCAACATTAGTCTATGACCACTCTGAGGCTACATATCAAATTACCGCCCAGACAAAAAAGATTGCATTTCCGGCTTGATTATGAAACCTTTCCAACTGGGAAGATCCCCCGTTCGAGATTCAGCTACATGGCACAACTGAAACTGATATAACGAAATGTTGCTTAAACCAAAGTAAATTGGGAATAGTCTTGCAACCGATATAGTGTTGGAATACACTGGTTATAACAAATTTTTAGATATAACGAACTTACTTTCATGTATGATTCAACTTTGACATAATGAGGTTTGAATGTATAATTCAGCTAAAAATGGATGAATATCCAACTGGAACTTTAGCTTTGTCAAGTGGAGCAGACGTGTATCACTTCTAGAGTTCACGGACTCTGTCGACAAGGAAACATACACCGATTAATTCTTTGCTGTACCTAAGCTATCTTTAATGCTTATAACACCATAATTGTTGAACTGAAATTAACAACAGCTCATATGCATTCATACTACAAAACACATCATTGGTGCCGGGCTGGGAAAACCGGCCCATGCCACCCTCAAAATTATATTGTCAATTCCAATGTTGACACGTGTCAAATGAGAATGAAGCTTAACTAGGCAATAAGATGTGTCTGATCCACGTGAAATTACATCTCACATGAGTGTCCCTCCAATGTTCTTTACCAATTTATATAAACAATATGAAACTATAAATGCACGCCATGCTTATTTATTCAAATTGGGCGTTGTATGCTGCCAATGTTCTTTGAAACCAATATTAAGCGGCGAGCACTGTATACATAACACAGCCAGCTATATCAAGAATCAAGAATGTTTATCTCCGACAGTTGATGGAGGACACCCCAGGCGAAAAGCGGCAAAAAATGCAGCTTGAAAAGTACTGGGTGCCCGTAGAAAAGGCAGCGTTGACATATGTTTTTGCCAACATAACGAACAGATTAAAAACACAAATACTGGAAAACGTAAAACATACATTTTAAAGATGTTAAGAGGAATGTAATTCATGTAAATGTAATGTAAAAACAAAAAGATAATGATGTATAGTATATTAAAACATGTTTGCTTACGACATTTTTATATTACTATGCAAGTTTAAAACACAAGAATTTAAAAAGAGTTTTTACACATACAGTGAATGCAATGTGCAGTGGTAAAAGCTGATAGTTTTGTTTAATGAAGTTCAGACATAAATCGAACATTCGACTTTTTTTTACCAATGTGACTAAAATCAATACCCTGTTTTTGATATTTGTTCAAGAGATTCGGTACATTGAAAACCAGCGATTGTCTTTTGTAGCAAGTTGTGCGCCAACACGGTACCAGCTATTTCTCGTGGCTTCTGGTCCTAGGATTGCAAATTTGTTTTTTGTTTTTTAACTTCAGAGACTTTTAGTAGCTTTTAGTGGTGTCATTTGAGAAGACGAACGAGTATAATAGGCGGTACTGAGAAACCAAAGTAGCGTTTATTATTTGATAGCAAAAAAAAAATTGTCGAGTGGAATGAGTATAGAAAACGTTAGAGACACTTCGCCTATATCATCCTGCACCTATTTTGCAAATGTGCTACCACCACAATAAGACAAAAATCAAAGGCTACACAGCTGGCTTAACTGGGCCGACCATAATCTTTTAAACCTGGGCCTGGAATGGTCTACGTTTCAAAACACTGAGCAGAGCTCAGGCAGGCCGAAGTATGGCCCTTCCAGGATCAGGCCAGCACTCTGGATCAGGAAAATTGGCCACCACAGTGCTGAATGTCATATACACTTTTAAAATATTGGTAATACAAATTAAAACAATATGTAAATCTTAAAAAAAAACCTAGTGCCCACCGAGCAGTTTTGGCAGACTCCGCCACCGTCGTACTCTCCGAACTTGTTTAGACTGGTGCCGCTTCTCGCCACTTCAGCATCGTAGACGCAAGATTGCGCATGTCCAAAGCACTCGCACTCTGGAAGGCAACAATAACAACACAGCTTTCGCCACTTCAATACAACCACATTGTGAGGGTACCCTACTGAACCAAATGAGTTTTACTTACTTAGGTATGATAACCACAGGGTCAACAGAAGTTACTGATATGAGAGGTAAAACATTCAGAACAATATAATAAGTACTAAGATGCAATACAATGCCATAATAATTAATGATAGGCACAGTATAGCACGAATTTACAGCATCTCTATGCATCAACATAGTGCAAAGCATAATTTGCAAAGTTTTCAAACTTCGCCGTTGATGAAACACCGTTGTAACCATCATCAGTCTACCGTCCGTTTACCGCAGGATGGAAGCTTCTCCCACTCGTCTGCAACCAGCCCTATATTGCATGAGTAAATTTCATGTTATGCCTGAGAATGTACCGGTTTCACAGCTCCACCAAACACTTTGCCCTTCTTGTCAAATGCTGTTATCCAAACGCCCATCATACTTTCTTCCACTGTACACTGTGGGAATAAAACTGAGTTTTTTTGTCACTAAGAACCTGCCCTGTATGTTAGAAATGCTAAAACACAGTGACTGGAGACTTTCTGCTTCAGTGAAAGTTGTAAAATGTCAAGTCACAGCATGTGAATGACCGAGACTAATGGTGCATAGCTGCACAGAAAAAAAAAACAATGTGTTGGAATCTCTTATATGCACTATGACTAAAGAAAGTGCGTAATCCACTGGGTACTCTAAGACTTTTTTTTCTACTACGAAAAGCTGTTTTTGAGTCGACTTGTTCCCAAATTTCTCAGAAAGAAAGCAAGAGCCGGTGCTGTACCTTCACACTCTGCCGCGTCGCCAGCCGTGCCCATCCTCCACGGTTGCTGGTTGAACAGGGGGCAACAGCGCTCGCAGCTAGCGCCACACGTGTTGTGCTCACAGCGACACTGCAGCTGCATCATTAAACAACGACACCTTGGGTAGGGTTCATGCTATGCGCATGCCTCTCACATTTCAGGCACATTTAAAATGAGAAACCTGTGGTGGCTGTAGAGCTAATGTTTGATCTTGATGATTTGATCAGAACTTCAGCATCACTAATGCGCTACCACTAATAAATGGACAATGGCGTACCAACTCTTTTATGAGTGGGGGGCACAAACCTACCTGACTCGTGAGCCGGGATGTATATCTATGTGTATAAGAACCCATTAGAAAAATCGCCACAGTGGCAATGTTGGCGAAATTGCACTATGCTATGACATGACCTCGTAACAATTTCATTTTCCCGTAAGAACGTAATCGAGTCATTACTGTTGTGATGAACAACTACGCCTTACTTCTTGGTTTCCCCAGCGTGCAGCCAAGAGTGACTACTGTCAATAGGGAGGGGCTCGTGCCCCTCTTGCCCCCCCAGCTGATACGCCTGTGTAAATGAATGTATTGCATGTATTGACAGTGTTTACCCACAACTGAGCATGGACTTGCATATACACTGAAACCTCGATATATCGAACCCAGATATAACGAAATACTGGTTATAATGAAGTAAATAAAAAATAGCCTTGCAATAGGTATATGTTAGGATTATACCTTTATAACAAATTTTTTCATAAAACAAACTTATTTTTGTGTATGATGCAACTTTGTTATAATGAGGTTTGAATGTAAACATATTTGTAATTTTATCTACATCTGATTGCATCTGCTTACAAAACGTGAAAGCCCATCACCCATTTTTGTGCAATGCACAAACACAACACATTCATTGCGAGAAGGTGACTTCTATGAAGCAAGTTATGCATCACTCTTTCTATTAGCATGGCAATCTTTGCACGTTTTATTGAATAAGACGTTCTTGACTAGTCTAAACTGCTTTCTGGACAGAAACTGATTACATCACTCACATTAATTCAAATACCTCACCTCTCCGCCAGATCCTTTGGATGGACACTCCTTTGCGTGTCCAGAGCAGACACACTGTCCTCCAATTGATATGTCCTTTGATGGAGTAGAAGTACTAGAAAAGACGGAAATGAAGTTTAAAAATTACAGAAAATTTGCACAACAGAAATTGTAGAGTGCAACTCATTCCTTGAAGTGAGGCAGAAGCGCAGTGGTAAATGTGTACTATTTTATTGGATTGTTATAACAGCACACAGTGAAAATTAACCAGTTGTTAGCCAACAATGACTTAGTGGTGATATAAGATAATTGCATTAAACCTCACACATATTGTACATGTTCCCAGTCAAGATTAATTAGTTATTGTACATATCAACTTCACTATTGTTTTAAATGATGGCCATTTTGTCCTGCTAAATAAGCATCAGTAAAAATTCCAACCATGTTCCTACCCGTCTGGCGATAGATTTGTCCAGCTTGTCAGAGTCACCGCTAGTTTGGAAGCTCATGAGGTCAGCATTCAGAGTGCGAATGCGTTGAAGTCGAAGTCGAACGTAGCGGGCTTTGGTGAAGTCCTGCAATGGCACGAAGTCTTGCAGTGAGTTTTCAGACCGTGAATCCTAAAAACAGCTTTCGAGCACTTCAAGTAATGAAACTAGCTCAGATAAAATGCCTCATTTATGAAACTGTGGTGTGCGTAAGGGTGAGCGTGTGTGAACATGCTTTAACTGAAGAACGATTGTTCATGATACATTGATTTGATTAATTCAATATATAGGCACTGCTTTCACAACTCTATACTGAGGCAGGCCCACAAAACACAAAAATAACCATTGTCGAGATCGAAATTTAGTGTTTACTTACACAAGGTTCATTCTGGCAGCATACTACAATGTCTGGAACAAATTCAGTTAGCGATTTGAGAACCTTGAGGCTTCCAACACAAGCCGGCTTCATCCTCACGTGCCTTCTCCTATGCTACTCCCCCCCCAACCCCCAGACCACCTAGTAGGAGAAGTTGCCCCTCCTCCCCGTAAGTGATCCCCCAGTGAAGGGTATCGTTTTATTGTTTACATATGTCACTACAGTCTTTTGGTGCACAGACTGACTTACACATGACACTGTCAAGTAACAACATACTTACATGTCACTCGGTGTTTCAGAAAGACGTGGTACGTACTAAATTCATAAATTCATGATCAACATTTTAGTTGACTAGTAGAAATAAGTGCTAAATGAGGAAGTGACCCTCTCCTCCACTAGTAACTCAACTAGCACGTTCTAAGCTGCATTATTTATACTAAGAGCAGGCTTCACTCAAAAGAATCTAGATAAACACAGCTAGTCTAAAGATATACCTGAGCATATAAAAACATCAAAAATGGAAAAGATGTTTCCTTACCATCAATTTCTCACTAAACTCCTCAGCACCTGGCCTTCCAGTGATAAGTGAAGTGTGAATCTGAAAACAAAATAAAGGAATATAAGCAGTATGTAAAGCTTGCAGATATATGTCATTTAGGATGCAAAGCACCAGCATGGTGGTTTCTGACTCAAACCAAATATAGTCCTCGACAACAGTTCCTAACATTGAAATGAAGACAAAGCACACCTAAACAAAGTAAGGCAAGTTTGAATTTAAAACTTGAAGTTCTCAGCAGTATTCAGAACAAGAAAACCAAGTACGGAAACCCTGCACCAAAACCATTTCGCCTGGAACACAGGTGTGGACTGAAAGCCCTAAAAGCCCTAAAGGACTTTTCAATGTACAAGACACCACACATAGACAAACTTGATGCGGTTTCATTTTGACATGCTCATACAGGGCCCGCCAGCTGGACGTTCCGCTTGTGTCTTGTGCTGCAATGGTTCGTGCAATGCATCCCCTGCTGATTATAGCCAACATACAGCACACTGTCAGCATTCAGAATTACACTTAGACATTGTAAATCATGAATGATGGAGACTTGGAGTATGTTAGTTGGTTTATGGTAAAAGTTCCAAGTTACTTCACCAACGAAGAAAACCTAATTTTTATGCTTGATTTTGAGAACAAAATTCAGCTACCATTGCTAGAACCATACAGGTTCTAGAATATCTCAGAAGTGAGACCTCAAACTTTCAAAACAAGTGCAAAACAATGGAATTCAAGTGCAGAGTGCAAGAAATACATACCTCTCCATCTTCAAGCGGAGTGATGGAGGAGTAGTAGGATGTGCAGATCACTTCGTCGTCAGTCTTGTAAACAGGCTGTCCCGGAGTTGGCGCTATGCCGTACGCCTCCCAGCATTCGCCATCTGACACAGCGTAGTACTGCCAGGGTCGGTAGAACACTCCATCGATGGAGCGTTCCAGAATCCAGTTTCCGGGCCGTGGTGAAATGGCGGACTTGACGATCACGTAGGTAACTTGGAAAACCTGCGGAATTAGAGTCAAATTCGTTGCAGGGCTGTTTGGTTCATAACTCTGAATAATTGATGGCACGGGTCCACCAAGAGACAGACGGAACACTGGTGCCGAGGGCAAGCGAAAATTAGTTGCGAGAAAAACTTGTCCTCTGCGTCAGTGTTATTTTTGTGTTATGTGCCATCCAGCATTTAAAAGGCGAGCCTTCTTTGCCGATCAATGTGATGTAGGCCATCTTGAACAGCTGCCAAAAATTAAATGAGCAAAATCTCCGTGACAGCCGAAGCAATACCACTGAGTAAGTACAGCTTTCACAAACTCTAGTATCAAGTCATGAAAATCACAGAAGAAAATAACGTTTCTATATGCAAGTTTTTTTATGCACTGTGTTCACGGCAGTTTCACAAAACACTCTCTCGGGTGCAATATGAACATGAGGGATTACGAAAGACAAAAAGTGAAATTCAATACAAAAAGCACGTAAACATCCTGAAAGCTTCTAATATGCACAAGCCACCCAAGCTTCTTTTACAAATCTGAAAAAATGTCTTGGCCATTTGTAATAACCATAAGTTGTAATAACCACGAGATGTCATTACCCTTAATGGCCATTCAAATGCACATATATGACAATCTAGCATTTAAGAACATCTAGCGACGTATGAACACACCTGCACAACTAAATAATGACGAATAATTGCATGCATAGTACTGAGAATAGAGCTGCACATCAGTAGAATTAATCGTAGCAGTGCGCTTGGATTTACAGTTAGCTTTGCACCAAAAGCTGCTTGAGGGGAAAAAAGTTTGAGGTTTCCAGTAACTACTTAATTTTTATGTAAGCAGCTTGCAGGACTTTGCATTACGTATTGAGCATAGAGCTTATATGACCAGGCATTTCAGTTGCACTTGAAGTTGTTCAAGCTTCACACATAACTTGCACCCACAAAACTGTGGCATGCAGTTTTACAATAAGCCAGGAGATAGACAACTGGGGTTTCAGATTTTCAAAAATGCCATAGTGATAAAAATTCAAGTCGATGGGTTCTATGCGACTGGTCAATAACATCGCATAAACAAGGAACAAACATAAAAGAAGGTGATGTTTGTGCAGTCATGACAACAAGGATGTGAATCCCCTGTTCTTCAACTGTCCCAAGCGACGCATAGAAAGCAACTCGAACAAAAACTCCACTAGCTGTACTCCAAGCAAACATTCCAATTAGCAAAGGTACTAGTCCCAGGGCCATCAGCGATATGTCATCAAAAAGCAATAAGTGTTTCAAAAACATTTTTAAGACACCGGTTGTGAAGACTATTCAGAGAACTATACATCGAAAATGCGCAGGGTGCTTGTCAGTGTGCTTTGAACTCTCGAAATGAACTAACCAAACGCCAAACTGTATATATATTCTTTTTCTTTCTTATACTTTTTCCAGACTGATGAAATCTCAGTGAACAGCGGAGCTGGAAAGCAAGCGCCACCACCTGGCATACGCAGATTGAGTTTTACAGCGAAACCTCTTATCTGTTTTCCATGTAAGACACCGACCGTGCTCAGAGCTTGAATATTTCTGCTGCTAAAACCTGAACATCTGTTCTGTCTTCGTCATTTGTAAAGCTCTGCCAACCGACTTTCAGAAAAGTGGGGTCACAGATGCACCTGCTTGAGGTCGAGGGTAATGGTGACCCACTGGTACTTGCGCCCGTGCTGTAGGGAAGGGCTCTGCCACCAGCGATTGCTGCCGTCGATGGCGTGCTGGATAGGATGCCTCCTGTCTGCATAGCGGCTCGTGGCATCGCACTCTCCACACTGCGGTTCTCTGAAACAACGTTCGTGTTTCTCATACATTGATTTGGTCAAAATATATATGAATTACATAAGAAGACAAAACCGCACGTGAAGCCACGTCCAACTTAATATGTGTGGATTAAAGAAGCACTGACACATATTTTCACAGTTTGTCACTCTATATAGAAACATGGGAGTCGGGAACCCTAATAATTGTGTTGTAGCACTTGAGAATGCATAGAATATATTTTTAATACCGCTATTTCAAAACAGCAATATTGGTTTCGGTACCGAGGGTATGGATCGGCAGTGACGTGTAAACACAAGTATGATTACTACGGCAGACTGCAACTCACAAAACACTCGCAACAGCTGTCAGTTTGCTGTCACACGGATGTAGTTCACATAAACAAGAAGTGACTTGTCGCCCAGAAACTCCGAGAGCGATTTCTGTAGTTTCGACTACATGCAGGACACAGATTTTGCAAGCCCAGTGAACTGCGTTGTCATGTTATGATAATGTCAACTGCCAGGGGGGGGGGGCCTGGCTTGCAGATGCTGGTCGATGGAAACGTTAAAATCAGGGTAAAATATTGCTGCATGCATGTATATTGATATTCTAGAAGGCGATGCGCGTGTGTGCCTGACGAGGAAAACGAAAGGTTGTCTCCGCTCCATCGCTGGTGAATCGGTCACGCCATTACCGCTGGTTTTGAATATGTCTAATCCCCAGTCTCGTCGATACAGCGTCTCTTCTTTTCCGTAACATATTTGATGGAGGTGCTGGGTAGAGGTGCTGGGTTGAGGTGCTGGGTATATTTTATAACTGTTGTCAAGCCCCAATGCCTGGAAAGCATTGATAATGCGCACCATGGAGATGATAGATGCCCCTTTTGAGACATGCCTCAAAATCATGTCAGTACCCCTGTAGTTCCCTAATTCACACTGAATTCACGCCGGGCACATGCCCGATGTGCCACCTCCTCCCTGTCTTTCCGCTTAATCTTTCCTCCTCCTGGCTACACTTCCCTCAGATAAGGTCCCCTAATTAGCATAACCACTGTAGCAGAACCTCTTGATAGACAATGGGTAAGAAAACCAATAAACTAAAACAGAAGCAACTGCAATACACAACGTATATTTGTGACTGCACAGTTATGCCACATAAGCGACGTTCAGAACATAGCGAATAAGGGGTACAATGAATTAACTGGTTCAGTTTATACAATTATGTGATATTTGTTTTGTCACTGTATGATTATCTATCTGGAAGGTCATTAGGAATCACAGACTGGATTTCAAGAGAAGGCAAGCAAGTGAAAGGGAAACGAAAAGTTAGGTGGGCAGATGACATTAGGAAGTTTACGGGTATAAAGTGGCAGCAGCAAGCACAGGACCGAGTTAACTGGCGGGACATGAGAGAGGCCTTTTTTGTCTTGCAGTGAACGTAGTCAGGCTACTGCTGTTGATGATGTAGGATTATGCCCACCGGGAAGCACTTTACCAGAGCACATCCCCACTCAAGAGCCATAAAACAGTCTGAATTTCTCAAACATTTTTTTGTTGCCTCTTAATATTTTTTTTAAGAACGAAACTATTCAATCTAACTTTGTCATGCATCACGTGTAACTGAGAGAAGAAGAGACGAGAAAGAAAGAAGGCAGTATCTCCTGAACAGTATAATAGAGGCACTGTCTCATAGAAGTACATACAAACTGCACCTGAGTGAGGAGGGCGCTGTGCCGCTACTCTGCGATTGGCTGCTGCGCGCGCTTTGCCTGAGTGCATGAGGAACGAGCTCCTCTCTCAGTCTCTGGACCATTGCCATATGTGGCGGATCGTGGGTAGGGCATGGAACAAAGAAGAGTGGCAGGTGTGTTGAAGACACTTGCGCTCGACTTCTTTGGCTCGCGTCTCATCAGCGTTACCCATGCGCCGTCTGCATTCTCGAATGCGATCGGACGCATGGATGCATGCACGGACGGACGGACGCTTCCCCCCACCCATCATCACTCACTCCGTGGATATGCTGTGATTTCTTTAAGCCTCTTTTCTCCTGTTTTTCTCTCTCCCCTTCTTTTCACCAAGGAAAGTAGCACGTCAGTGATCGAAATAAATGAGTGAATAAATTTTTAACAGAGAAATTATTTTTCGTAAAAGCAATGATGGGGTTCGGGATGGAGGGGATAAAAGTGAAAAAAATTTACAAGCAAAGTATAAAGGCTAATTAAAACGGGAACACGAAAACGATATGCAAGATAAAGACTAGCATATAGCAATGAAAACATCAGCATCCTTAACAAGTATGAAAAAATTATTTATTAGATGAAGTATTTGTAAATATGAAACAACCAAGCATATTCATTTCAAGTAGAAGCAATTTATCACCTCTCAAGAAATTCACTACAAAAATAACTAGGAACTCAGATAGTCCAGCTAAGCATTGTAGAACAGGATGTGGGGAAAAAAGAAAAAAGAACATAATGGGGGGAGAAGGAATGTATCGTACCTGTTGTAAGTGTGTTCAACAAGCTTGCAGTAGTTGTCAGGTCCTGTTTCCCCACATGTTGCATTTACAGTGATGCCCGCATTGCTGGCCAAATTGAACTCAGATGGGTACAAGCCTTTCTCTGCACAAAAATGAGAAAAGACATTTTTAACAAATGCATTAGACAGACACGCATCACAAGTGAATGAACAACAACTTTAAACACAATGCCAATTTTCCTCCACATTCCGAAGCTTACTGTGGCAGATAATCAGGTTGTAAATTTCCGCACTAGGAAATGTATATTGTCGTCTAAATGAGCATTTCTAATTGCACGATGCTTAACATAATGCGCAAATTGTTAGTATCACTCACCTTCATTGTTTAAGTACGCAGTATAATATTGGTAGCAAAATTTTTAAAAATTCCCTGTGGCAAGTGCCACCCGGCCACGGCACTTATGACAGTTTGGTTTTAAGTGCTGAAAGTACACTTGTAATTCTGAACTGTTATAAATGTGTGCACAAGCAGTTTATCACCAAGTGGTCATTTGGAGAGAAACACCGAAAGGCCTGCGCGTTCACGAGACGACGCCTTCACCGACAGAAATTATGGGTAACTATAATTGCACAGCTTGTTGTGAGTGAAGCTTATCTTAATATTTTGTGAATCCAGGATGTAGCCTTCCCTCAATATCGGAGGGGCAAGCCCTCCACTATCATGAAGAGCAAACCGAGTACAATTTTACCGATTTAGATCGCCTGACGATAAATGCGAGCACTTGCACATTAACGCAATAACGTGGAAGAGCTCGTTTCGCAGAAATTTCGGCGTCGGCGGTTGTGAGCGAAAAAATCACCTTATGCGCGACCGAAAAATCGAGAATAATGCAAATAAAATAAGCAATGAGAAATTCCGGATCTGATAGGCGATCGAACCCGGCTCATTTACGTGGCAATTAAGCACGTGGTCTACCACACAGCGACGTGTCTGCTTGTGAATGCAGAACTTCCTATGCTTGGAAATGCAGTGAGGCAGCTTTCCGGCTTTACGAACACACGCGTCCTGTATACATGCTTCACAACACAACATAAAATAATGCAGTAATAATGCGTGGCACTATAGCTTTAATTGCCATCGTGCGTCAGCACCTTTGATTAGTACAATGACTTTGTGGTTTAAAGCCGGTCACCCAGTACAAAAAGGCACACATGTTACTAGTTCGAAATGATGGGGTCAGGATATGACTGTCGCCGCATTCAACTCTTATAAGGCGAAGCTTAAAAATCCCCCAATACTTTTATAAGAACCATCTTTACCACAGCATATTGACTGCACGCCAATAACCATGCAGCAGTAACAAACAAAAATGAAGCTGCTAGATGTCACAAGCCAAGGAGGGAATTCAAAACTATACAAATTTGCAAAAGTTTTTTTTCCATCACGTTTTAGTCTTGACATTGTACGCGTAACGGCATCATCGTTACCAAATCTAACAAAACTGAAAGACGGTAGTCGAAGAAAAAAAATAGTGAGGAACAAGTACATCGCTACAAAAGCAGCGTTAGACGGTCTCTATAACGGGAACCGGCGGGCGCGCAGCACTGCACAAATCCCGCACTGGCCGCCGTGCAGACCAAACCCAGAGGCGCCGATCGTAGACAAAGCACCGAAGCGTCGCGGTCTCCCAAGTTTACGTTCGCATCGTTCTCTTTACATGCAGCGCGCCAAGCGGTGCAGCAGATCGCAAGCACTCTCCTTTCCCTCTCGGTCCGTAGCGAGCGCGGGAACACTTTTTACGAGCTGCCATGATGCGGCGGCCACTCGGCAAGGAAAAATAAACCTCAAAATAATGATAACGGCAGCGGAGCACGCGAAGAAGCGGTCTCGGGTGTCGCGGTGGATGGCACGATGCGTTGTTTTCGTCTCGCATGAATATGCTGCTTTGACTACGCGCGCACGCATGCGTCAGCGTCGTGCGCGTGGCTCGATTGCTACACGGTCGATCAACCCCGCTCGCCGGCTCTGCTGGCCGCCGACAGGCGGCGCCGCCAGCGGAGGATGGCCTCAGTGCCGTAAACATGGATAAACATTCCGCGCCGTGCAAATTATTCAAGCATCGCCCAACCGACGCTTGCGAAACAAGAATAGGCGGTGGAGCGGTGAATGTAAGATGTGTGCGTCCGGGCAGAGGGGGGTAAGACAGACAGATTGATTTATTGATTTGTGGGGTTTAACGTCCCAAAACCACTATTTGATTATGAGAGACGCCGTAGTGGAGGGCTCCGGAAATTTTGACCACCTGGGGTTCTTTAACGTGCACCGAAATCTGAGTACACGGGCCTACGACATTTCCGCCTCCATCGGAAATGCAGCCGCCAAAGCCGGGATTTGATCCCGCGACCTGCGGGTCAGCAGCCGAGTACCTTAGCCACTAGACCACCGTGGCGGGGCAAGACAGACAGACAGGCAGACAAACAATAAGATAGATAGATAGATAGATAGATAGATAGATAGATAGATAGATAGATAGATAGATAGATAGATAGATAGATAGATAGATAGATAGATAGATAGATAGATAGATAGATAGATAGATAGATAGATAGATAGATAGATAGATAGATAGATAGATAGATAGATAGATAGATAGATAGATAGATAGATAGATAGATAGATAGATAGATAGATAGATAGATAGATAGATACTAAGCTGGAATATGGCTAAATTTCATCTGGAAAGTGAGAATGTTCCAGTTGGATATTCGGTGATATTACAGTGACCGATTTTCTAGTTCACTGTTACTGCGAGACCGAAAGTATTTCCTGCTTAAAAGCTTTCCCGGCTAAATTTCTCTTCTTTTCTTTTTTTCGTCAGAAGACAGATACGACGAATGAAGCGGCATGCAACGACGTTGTGAGCCACATCGTCTGTGGCCTGCTGCACGGCGTGCTTCATCTGGAAACGCTTCCTACTAACGGGCACTGCATCGAGGGACGTACGTTTGGCGAACTCCGACCGAAAAGGGTGCTACGGCTTTTGTGATTGGGTGATCGAGATGCCACCACTGCATCATTTGACAGCATATATGGAACGTGGAATATGCGCAATTACCCACAACCACCCTTCCCCTCCCAATTTCGAAAACACGCACAATCAGAACACTTGCATGGTTCATAAATGGAGGCTCACTTTTATAGGCGTGCGCACAAACAGGACGCGGGAGGGAGGGGGGGGGGGGGGGGCTACTTTTGTTAGCGGGCTTGGGGTGCACGCAGTCCGTCTCATACGTTTACTCAATTATGGCCACGCCGGTTTTTGGCGGTCCTAGCAACCGCAGGCCGAAATGTTGCGTTCCAAGAACTGTGTAGGTCTCATCTTTGCTGCAAGAAAGCCAGGGACCAAAGACATGCCATGGGGAGATGTACGTCAACTTAGCTGTTAATTTTCATTTTTGTAGACACTGGCCGAGGTTGAGCAGGTTTGCATGACTTGCACAGTGAGCAGCATACGCGGAACTAGAGTTTCTCTTCTACATATTCATATATATATAAGGAAAGAACTGTATACCTAAGGGCTCGTTTTTTCGTGTTTTTACACAATATTAATGATATCTAACAGACAATAATGCCAAGGAAAGTATAGGGGAGATATTAGACCGAATTCTAATGTAGATATGAAGAAAAGTTACTGAAAAGAAAACTTGCCGTGGGCAGGATATATATATATATATATATATATATATATATATATATATATATATATATATATATATATATATATATATATATATATATATATATATATATATATAAGAGAAATATGTGTATACTTAAGGCCTCGTTTTAAGTGTTTTCGACACAATATCAATGAGACCTAACAGACAATAATGTCAAGGAATGCAAGGAATGTATAGGGAAAGTTATTAGACCCAATTGCATTGTACATGTGAAGAAAGAAAAGTGGTTGAGAAGATAACTTGCCGTGAGCAGAAACCAAACATGCGACCTTCGAATAACGCGTTCGATGCTTCTACCACTGAGCTATAGCACGGCGGATATTCCCCCAGCCACGTTATTAGGTTTATATGTGAATTTAAACCCTGCCTTCCTTTTTTTTCGTCTCTCTCTCTCTCTTAAACGCGGGAGTGTCAGTCGGCGCCACCTGTAGTGATGGCGGCGCGTGTGGCACACTCTTTATGAGCCTGTTTGGCGACACGCAGCACGTGAACTTATCACGAGCTGGTGGCTGACCAATAGTTCCTCATATACAACCTAACGGCACAAAGTCTGTCAGTACGAGACCCTCGCTAATGAATAAGCGAAAGAAGTGTATACTTAAGAGATCGTTTTACGTGTTTTTGACACAATATTAATGATATGTCACAGACAATAATGCCGAGGAATGTGTAGGGGAAGTTATTAGACCCAATTGTTATATATATATATATACATATATATATATATATATATATATATATATATATATATATATATATATATATAGAGAGAGAGAGAGAGAGAGAGAGAGAGAGAGAGAGAGAGAGAGGACTTATCGAAAACATTAGGGAGATAATCAATAAATGTCTGTTACATGAAGAAACTCGTTTTCTTGATGCGTACGCGTACATACCTAACTTATTTTGCACAATAGCCATGCGAATGCCGCAATTTTGATCCATCTTGTGACTTCGTTCTGATTGCAACCGCGGTGCCGGACCCCTCGGGGCTGCATCATGTAGAGTTACTAGCATGTGGAACAGAGCACCCCCTGGCGCTGGCCCGGCAAATTTTTTAAAAGCTTCAGGGCTCGCTGGGCAGTCGCATGGTTTAACTTCATTGTTTTCGGTTTTCTCCGACTCCAATTCGGAGCAGGTTCGGATCATAGTTATTCACAAATATTGCACTTTGGAGCAGATTTTTTTTTTAGGAACTTGAAGCAATTGGAGCAGCACTTCCATCACTGAAGGAGATCTAACGTTAGGACCGGAGAAACATATACTGATCTTCCGAGTGACCGAACATCCAGACGTCGTTTAATACGGATGACATTGCGCCACGATTATGTTTCAACAAAGTGGGGCGCCTCGCGAAAAAAAAAAATGCTTGACACCAGTCACGTCTGTGTAGCTCATCAACGTA